TATTTCTCATGCAACAGTTTGCTGAACAATGTGTCAACATATCTGGACTTCAGGAAACCAGAGCGAGGCATGAGTGCTCTGGAATATACAAAGGATGGTTCCGACTAAGTAGTGCAGCCAAAGAAGGCAGAGGTGGAGTTGCCCTCTGGGTAAACCTTGAGATCCCCTTTGGCCATGACCGATTAGGCAATCCCCATTTCTTTGAGAGTGACCACTTCAAAGTAATTCAGGCTGAACCAGAGCTCCTTGTAGTAAGAGCCAAAAATGCCCACTACAAGAGCATCATTGTTGTGGCGCATGCACCTGTTCAGCAGCAGGATCAGGAGCCATACCGCATGTGCTGGGATAGAATCGTTCAATGCACCAACAACTATGATGCGTCATGGGACATAGTGTTGCTTGCCGATGCCAATGCCACACTTGGAGACCATGTGATGCCCGAGCAGCATGAAGTGATAGGATCATATCAAGGCCAACCCACATCCCCCAGTGGTGTTGCTTTTTCAGAAGTAGTACAACGCCTCGGCCTGTGCTTGCCTTCAACCTTTGAGGGACTCCATCAAGGTACACCCTACACATTCACAAGTCCGAAGATGACCCAGCACAGGATTGACGATGTTGCTGTTCCCAGGTCGTACTTGCATTACGCTCAGATGCAATCCAGTGTTGAGATGCAGATTGACTTACAGATTAACAGACCTGATCACCGGGCTGTTACATTGCAGTGTCAATACACCAGTGTCCCCCATAGGTGTGAGGACAAGCCAAGGCAAGCACTGCCATACAGGAGGCCAATCCCGGCCTGCTCTGATGACGTGCAAGTGTGGCGCAAAGCCCTCCGCGCTGTTCCGGCTAGTGTCCCTTGTGCCGAGAGCTGCTTCACACAGAATGTGCATCAACATGCCTTTACCATAGAGCAAGGCATGAAGGAGCAAGCCACCCACTCGCTGCCCAAGCAGAAGAGTAAAGTAAGACCGTATCTAAGTCAGATTGCAATTGGCCTCTTGCATGAAAAGCGACGCATCCAAAGATGCACCAACCACTCATTTCTTCAGGAACGTTATCTGTACATTGTGTGCTGCTTTCAGGCATGGAAGGATGTAACCACGCCCTCGCCTGCATCCTGTGCAATTAAGCAGATACACCATAGGATTGCCATTCAGATGAAGCAGCTCAAGCAAGTGCGCCAGGCATTGCACCAAGCAATGCAGACCTGCCGAGCTGAATATGCCGAGCGCATTGCTGCCAATGCTCGCGATGCCGAAAGCCACGGTGGCATGAACGACCTATGGAAGGAGATGCGACCCTTGCTTCCTAAGTCCAAACAGATGAAGAACCGCAAAGCAATGCCAATTGCTGCAGTGTCAGATCAGGCCCTTGAGTACTTTGCGGAAATTGAAAGTGGGAAAGTTGTTCAACCTGAGGAACTAGTCCAGCAATGCCAGACCTCGCAAGACCTGCTCACAACAAGTGGCCCCATTGCACTTGATGACTTGTATACCAAAGTACACCTTGAAACCGCAATGGCTCGTGTCAAATCAGGTAAAGCCCCAGGCGAGGACCTGCTTGTATCTGAGCTCTTCTCGATTGCCAATGTTGAGGCAGCCCACTTATGGTTTCCCCTGATGTTGAAGGCCAGCATATATGCCCATCAGCCTCTCACTTTTCGGGGTGGTACCCTAGTGTCGCTTTGGAAATCCAAAGAATCCAAGGACCAGATCACCAGCTATCGAAGTGTTTTGCTGTCCACTACTGCATCAAAATGTCACCAAGCTATCCAGAGACATCAGCTAATGCAGCAAATTGGCCACCGAATGCCAGTGGCCCAGCTTGGCGGAAAGCAGGGCAGCCAGCCATGCTTTGCATCTCATGCAGTGCGCACCTTTCTGCAGATTGGTAACATAAAGCATAAATGTTGTGCGGTGTTGTTCCTCGATGTCAAATCTGCCTTGTACAAAGTCATACGAGAAGCTGCTGTAGGATCTCATCGCGCAAGTGATCAGTTTGCCTCGCTGCTTGAGACCCTCGACCCGTCCGTGCATGAACAGTATGCCAGCTTGCATAGCAGTGAGCATCCCGAAGTCCTGAATGGCATATCCAAAGTGCTACTGCAGCAGCTCAAGGATGGCCAAAATGCCACATGGATGCGAGATATGCTCACTGGCCAGATTGCAAGTAGTTGCCAGGGGTCTCGTCCAGGAACACCCCTGGCTGATGCGCTTTTCAATGTGGCTGTGGCTGCAGTTGTGAATGGCATACAAGCCGATTTTGAGATGTGGGATCTATGCACTGACATTCACCTCCCGCCTCAAGTTGCCCCTCAAGCATTTCCCACCCTCACCTGGGTAGATGATGTGGTTGCTTGCATTGAAGCCTCCTCCGAAGATGAAGTGCTTGACAAACTAGCCAGAGCTGTCAACATAACTGAGGCTGCATTTCAAAGTGTAGGTCTTTCTATCAGCATGGATAAAGGTAAGACTGAAGCCTTGATTCAGTTCGCAGGTCCCAAAGCGAAGACAGCCCGCAGAAGACTCCTTGTTGAAAATTCATCGGTGCTGCAAGTTGCCAAAAATGATGGGAGCAGTGTCAACTTGTCAGTTGTGCCTTCATACTGTCATTTGGGAGGGTTGGTCGCGCCAGATGCCACATTGCGTGAAGAAACACGGAGACGTGTAGCACTAGCTGCCCAGGCCTTGCATCAATTGAAGATTGGAGTCTTCAGAAACAAAGGAATTTCGGTCACTGCAAAAGTCACCTTTGTTGAAGCCACGGTCTTCAGTAAACTCCTTTATGGCGCACAGGCATGGGGAGTGCTTGATGGTGGCTCTGCGAAGGCCATCAATGGCTTTTACATGAAAGCTCTCAGGGCTGCCACAGGTTTGTGTGTCACACAGTATGGACAAAAACATTCAAACCTGTATGTCCTCGCCAAAGCCAGATGTCCGTCTCTTGAGTGGCAGATGCGTAAAATGAGATTGCGGTATCTTGTTCACCTTCAAACTGGTGCCCCTGCCTTCTTGAGTCAGCTTCTGTTGAATGAGTACAAAGTCAATGAGTCGCGTGCCTGGTTGACCCTTGTTCAACACGACATCGAGGCTGTAAGAGAAGTCATGCCTGATGCCTTTAATGGCTTGTCAACCACCTATACTTGGGTCCAGTTGTTCACCTATGTTGCTAAGAGTAGCAATGCGTGGAAAAGGGACACAATCAAGGCTTGCCAAGCCGCTGTCACACAAATGACCTTGCTTGCTGACCTAGAACACTGGCGTGAAAATTTTGATGGTGCAATTGGGCAGATAGGTTTGCAGGTTGAGCGTGGGCAACCCGAAGCGCCGACATGCCCACTTGGTCACAGATGTGACTTGTGCGGCAATGAGTACTCTACCCGACAGGGGCTCTCGGCCCATCAGTGGCATGCCCACCAAATTTCTTCAGAGACACGTGCATACACATATGCCTCCCACTGTGTTGTTTGTCTTGTTGAATTCCACACATCCCATCGGGTCAATGTTCATCTCCGGGAGAACCCTTGCTGCATGCAATTCTGCTTGCAGAATCTAGAGCCGCTTCCAGGGCCCCCGGTTCACATCAAGCTTGACAGCAGATTCAAAGGACACAAGAGGATCCCTTGCATCCTCCTGGAAGGTCCGAGACTCCCCAACAAGCTTGAGTGGAGGCGAATGCCAAAGACTACTCCCCAGAAGAGATCGATCCTTCTGGAGGGCGGCGCCGGCCCTGCGAGCACGACGGGACACACGCAATCCCAACATGCCGGGCAGGAACCTGCGCAAGGCAGGACACACGCCCAACACCTCTGTTCATCAAATCGATGTGATGACTGCACAAGATGAAAGCGCCAGTACCAGGTTCACTGCCCAGGCGCCCGTGGTGCATCCTCTGGCCATGAATTTCCAAGGGGTTCGTACATATTTTGTGCTCCACCTCTTCTCTGGCAGAGACCGTGAGGGCAGCATGCGCCGCCATCTTGAAGAAATGAGTATAGGGCAGTCATTTCGCATCTTTGTCATTTGCCTTGATGTAGTCCATAATGCAAAGTTATGTAACCTTGCTTCTGATGAGTTGGCTGCAAAAATCCTTGCACTCATCCGTAGTGGCCACATTCTCGGTGCACAGGCAGGACCACCATGTGAAACATGGTCACGTGCCAGGGAGGTGAAGATAGCAGATAAGCCCAATGCGCCACGTCCACTCAGGAGTGCCCATCAGCCATGGGGACTCCCCTCCCTGCGTTCCAAGGAATACAAGCAACTACAGATTAGCAACAAACTCCTGCAAACTGCATTGCTTGTTGTTGCACACCTGTACGCATGTTGTGGAGTGACCATTACAGAGCATCCTGGTGAGCCCTCGGAATCACGCCTTCCTTCCATATGGAGGCTTGCTCAGGTGAAATGGCTGTGCACCCTTCCTGGGGTCGAAAAGGGGCGAAGACATCAGCGTCAGTGGGGCCAGACAGCCGAAAAGCCGACTGACCTGCTGGTGACCCACCTGCCAGGTTGGGAGCGAATCCTCGAATCCACCAAGCTGCCCCGAAGTCAGTGGCCGGCAAAGGAAAGATCCATTGGCCACAATGGGGAAGCTTTTTGCACATCCCGGTTGAAGGAATACCCTCCTCTCTTGTGCAAAGCATTTGCCAAATGCTTCTTGGTCAGTGCTCAGCTAAGGGAAGCCACGCAAACTGATGTTGCTGAGATTCCCTCCCAAAGCATGCTCACTGAGTATGCCAACATGCCGCTGGCACAAGAAATTGGGCCGGACTATGCGGCTGGGGTGGGCACATGAAAGCATGTGCTTAATTAATGCAATCGCTGCGTTCGACAGAACTCTGTGCGCATGGAATGGAATGGAATGGGAAGACCATTTCAGTGGTAAACCGAAAGTTTGAGCTTTTTTTGGCCCATCAACTCAGGAAGTGATGGTTTTCGTAGGGGATTCCTTCATTCCCAGAGTTGTTAAGGGCATTCGTTGGCTTCATTCCGAGAAGCTCTTGGCGACTCAGCGCTGGGGTCATCGCTTGATGGCGCCCTGTACGCCTAGGCGGGGCCCGGGGGGCAAAGCCACGTAGAGTTCGGGCTCGGTTTCGGAAAGCCGCCCCATCAAGGCTCCGAATGGAACTCGGCGTTCGATCACACGTCGTTCATTTTGTGTTGCACAAACACCAGAGAACTCCACCAACTCGAATCAACGACCACAAATACCAAAGCCGGGACTATGTCTTCACCTCAGGATGGGATTTTCTTCACCTCAGGATGGGATTTTGTCTCAGGTGAGGGTGACTTGTGTGACGGGTGCTTCTAGCTTGAAACGAGCTCTTAGCCTACTCGAAAGGCAGAATTGAGGCTGCCCCTCATCGTGGGAAGATTCGGGACGCGCCCCTGGTCCTTATTTTAGTAGCCGCTCTTCTCATCCCGCACTCCGCATTTTGGAAAACAAGTGTTTGTCTTGCTGGTTCTCAGGGAATGAGGGAATGAGGGAATGACCAAGTATTGTTCAGGTCGGGAAGGAATGAGCTGAAGTGACGCTGGATTCTCCAAAGTGGCAACCGGGGGGGGGGGGGCCGCTGGCCCACGGATCGACATGGAATATACAAAGCGGGGGCTGAATTCATTCACGTTGGTTGCTTCAAACGGGATCTCTTCAACTGACTTTGAGTCGGGCTGGAAGACTGCCAACAGTGGGAATTCCGAAGGCATCCTCTTGAATTGCTTGGAATTCCGCTGGAATCGGCCAGAGCAGCTGCAGAAAGCTTGGGATACTGTTGGATTGGCAGAGTTCCTTCGCAGTTTGACCATGCGGACCTTTGCGCGGGACGCACGTAAGGCGCCGCCTTACGGTGGATGAGGAGCTAAGTGACTGGTCATGGGCTGAGAAGATTGCGACCGGAAGTACACTCGCAGCTGGGGGTGTTTCGCAAAAAATGTGTTCGGCTTTTGAAGGGACAACCAACCGGAAACTACAAGGGGTCCCTTTTGAGAAACACCCGACATTTACCCTGAGGGCTCAACAAACTTAGGGCTTTTCTTTTTGGTATCCTCCTTTAAGAGACGGAAGGCGGCACCAGGTTCCAACATGAGGCCATATTTAGAGGCACTTGTAGAGCACTCTGAACTAGTGCCCAGACTTTATCTTTGGGTCAGTCTCTCCGTCTCCGCTTGACAGGAACTTGTGGATGGACCCAAGCTGTGAGTTACATCAGTACGGCAAAGGATAAAAACCGTACATTGCCTGGCGGCCAAGGGTTACGTTTGGGATGCACTTGGGTTACATGAGAAAACACGCTGTGGTTGGAAGGTGGTCGCGGTGGCGGTGGTTTCCATGCTTGGGCCCTTTCACTTTAAGCCAAACCGCGACACAATCTCCGAGCTCACATTTGCAGCCCCTCAAAGTTTGAGAGATTGGCACTTTCTACTTCGGCGTCCATGTCACAGACTCAAAAAAAGAGGCACTTTTCATCATGCTACAAAGGAGGCCCGCAAACTGAGACACACAGCTGAGATCACTGCCAAGAAGGACACTGCCAGTCAGTGATCTGCCAACAGGTAACTTCTTTGTTGCATTTTTGCCAAGGGATGTTAGGACTCTAACTTTTTGCCAACTCATGGGTTTTCCGTATTAAACCACTAAAAGTTATTCACTTGTAGCAGGGGAGCAGGAAGCAACCGAGACTTGGAAAACGCAGGGCCCTAAGGTCACTGGGTTTCCATTGGCTTCGGAAGCCAATCTCCACACCCGAAAAAGGGTGCCGGGCGAAACACACCCGTCCGGCCTTGTTTCCGAAAACCCATGGCCAGGTTGAACAATGCGTCACTCATGAAAGTGGCCCTAGCCGATTTCCCCATTACTTCAAGTCGTGGCTTTACCTGATTTCCCATGCGGTGGAAAGGTGAATTTGAACCCCTGGTTCCTGCGGGTAAATGGGGGAAACCGGCCCGTTTTCACCACCACCAGCTTCATGGGAATCTGCATTTCTGATTTCTGGGGTCGGAAGACATGCCACGTTCCAAGTTTCCCCATTTGTTGCCCATGTTTTTGCTCATTTCAGTCAGCAGCCAGCCGCATTTCTGCCCCATTTTTGGTGGCAGCTTGATTGCTATTGGGTTGGATCTTTAGACTTTAACTTCCTGGGAAATCAAGGGTTTTCCACTAAACCCACAAAAAGTGAGAGCTTTTTGCATAGAGGTCAACCGCCAGCAACCAAGGCAAAGTCTCTCCCGTTTTCGGTCGCGAGGTCCGCATGCCGCACCCTGTCGGCGCCCTCCTCCTGGAGCCCTGCCCGGAGCTGCGCCGAGAGCGGCGCTGAGCGGAGCGCGCCGAGCCCTGGCCGCGGAAGCGGCGGAAGAGGGCGGCGCTCCATCTCGGAGCTGTCGCTGCTGGCGCGGATGCCGCTCCGGCGAGAAGCACGCGCGAGGTGCATGTATATATATATATATAATACATGTATATAATACATGTATATATATATACACATACACATACGTACGTAAGTACGTACGTACGTACGTACATACTTATATACATATATATATATATATGTACATACACACATAGATTGTATATGTTTAGGTATGTTTGTACACGGGATAAGACGCGACGTTTCCAGAACCTCCTGCTGTAAGATCCCAGGGGGTCCACCATTGGGCCCACCACACCCTCCGGCCTCCTCAAAATTCTCTTCGTTAAGGTTTGTTACTTGAACCAGGGACAAGAACCTGTCGTCTTTTAGTTCCAGGGCGATTCCCAGTTCTATGCAACATAGCGCCATATAGCGCCCACCACCACGCGGTCCACTTTAGGGGGGAAGCAAGTCGAGCCACGTTAAAAAGCATCCTTTTCTCGCCCATAGACGGCGATCCCTTGTTTACCTGGTTCCATCAACCAGGGCCATCTATCTTTTCCAAAAGGGACGCCTATGCTGAGAACCCCCCTTACCCACTCCTTGGCCACCAAAACCCACCGGGCTCCCAACCGCTTTTTTCAGGGAGACTGAACTTTGGACACAAAGAGTTCCAAGCTGACTGGCGACCGAAGGAGGCTGAGCTTGGGGCAGTGAGAGGTCGTTTTTTTTTCGCGGCCGAGGACCCCGGAGAACCTCAAGCTGCGGGGCCTGGGGCTGCCCTGGCGCGGCGGCAGCGCCGGGGGCGCCGGCGCCGGCGGCGGCCTCTGCCGCGCCGACATCGGCGGCGAGGGCCGGAGGATCTGCCGCGCGGAGCGGAGGGGAGATGTGCGGGGCGTTTGGGGCGAAAAATATCCAGCAACACACCTGTAGAGCCTGAAACCCATCCCAAAGAAGGGAAATCAAGATTTCGCAGCTAAACCCTCAAACTATGTACCCCCACAATTCTGGGGCTATAACCCCATTTGCGAGGGTATTTTGAGGTTCCGGGCACCGCTGCCGCTCCCCTCGCGGGTTTAGTTGGATTTGATTGGGGCGTTGGGTCTCCTTCGGTTCATTTGGCGCGTTCCATGGGTGCTTTCAAGGCAAACCGAAGGAGGTTTTTCTTGGGGAGATGTGCAATCTTGGAGCAAAAGGAGGACCTCAGTCCGCGTTTTCAGGCTTTTGAAAGAAGGCTGGGCAGCTGCGGGTCGTTTTGGTGCGAGAGACGGGGCGTGATTGGTGGGTTTTTCCTCTTGGCTTGGATTTTTCCAAAAAAACCGGCCCCAAAATACGGCTTGATCGGGTTTTGGTCCTCTTGGTCTTCCTTGGAAAGGGCCCGAGAAAAAAAAAGAAAGCGACCAGCTCCGAAGAACCGACCCCAAAAAACCGAGAAGCCAACTCCAAAGAGAGAGACGCCGAGGCCTGATCCCAACGCCCGAGCTGAACCGCCGAAGCTCGAGGGCCCCCCGGTCCCCCCGGTCCCCGCGGTCCCCCGTGCGCGCCTTTGCCGCGCGGGTGCGGGAGGCGCGCGGCGGAAGCCAAGCAGAGGACGTGGGGGTGTCGCGTTTTTTTTCCTTCTCCCCGAGGGTTTTGGCATGCAATTTTTCTTTTTTGAGAGGGAATATGTGACGTTTCTTCCCCCCCTTTTCTCCGAGAGGGTACTGGTACCCTGTTTATAAACCTTGGTTGAAGCGGAAAGCAATCGGAGAGCACGCAGGTTTACAGTCCGCCTATCTTGACATAGCCTTTAGGTAAGCTATGGATGGATTCCCACTGGTTGCAGTTTGATTCGATTTTAATCAACCAGTGTATATGTATATATGCACAATCTCCAACCGGGAATGCAGTGATAGGATTCCACCCCCCTCACATTCTCCTTCCAGAAAGGATACGTTCGCGAAGCAATAGCAAGCAAAGCAAGAAACATCCTTACCCCCGCCACCGTTTTCCTCCAAATCAGAGCTGTAATACGACCCTTTTTCGCGGAAAGGGGGCTGGAGGCTGAAGGGGGGGGGCCGGGCTTCTGCTTTGAAAGCTGGAAGGAGGCTCTTCCAAGATTTGATGGATGTCTTGGATGCTATGGTAGCCGTTCTTTTGGGGGGGGGGGTCGGTTAAAATTAACCTGCGAAATATGAAGAACTCTTCGGGGCGTAGGATCATAGGAGGAAATTGAGCAAACACAGAGAAACAAGGAAAAGTACCAAACAAGACAGGGACAAAACTGGAAAATCACGGGGAGATGGCAGATTTTTCCTCGGGCGCCAAACGAGCGGTCTGGAAACACATTGCCTTTTGGTTTGATCTGTGCGGAAAGTACCCCACGGGACCTCAGGAACCCGTCTGCGTTTGAGAGACGGAATGCCAGGCCTCCCTTTGCCTGAGCCCGGATTCCGATGAGCTGACCTCACCGCTGCCGCTTGGATTCGATCAAACCTAAATCGCAACATGCCGCCTAGGAACCTAAAGAACCCAAGGAAATAAGCCAAGGAGCTTACAAAAACAAGGGAATCCAAGAAAATGAGGCAAGATAAACCATTCATTTTTTTGAGCACCGTGTCTGAGTCACTGGCTTGTTTTTTCAGGTTTTGGTTGACACAGTTTGCGACCGAGCGTTTTTGTGGAAGCCTGGTTTGGCCGAGTCGTAGGGCAGCGATTCTCGCTCTCTTGTTTGTCCCCTCCCTTTCTTGTGTCAGTTTATTTTTTCTCCCCCCCCCCCCCCCCCCAGTGCGGTTTTTCGTCGAATGGACTTCGCGCGTCTGAACTCACTGGGCCAAAAGACCTCAGGTTCTCCCCGACGCGGTGCTCAGAGCTCCGAGGCAGGCCCTTTCTTCTTGGCGGTTCTCTGTTTTGTTTTTGGTTCGGACCCGGGTCTCGATGATTCTTTTTGGGCCCTCAAAAACTCGGACGCTTTTCTCTGTGCTCCTGAAAAATTGGTCGGGGTTTTTCCATTGGAGGGTCCGGGGGGGTGCATTGGAGGGGTGACCCGGGGAAGAACAATGACGGGTCGCTTGCGGCCCCTTGGTTCTCGGAACTGAGAGGGGCGCGTTGCAAAGCAGTTGCAAGGAACTTGGGCAAAATGGGATGCGCAATGGCCAGGCGGCTTCGTGGGGGATGTTGGGCTTTTCGACTTCTGGTGCCCATGGCTTGAGAGGAAGGCGGTGTCAAAAGAGTGAGGAGCCCTTGGATGGTTTCCAGCACAACTTGCCCAGGGATGGAGGGAGTGACCCGAAAAAACTTGTGGTTTCCCTGAAGGGAATCCCGGACCGGTCCATTCCCTCCGCCCGTCGTTCCCTGAGCCCCAGCAACGGGGCGCTTGAGAGGCTTTCAGCCAGTCGCCCCGGCCAAGCAGATTGACAGGCTCGGCGGGTGAAAGACATGGCAACATTCGGGTGTGGCTCAAAATTAAACAGGCTACGCAAAGTTTGGTCCATGTTTCCACTAACCAGGGTTTTTGAGCCACAGCAATTTGGTCAAAAGAAGGCGCTTAGAAATTGGCGGTTTCGTTTGGTTTCCCTTTAAGCCAACCTCTCAAAAAGGGTAACCTCAAAACATACAGTACAGGTTTGTTCTGGGCGACTGGGTTCAAACTCCCTGGCGAACGTCTTGGGAGATACCCAGGAGCTCCCTATATGCCCTCTTTATGAGTCAGACATCACCCGAATCGGGACTCATTCAAAGAATGGAGGTTTGTTTTGGTGAGGTGATATCAACTATGGGTGTGGGTCAAGAATAGGGTTGCCCCAGCTTTCGTACATAGAAAGGAAAAACTACAACCTGCTGTGCCCTGTTTTTTTTTTTCATAGCCATATGGGGGTTGATATTCCTGGCTAGCTTTTCCCATCTCGTGTTTTCTGTCATCTTTTGTTGTGGTTTCCCCAATGGTCACCCCATGAATCACAGACCTTTTAATCAACCCCCACATACTGTGGATGGACGAAATCCTGCACCACCTCAAAAACCTGGAATGATTCGCTTCCCCTATAAATACCCACAAGAGTTATTAGTTTTTATCATGATTTCCAAGTGGTGCAAACGGATTTCGCCCATCCACAGCAGGGAACCTTTTCGTGGCTTCCTATTGGATCGAGCTGCGGCAGGTCCATCATTTCCGGGCCGCAGGTCAAGGCTGGGACGAATCGATGATTCGGGGCACAGATGCGGGCCCCTTGTGCGTAGTGTTGGAAGGGAACTAAAAGTCTGGGGTAGATTTTACTGACTCAAAGTGAAGCAGCGATAAAGTATACACTGGTGCCTAACTCTGATCATGAGAAGGAAGCAACTAACTTGAATATTCGATTGTAGGAAACGCCCTTCTTTGTGTAAAGCTGGGCCGAGCATGGCCTAAAAGCCAAGCGAGCAAACCACATGATTGGCAACGGTTTATTGGTTTGCAACTGCTGCGTGATGGGCACAGCATGAACTTGTACCAGCTGAACTCAGCAGACCTCCATTACTCTACATTAAACGTGAGAGGGTTTGTATGCTGCAAGCACTACCTCAAGACATGACACGGGGTATGTGCAGTGAAAACCTGGATATCCAGGCAACTTCCTGCCGAACCATCAGTATGAAGCACCTCGCGCATGGTTTCAACCGGTCGTCAACGTCTGAAAGTGCGTCTTTTGCCTCCCAAATCACTGGGCCTGTCTTGGATAGCGAAAGAGCACGGGCAGAAGCAAGCGCGAAGGGGTCTTTTGTCTGCCTCAAGCGGGTCTGGACCCGTTGCCCGTAGGTGCGCCGCTGTGATGGAGGCGCGCGCGCTGCAGACTTTTGCACATGCCTTTTGGTGCTATTGTCCTTTGCCGCAGTAGCCCCAGCCATCCGCTTCCTTAACCAGCTTTTTGTGTTTCGGTGCTTCGCGGGGATTTCCATTCAACCCGTTTGCAGCGGATCTGACTCAAAGGACCGTGGCTGGCCCCTCTCGAGTCTTGACGTCCGCGGATGCCTTGCGGATTGATCCGACCTGGGAAGCGGATCGGACATTTTCCTAAGGCGATGTTCTCGGCTTCGGACGCCACGTCCGTCCTGCGCAAACGGGAAGGTGCAGTCAACTTGGGACTGCACGGCTTTTCCTCAGAGTGATTCACCGGGTTTCAGTCGGGGCAATCTCGAGGACAAGCCGACCTGTTCTCCCCGAGGTCAAGCAGGCCATCCCCGCTTCCTTCAAATCCAAAGGTCCCAAAGTCATGGGAAGCCATCCGAACTGAAAGGAACCCTTGGGGCAATCAACTCTTGAACATCGGAATTCCAGCTGTGCGCCAGGCATGTCAGTGACTTGCCCTCGCCGGTGACTGCGCAGTGACCGCAGTGAGGGCCGTCCAAATTCGGTGCATGCGAATGCCGCGCCCGGCCAAATCCGAGGTCTCTTCCCGCGTGATTTCTCTACCAGCTTTTAGTTGGCCGTGAATGTTAAATTTGGGAACCGCCGCACACATGGAGGACAAAAAAACCCAAAGGATGTCCGCCAGAAGCTCCGGGACTCATCATTGCCCATGTCATCGACCCCTTTCCCCCAAGGCTTCAGCCTGAGTGACGCTGAAATGGGGCCCAGCTGCGGCCAAGGTCTCGTCTCGCTTGGGGATGCGCGACCGAATTCGATGTCGATGCGCGACCTTGCACTCAAAGCTCAAATGACGCGCGGGCCTGGACAGATCCATTGTGGGGAACAGGTTTGCAAATGGTCCCAACCCAAGCATGAATGGCAAGCAAAGCAGGCCAGTGTTTTTTGTTTCTTTGGGGGTATGTCAGGTTTGATTGAAACACAGGTGCTTCAAGCGATCAGTGATGCTGCAATGCCTTGCTCAGAGCGCTCGTGGCAAATGAAAGCTATGAAGCCCCCTTCTCAGCCAGAGAGCGGCATTTTCAAGGGCCATTTTGCTTGCAAGAGGATGCCTTTGAGAAAGCATGACCATCTGCCACATCAAAGGGGGGTCAAAAATCAGTACCCTTTTTGGGCCATGGTTTATGTGGGGCCCGCCAAAGAAACAGGGGTCCAACCAGGGGTTCATATTTTTGACAAGCCACCACATGTCCAAGTCGCATGGGCAACGGAGTCGCTAGACGCTTTAAAGGGAGCGCGCGGGAGTTGTCTTTCCGTCATGTGCAATGGCGGCTGCGCCGGGGCACGTTTTTCCCCACCAGGCGCGTCTCTGCAGGAAGTTCCAAGGGTTGCGCCCAAAGATGCTTGAGGGAAGCTATAGGTTTTCAGCTTGACCAAGTGTGGGCCAGAAGCAAGCATCTGATTTTTGGAGGTTGAAGGGCATTGCGGCATGACCCAAGTGCGCGAATTTCGGGCTCGACCTTAAGAAGTTTTATGGTGAGTTAGCCGATGATGCGGTGCAAGTGAGGGCTGGTGATGCTCGTGATGCGTGGCTGGGTGCTGGTGATGCTGGTTATGCAGGCAATGCTGGTGAATTGCTGGTGGAACCTGCTAGTTTGAGGTGGTTTGTTGACGACTCTAAGGTTGCCAGTAGCTCCATGTTTCAGGAATTGTTTGCTTCTTCTTCGGCGTCATTTTTCTTTTTGGGTGGGTGTTGTTTTTCTAGCTTTGCGGTTTTTAGTGAGTTTTTGCTACTTTGGGCGGCTCTTCTGGTTTGGTTTTCCGCATGCGTGTCGTTACTTCTCGCATGTCACTCAGAACGGTGTGTCGAAAAGCTGCGCGCTGCTGGCGCTTCGATTGATTCCAAGATCACGCCCTGCCGCAAAAGGCATCGACCGTTGGGACTTTGGCGTGGCAAGTGGGCGTGTGGCTCGTTGCTTCCGTTTCTCGGCACGTCTGTTTGCAGACCGCTGGATTGATGAGCTGCCCTCCAATTGTGCCCAACGCTTTGCTAGTCTGGGCGAACTTGGCGATTTCTCACTCTGAGGTCGCCATCAGACCAGTCCCGTCACTAGCAAGATCAACACCGATGGTTGGCCACTTCATGCAAATGCACTCCTGGTTGATGAATGGGGAGTGTCGCCTTCAGAACAGGGGTGCATGACTTGAGGGCCCACCACCGCCCTAGTTGGTGTTTGGATGGGTGGCTTGGAGATTTGAACCCCCTTTGTAGAGGGTACTCTCCCTTCCGCTAACATAGCACCTGCGGGGTACCTGGAAGATCATGTTCCTGTAGGGACCTGTCAGGTGTCATGGCAACGGAGTGAGGGTAGCTGGGTTTCCCCGCCGGGCTCCAACCAAAACGAGGTATGTCGAGCAAGCTAAGAGCATCGCACCTGCGACATTCGTCAGCTCTCCATGCTGCTTCTCAGTCTGGAATTCAGAAAAGTGAGAGCGAACTTCTGAATGGGAATTCACCCAATCCAACCAAAATGGGATCCCAAAACGGTTTTGACCACAGCCAGATGGCCAAAACCCCGCCCACCGCCGGTTTGAGCTCCGAGGCCCAGCGCCCCCGCTCCGCGCCCTTCGGGCGCGCGCCCGGACAGCGAGCGCCGCTGTGGCGGCAGCCGCGGCGGAAGGAGAAGCGGAAGGAGAAGCCGAAGGCGGCGAAGGCGAGCCAACGTCTTGACCCCCGACAAAGTGGCCATGGGTTGCATAACCTGTGGCGATCCCATTTTTGGGTGGAACATCCATTTGCCACCGATTTTTTATGTTTAGCAGGGGTACAGGGTTTTGACCCACAGCCAAGTCTAGGTTTCCCAGCAGTGCCCTTGTACCAACTCTTTTTGGGGGAAGGTTCCCCGGCCTAGACTATAGACAAAAGGGTATTCTAAGCTCTCTACTGGATCACCTAGAAGTGGTTTGTTTAGGTGTTGACGCGTCAAAAAAAGGAAGTGGTTGTTTTTTGGTAAGTGGTTGACGTCGTGTTCTAAAACAAGCGGGCGGTGAAGGATTTTTGACATCATTGGGCAGGGGTTGACCCCAAGAACGTGTTTTTTAGGTCCTGACACCATACCCAAAACAAGTGGTCGTTTTTTAGCGCAAGGGTCGACATCGTAACGCTTATCGAACCCCTTAACCAAGACCGTTAGCCAAGCCCTGAGCCAAGTTCCTTAGCCAACATCCTTGACCATCCGCATGGGTAATTCTCAAAGGGCTGCCATAAAAGTAACAGGTGTCCTTTTGATGTCCCAAAAACCCAGCCAAAGGGGTCCAGAGTGCTGGACCCCATGGGAGCTCAGCTAATTCGAGGTGCATTCTGCCGACTCGGAGACCGACGAGGCCGAATGCGAGGCTTCTCCAGGCGTGGCATCGCGTTTTTTTTTTTCTTGACACCCTTTTCAAAAAGGGGTGGTTCTTTCTCGGGAAGAAAAGGATTACTTTCTTTTTTTGAGTGTCCCCTTTATTGTGAGACCCCGTTTGCTGTTTTTTGAGGCTGGAGCTCTCAAAACGGTGGGGTTTTTGTTGGCATCCCTTCAACACCACAAAGGGGAAGCCTCAAACGACAGACCCATGGACCCCCAAGATGCTTGGCCTCCTTTTGGTTGCCCTGATAAAGAACGTCAAGCAAAAGGGGGGGGGGTTCGGGGTTCCAGCCAACCAAAAAACGACGGACTTTGCGTAGCTTCCCATGGTTGACATGGTGCAAGCCAGTGGCTTGCCGTTTGGGAGGGGAGCTGGGAAGATGGGATTCGCCGGTGAAACGGTCTCCGAAGTTCTGACATCAGATCGCCAAGTTGCTTTTTCGCTTTTTTTCAGTCACTGTTGCGATCGTCGGTTTTTGTTTGGTAAAGTAGATGGGAAAAAAACGATCGCAACTGGCGATCCAGGTGCCTAACATCTGGGATGGTTTCTATGTTGGGGCCAAGATATTTCGGAACCTTTGCCAGCCTTTAGCAATTTGCAGATGAGTTTCTTCTTGGTCTGATGTGGGCGTCTTTAGGTGGGCTTTGCTCTTCTACGAAAAGGGTGGGTTGGGGTCAGGCGGCTCAACTCCCATCCGATCGGCGCGGGATTGGCACGTGCCGGACCTTAAGCCGCAGCCTCAACGCGTTCGTTGCGTTCGTCGCGCGGGCGCGAGGAAAGGTTTGGTGGAGTTCATTCGCATGGAGCAGGCGAGACCAGAATTCGAGCCACATTGGAACCCACACTTGAAATTTACCCCGGCTGTTTTGTGGTGAATGGGGTCTCTAATTGGCAATGACGCAACAACAAGCACCAACATGGCACCTTGGTAAATGCAACCAAAGACTAAAACCCGCGTAACCCTGGCTCGTTCAAATTTGAGCCGCCCCTAATTTGTCCCAGGTGGTGAACCTCAATATTGAGGGCATCGCTTTTTGCGTACGGTGAATGCTGTACGCTTTTAACGGACGGACCTTCCTTGCGCAGCTGTGCCAATGCGTCCGGGGAAGGTGTTCCTCAGTTGGCCTTCCGTTGGCCTTCCGTTGGCCCTCCGCTTCCCGGTTTTCGAGCCCACGAGCCCACGGGCCCATACGTGTTTTTTTTTTGCCCCGGTAGAGAGCCCCTTTGGGGCCAGGGGTAGTTTGCCCAAAGCTGGAGAGCGGAGACACAGGCGCAGCTCCGGAAACACTTTGGTTTGTTTGTTTCCGTGTTTTTTTCTTCCCCCCAGTGTTTCCTGCAGATTGTCCACGCTTTTTTTTCCCCCAGCGCATGGCGCATGGCGAGCATTCAGCGGCCAGAGGTTTGGATGTCCCATTGGAGAGAAGCTGGGACGGAACCGCAAATTTCCGGTGAGTGGAATCTGAAGGACCCCCCCCCCATTTTCAGAGGGATGAAAATGGGTGGTTTCCCCTTTGGTGGCATTTCCTAAAAGCCAAGGCCCTCCAAACACGGGCGACAAAAAGCTGCCGGGGAGCGAGCTGAGGATCCAGCAGCTGGTGGAGAGCACTCGCCAGGAGCAACGGTGAAAGGAATCAATGTTTGACTCAGGGGTCTTTTTGCCGCCTTTGGCGGAACAAATCGACCCACTGGTGGTGAAGGATTCCTTTTTGAGGGGGTCGCCCATTTTCTCGCAAAAGGTGGCAAAAAGACTCCCCCGTGGTTGACTCAGGGCCACTTCTCGATGTTTTCGGCCCGCAACCCATTTTCACCCCTTGCGGCTTGCGGCTTGCGTGGGGGGGGGGGGCAGTCTTTTGAATCGGCCAGCTCGGTTCCAGTGGTTAGGGGCAGGGCAGGTCCCGCATCACCGAGACTCAAAAAGACGACCCTTGTTCAGCCGCCTTCAGCAACTCATGGACCTACTTCCAATCCCATTCCATGGTGCGGGGGGGTAACAGAAAATCGCTGTGTTTTTTTTCTACCATGGAAACCACGTATTCCAACACGTCGTTTTCTTCTGGGGGTCGGCGGAAAGGGAAACCAAAAAGGGAAATCACTTTTGTTGGGGCCTTCCCTCAATAAGTAGAGACCCAAATGGCTGTGGCGCGAAGATGGAATCCCCAAACTAGATCCTTTTGGTAAATAGAAACAACGACAACTTGTGTAACCCCGCCTCTTGATTTTTGAGCCACACCCAAATAGGGGTACCCTGAAATGTGTTTTTGTTTTTTCTTGGAAGACCCCAACCATTTTGGTCCTTTTGGGAGGTGATCATGGTGTCTTCTGGCATTTTGACCATTTCTTTTTCTGGGATCCGTTTCTGGCGAAAACCATGTTGGTACATGATTTTTCACCATTTGGTGGCAGGAAGCCCATTTTTTGGCCATTTCCGAGTTTCCATGGTCCCCTGAAATGGTTGTTGTGTTTTCTTCTTAGAAGACACCAACCGTTTTTTTTGGGCCACTTTTGCCATTTTGATAGACACTCGGTGGGGTTTTTAAACAACAGCTGGGTCTCCTGGCGCCCCTCGCCCAAGGGGCCGGCCGAGCGTCGCAGGAGCTGCCGCGGGCCGCTTCGACCGGCCCAGCGAAGCCCAAGGCGGCGGTGTCGCCCTGCCAGGTGAACCGCCCCATGCTGAGCTGCGGCCGCCTCAAGCGCCAGGAGCGGGTCCGAATCCTCACCCAAGGGGGGAAGAGCTCGGTGCCCCAAAAAGGGATCGATAGAAAGAAGGCCGACTTAAATATGCAGTATCATATACAGATATTGTATGTGTATAGATGTACACACACACACCACTACTAGACGGCCCCCGTTTAGAGGATCGTAATTGGCAGGTGAACCTCAAGCATGATCAAAGGAAGTTTGGCAAGAACTTCTGTGGACTAGAGCTATTTGAGTGTGCTGAGTGAAAACGCTAGGAACAGCTTGACAACGGGAGAACTGGGGAAAAGAAGCGCGCAGATAGCGCGCAAGTACCTCGGTGGCGATGCCGTTCAGGAGCCGTTCCCGGAGCGGTCTCGGAGAGGTCCCAGCAGCAATGGTGAATCCTCTGCTCGCTTGGGAGGGTCCTCAAAAAACTCGGAGCATTGTGCGTTTTGACGTCACTCACGCAAACCTCTGCGAGCTTGGCTTCAAAAACGTCATCTTGCTCAATTTTGCGCTTTTCAACACACGCAATGCTGACCCTCTGCGGGCTGTCATGTGGCAAACAACTGGTGTCTCCGCGTTTGTCATCGGCTAAGTATAAGTAGCTAAATTTTATCGAAGAAGCAGCTAGGTAGCAGCTATCTAACTAGCGCGAACTGGCTCACGAGCTGACCAGCGCCAGCTATGAACTAGCCAGGCAGCTAACCCCAGCCAGAGAGCTGACTGGCTTACATTTGAACTAGGAACCAGCTAATTTGCTATCTTGCAAACTAGCCGACTTGCCACTTCACTAGCAGCGAACGAGCTGGCTGCTAGCTAGCTTGCCCCTACCCTACCGGCTAACAAGCAGAGCAGCTAACCATGATATGTGCCCGCAGCTGTTCACAAGGAGCACGTTCCGTCCCAAACTACGTACATTCTGTCTATATGACATTTATTGAGACATTTGGTTGACTTTGTGCTCTTTTGTTCCATCCACCTCCAGCTTTTGCATTTCCAAAGATGCAGCGGCGCTGGACGGAAGTCCTTGTCAAGCGGGGAGCTACACACGGCCAACCAGCACCAAAAAGTAACACGCACAAGGTGGAATGACAACAGAGCAAGAAGGCGGGCAAAAGGCAGTTGACCCCCTGAACTGTTGAAGTTGGTTGCATTTTGCTTGGATGTTAGGACTTTACCTTTTTCGCCAACTGATGGGTTTTCCGCATCAAACCCACTAACAGTTGAAAAAAACAAATCGGTTCGCCGGGGAGCAGAAAGCCACCGAGGAGTTGGTTTCTGGTTTTCCCCTGGCGAGGCTTTCCTCGGCCCCGCCCGCGCGCAGGACCGGGAGCTGGAGGCGCCGGAGGCCGCGAGCCCCGCGAGCCCGGCGAGTGTCCCAGCGCCCGGCAGCCCGGGCTTGAGCGCGTGGGAGGCCCAGGAGGCCTACGAGGCGCGCGCTGTTTCGAGTGCTGCGGGCGAATGGGCGGGCGGGCGGGGGATCTTCCCAAACACCGGGCGATGGAGTTTGGTGAGGCCATGGGATTTTTTTCTGATCTGTTCATGTGTCCGTCCGAGTTTTCCAATCATGACAGGTCTGAAGAGGTCAACCCCCACATGGAAGGCTCCGGCTTTTCCGCTCCAACCTTGAGTCGCCTCTTAGCCCAGCGGGTTGATGCAAATCTCCCGGTGCTGCCGGGCGATGACTCCCCATCTTTTCGTCCGTCCATTTGTCCACACTGTCCATCGGTTCCTTTCATCCATCCGTCCTTCCGTTTTGTTCTCTCCGTCCGTCCGTCCATCCGTCCATCCACCAATCCGTCCGTCCGTCCATCCGTCCATCCGCCCATCCCAATGGCTGGGTTCGTATAACCTCAGAGTCTCATCCAAGTTACCAAGGGCCGGTTCCCTGCCTGGTGCTGCCTTCTTTTCTTGGAATCCAATGGCTTCGCCCTGAAGCTGCGTGGCGACCTTTTTGCGCGCGTACAAATCCATGGAAGGGGTCGCAACACGAATGGGTCATACAATGGGGGTCAAGCTCTCATCGAAAAACACAGATTCCTGCAAAACGCGGTCACGTAGCATCAATTTAGGTGAGTCAGATTGAACATTGAACTCGGTTTTACTGCGGCTCTACTCATTCACTTGTGCCATGTATCGGTTCCAAAGGACAAGAACATGGTTGCAGAACGCATTTTCTCCTTTTCGGGCCATCTGTAAGGGACCGCCAGAGTTCCAGGTGACACAAAGGTAGACCAGGTCCATCGCGGACCAATCGCCAGGCTATGGAGATGGAGCGGATCAAGTTCTACTTCAGCACCTCGTCCGAGAGATGGCGATCTCGTGAGTGAGCGTCCGGGTGAAGGGCTTCATCCAAAAACCATGGGAAGGGCCACTTGCTTGTGGCTTGGGCTTGCGAAAAGGGAAAATGACCCCGAGGTCATAAGACGAGCTTGCATTCTTGTTGAACGCCGACCTGACGTTTTGTCCTGTTGACCGGATGCTCGCCACACGCGACCGGATGCTTCAAGCCGGTTCGGCTTGGCAAAGTCGGCTCGAGATTTTTTGGGCCCCACTGAATGCCCGGCAGGGCCTCAAGGCGACGGCCTCTTGAAGCGGCAAGTATCCAGGAGTTGTTTCGCAGAAATCTGCGGTGTTTGCCTAGGTTCCCCAGTAGTGCCCTTTTACCTTTTTTGGGGGGAGGGTTCCCCTACTAAAACAGACTACAGAAAAAAGTTGGTACTCTTATTCCAACCTCTCTGGAAAGCCTAGTTGCATTTGGACGTCTTTTTGAAGGACCCGTATAGGGGTCGCTTTGAAAGGGACCGTCTCCAAACCACCCGGCCGGTTGATTTTGGGCGGAAGCTTCGGATCCGACCTCTCAGGAAAACCTCTGGCAGAAGCGCCCTGCGCTGCTCGGAGTCGCGGGGGGGGGGTTTGTCTCTCAGACTGGGCGCCTCTCAGGGCTTCTCCCCTTTTTGTTTTCCGGGAAGGGGTCCATGAATCGACCGGGATCCGCATGTGTTTCTTTTTGACCGGACCAAGATTCCTTTGACTTGGTTCGGGAGTGGCTCAGATCAAGGCATGCGACCAGGGACTTGTGTCACTGGGGATCTTTAGACTGGTGTTTTGGCCAGCTCACCCGCACCGGGAACCAACAGCTGGAGCTCACAAGGAGGCGTTTTTGGTTTTGTTTTTTCTTCCACCTAGGATCCGATCCCTTGAACTTCGGGTGTCACTTGTGGGCAGAGAAATGCTGACCCCATGTTAACCCCTGTTGATGGACAGGGGGGTGCTGTTCCCTGGGTGACATGTGGGGAATCAGACGGCTTGTGGAGGTGAACACCCCCCGAACTTAATCAACTGGGGGTGATGAATATGGGGTCAACAGTACTGACACAAGCACATGGCCAGTATCCGGTGCGTAAGAGCGCTTCCAAGGAGATGGCGAGATGCGCTTCCAAGGAGATGGCGAGATGCGCTTCTGTTCCTCTGAAGAGAGGCGCTTGAGCCAATCTAATCAGAGCGTTCCTCCATGTCCGAATTTTGCTCCGCAAGTGGCGATCGTTTCAATGGACCCCGCCAAAAAAGTTGATCAACTCTAGGGGGAATCCAATGACTGTCAGAGAATGAGAGAGAGAGAGAGAGAGAGAGAGAGAGAGAGAGGGAGAGGGAAAACCCCTTTTGCGGGCGTTTTTAGTTTTTTGCCGCGAAGCGAAGTGAAGCGGCTTCTCGCGCGAAGCGAGGGATGGCTTCTGCAGGAAAGACGCCGGCGCGGGAGGTCGAGGTGCCAGTGACACTGAACTTTGTGGAGACAGGCGGACGGGCCATGCGAGCACTCGACCGGTTCTGCGGTCCCCATGGTCAGATGTAGCTTCCTTCTCTCGGGGTTAATAGGGATGTTCATCCACCTGGTAAGGATCCGACATTTCACCTTTGTTGCATTTTGCTTGGATATTAGGACTTTAACTTTTTGCCAACTAATGGGAATTCCATTAAACCACTAAAAGTTAAACTTTTAGCAGGGGAGCAGAAAGCAACCGAGTCACAATTAGAATGATTCCTTTTGAGACAACCATGGCCATAGGAGTTTTGACAATGGCTCATAGGGTTTGGCGTGCACTCCTTTAGCAGGCTTTGATTGGGATCCATTCAAAGTTTCCGGTTTTGTCAATGACCAGTCGCGGTTCGGGATGAGACGGGGGGAGGATCACTAAATTTAAACACTCCCTTAGGGCACAAGTCAGCTGACAGTTCTCTTGAACGGGGCAGTCCGCCTCCTGCTTCGTGTGCTTTATCTCTCATTTTTGTGAGAACTTCAGGGCCACAGCCTTTGAGTTTTTTTTTCCATATCTTTACATGTGTTTGGCAGTTCACTTTTGTTTGTATTGTGCTGAGTTGCACCTTTGCAGTTGGCCGGGTTTGTGAAAGCGAACGCTGGACATGCAAGCGCGGGATGTGTGGACAAACAAATCGCAGGCTTGGCCCTTTGTGCCCTTATTTTGGGCTGCTTGGCGACTGCTCAGATCCGGGGCTTGCGTTTGGGTTTACATGTGCATTTGTGATGTGTTTTGGCCGGCTCAGCCAACTCCCCCCGAGACGCAGTCAGGCAGTCAGGCAGCGTTCTTGCAAGTTCTCTCGAGTTTACATAGTGTTTTACATGATTTTTACTTCGGCAAAGAAAACACCCACACCCACACACAGTCCCACACACACACACATGTTGTTTTTGTACATTTTAGTTGCATGCTTTTAGCTTTTTTAATCATTTCCTGGACGGTTTGGCTCCAATCTTATATTTTTCAAGTTTCCCGGACAACTTGGCCTCGGACTTACATTGTTTACATGTCCAGGCCCCAGTGGAGTCCTGCGTGTATTCAATTTCCACCTTCCCATTCTTTCCCCTTTATCCTCCCCCCCCCCCCCCGGTACTGCTCACCCCAAAATGGAACCGAAGCCGAACCCACTAAAAGCAAGCCCAAAACCAAATGTGCACAGGTATTTGTTTCCCTAAAACAAAAGCATCCTCAAGATGCTCAAACAAAAGTACACAATAATCCTTCATTTCAACCTTTTGCTGCCTGGGCCTCTCATAACTCCAATCATTTGAATGGTGTCATGGCAGTCTGCCACAGTTTGGTGCCTGCTTTAAGGCCCCATCACTGCCAGAAGAAGCCTCAAGCTTTTGCATGTCTGGTCATTCAGTTTTCGGGGCCGAGACGAGGGTTTCTCCGTTCTCAGGGGACAAGTACACCATCCGGGTGGATCCGGATTTGCGTGTGGGCCCTGATCGCGGCCCTGATCGCGAGCCTGGGCAGTGCCTGAAAGGCATCATCGAGGAGCGAGGTCCAGGGCGTGGCCCTGTTCGCATGGTTGTCGTTTGGACACATTTTTCCCATTTTTGCTTATTGTGGTTTAGTGGGAAATCCCCCTTAACTGCTAAACGTCAACCAAGTTTGGGTATGGGTCAAAAAATCAACAAGGATATGGACCGCAGGTTTGAGCCATGTTTCCACTTAGGGTTCCATGTTGGGTACATATTTTTGACCCACAGCCATTTGAGCACCCCGGAGAAAACAGGATCAGATGGACGCAGGGGTTCTAGGAAGAAGAACCCTGCTCGATTTGGTCTCCGTTTGCAATCGAGCGCAGGCACTTTCCAGCCCCGACAGTCAACAGGATGAAGAAGCGGCAAGTATCCAGGAGTTGTTTGGCTCGCAGAAATCTGTGGTGTTTGCATTTGGGTGTCTTTTTGAAGGAACCGTGTAGGGTCGCTTTGAAGGAACACCAGCAGGAAATCCAGCTATGATTGGAAGACGCCCATTTGCAGGTCGCCAATTGGGCGGCTTCTTCCATTCGCTGTGCTTCCATCGCGTTCCGTCGACCTTCCAAGGCGACCGGTCTGTTCGGGTGTCTGCTTTAAGGGTACCCGTTTTGGGGGTTGTAAGATGAACTCAGTCATGGAGCACCGTTCCGAGACACCAGCTCGCCGCGAGGAGATTTCCGGCATCGCGGCCTCTTGCCAGACGCTCTTCTGCAATCGCTGCAAGATGAGCAATGACAGGCCTGCCATGTGCGAAAGGCTCCTTTTGGTGGCTCCCAGCCATCCGGTTACTAAAAGTTAAACTTTTAGCGGGGGATCTGAGGGCAGCACAGGTACGACCTTTCAAGCTTTTGACCTTGTGGACAATGTGCATTTCCCAACCGACTCTCAGAAAGTTTCGTGTTTGGAGGAGTTCACCGAACCACAGTTACCCTGAAGCTGCACGGCAAAAATGCACAAAGGGATTTCGAGGGCCAATGTGTGTGTGTGTGTGTGTGGATGTTGTTTGTGTGTATATTAGTTTTGTTTGTTTGGGTGTGCATTGTATTGCTGTGTGATTTTCTTGGCAATTGTGTTTGGTGTTGTGTTGTGTTGGGTTATGTTGTGTTGCGCTGCGTTGCGTTGTGTTGCGTCATCCCTTTCTTTCTTTCTTTCTTTCTTTCTTTCTTTCTTTCTTGGCTTGATTGCTTCCTCGCTTGTCGCTCGCTCGCTTGTGTTTGTTTGTTTGTTTGTTTGCTTGTTTGCTTGTTTGCTTGTTTGCTTGTTTGCTTGTTTGCTTGCATGGTTGTTTGCTTGCTTTTTTGCTTCTTCTTTTTTTTTTTGCTTGTTTGTTTGCTTGTTTGCCTTCCTGCCTGCCTGCCTGCCTGCCTGCCTGCGTGCGTGCGTGCTTGCTTGCTTGCTTGCTTGCTTGCTTGCTCGCTCGAGCGCTTGCTCGCTTGTGTGTTTGCGTGTGATTGTTTGTTTCTTTGTTTGTTTGTTTGTTTTGCGTGTTGTTTTGCTTTGTTTCGTTTCGTTTTGTATGTTTAGCTGTGCTTGTTTGCTTACTTGTCCGTGTGTTGGTTTGCTTTGTTTTGAGTTTATTTTGTTTGTTTGTTTCTTGTTTGTTTTTTGTTTCTGTGTTCCTTCTTTCCTTCATTCCTTCATTCCTTCCTTCGCATCTTCCCTTCCCTTCCCCTTCCCTTCCCTTCCCTTCCCTTCCTTCCTTTAGCCTTGGACTGTTTCCTTACTTGTTCTACTTGGTGTGTGTGCGTCATCAGTATGAGGGTTCCCTTCGCGGTTGTATCGCCTCAGGACACCAACGGAGACCAAAGACGGAGACCACAAACTTGAAATCACGAGTGCCCAAGACGGACTGCAAACAACTCGCGGCTTTGTACTGTGTGGCTCCCGATTGCCCGACTTTGACTCTCCAAACAAGCTCATTTCCAAGCATGCTCCACATGAGGAAAGCTCAGGGGCCTGTGTGGGGACGGCAACCCTGTTGCAGCTCATCCCTGTAACCGTGTGCTCGGAGCATTCGAGCGAATGTCATGCCAGGCACACTTTGCGGTCCTACAACGCGCATCAAGATGTGGAGGCGTGGCATATGTGAGGACGCCAAGAACTCGAAATTGACGCGCTTCCGGGTCGCAGCCCAACATCGAGGGGGCAGCCATAGCCAAGGCAAATACAAGGGGTCCTTATATATATATATATTATTTGTTCCCCTTACCCTTTTTTGCCTAAACAATTTCTGGATAGATGCCTGAGTCTCAACGACTACAAAACGACAAGGTCGCTGACATGAACTGAGATAAAGTTCCACGTGTTCTTTGTTGCATTTTGCTTGGATGTGAGGACTTTAACACTTTTTGCCAACTAATGGGTTTTCCATTAAACTACTAAAAGTTAGAAACTTTTAGCAGGGGAGCAGAAAGCAACCAAGTCTGTTGCCCTATGATCTCCCAGTGGAACAATGGTTTTTCAAGCCGCCGGGTGGCCGGGCAGAGAGTTGTCTGAGCAGCCAATTCATTCTCCAGCGGAGAGTACTGGCGAACAGCCCAACCGAATTTCCGTCAAATGGATACTCAACTAGGTCCTCTCCCCTTGTTTTGGGGGGAGGACACCCGCTACCAAAATGGACTAGAGAAAAACATCGGGTGCCCTTCTTCGATCCTCCAAATCTGGAAAATCTGGTGAATAGTTCCCGGCTTCAGGGCCTCCGACCGCCGGGCGCGGATTCTTTTTCTCGCGACCTTATTGAAGCAATAAATCTGACCCGAAGAAGCTGGTCATCGAGGGTCTCCTCCGATGTTATATATTTTGTCGGCAGCTTAGATCTGGGGCCTCCAAAACAGTTGTATGTTTTGTTGGTAGTCAGATGACATCTAGGGTCTCCAAAACAGTTGCAACATGTTTTCACCAAATATGAAGAATCTGAAGACCTCATCTTCGGTTTTCAGAGCCCGTGTGGAGGTGCTGGTGCGCTTCAAGGGCTGCAGGCTCGATGCGGATGCCGCACCAACGCGGGGGGTGGGCAGGTGGGTGCTTTGGGAGGGTGGGTGGGTGACTTTGGAGGGGCGCGGTGCTTGGAAAGTTGGAGAATCATATGGTTTTTTGGGGGCGCATGAAAAGATGGCTGGGCATTTTGGGGTTTCCCGGGCCGGTGTTTTCGTTGTCCAGAGAGAAAGCCAGCGAACACCGGCGAACAAATGTGCCAGGCCCGGCATCCTGCAGGCCAGCACTTTGAAGTGGCGGCAGCAGCAGGCGGTGCGGGAGCAGCGCCGGCAGCGTGCCAGGCGGTTTGGGGTTTTTGGGTGGGGTGAGGGCGGGGGGGTTGGGCTTTAGGGTTGGGGAGGGGGGGGGGGTTGTAGGAAGGATAATTCGTGTTTATAGAACGCTGCGCCCTGTGGCGGACAGCACCCCCTAAGCCTCCTCCGACCCTACCTGACTTTTTTTTGGCGAGGACGAAAAAAAGTTCCTGCGGAGCAGTGTCCCGAATTGTGGTTGGAGAAAAACAATGGGGAGGAGCCAACGAGGCATGGGGTTGGGGAACTGCGGGGGAGGGGGGGGGGGGAGGGGGAGGAAAGGTGGTTTGTTGGGGGTGGGGGGGGCTTGGGATGGAAAGCGCAATGCGAAAAGAAGTGGAGCAAGCAGCGTTCCTCCATACTTCTCGGTTCAAGCTATGGCAATAGTTTCCTTTTGCTTAAGCCAGAGGGTTTGTGTGTCACCATATGAGAAACACCCATGTGGCTTAGTCATGCGTGTCTTTCGAGTTTATTTTGGATTGGACCAGAAACATGAAACCACCCTTGACATGGCTTCCTTTCAACACACCCCGAAACCATCTCAAAATGGCTGAACCTTGGCCCGTCGGAGCCACTTGAAAGACATCGAACACATCCAAGCACAACAACCCCCTTTCAAACAAGTCATGGACACCCAAGTCATGGACACCATGGACACCATGGACACCATGGACGCCCCAAGCCCCACCCAACATGGACGCCCCTTCTCCGTCCAAAATCCGAGGGCGCTCAGCGCTTCAGAGCCGAAGTGCCGGGTCATGGAGTGCTGGCAGAGCTGCGTGGTGCCGCAGAACGGGACCTACTTCCAATATGCGCCCCTTGGGACCACGGAACGTGGACATGTGCCGAAGGGGATGATCTTCTCGTGTCTAAAATAGGGGCACGGCCTGGTAAAGTGGTTGCACAGCCTGGGAAATGGACCCAGGGGCTCTAAAATTTCTGCCGTTGCCTGGTTACTTTTGACCCATGCCCATGTTTGTTCTTTGGGTTGCACAGGCAGTCGTGACATTGGATCAACGAGCTGTGCCAAAGTGTGTGATGATTACCTCCCGCCCTTCTTACATGGAACCGGATTTGGTTTCAGGCACTCCCGAATTCTGGCCACGCATGGCCGTGTGTCAAACTAGGGACATGGTTTCCTTCTTCTTTCGGGTCAACTTTTGACACATCCCTTCACGGCACAGGCGTCTTTCAACTACATCAGGGGCAACCAATGGAGATCAACCGCTTGGAGGAATGGAACTCCCTAATTTTGAGAAGCTCCCAGGGCGTGCCTGTTGTTGGGGGACCCCGCAATGGTTGGCTTTCCGTTGGGGTACCCTACAAAAAGGCACACACACACACACCTATATAAACCTTCCTGGGTCCCCCAGTAGTGCCCTTTTGCCCACTTCTTTTGGGGAGAAGTTCCCCTACTAAAATGGACTACAGAAAAAAGATGCGCCCTTCTTCTAACCTCTCTGCTGGCGGACCCAGCTTCATACCCAGCGGGGGGCGAAACGAGGAAGCGTGGCTTGGAGGGGAAGCTGGCCCAGCGCTTTGACCTCCAGTCTGACGGCAAGGCTGCGGATCAGAGGAGACTCGCTGGGTGGCTCGTTTTTTTTCTTTGGGTTGAAGGGACACCAACAGGAACGACACCATTTTCGGGAGTCCCCGAAAGAGAAGACCACCCCTTGCCGGGTTTTCGGGTGTGACTCAATGCTAGTGGATGTTTTTCCTTTCGAATTGCCTTTTGAAACTGACCAAAAAGGCCCAACTGTCCGCAGATTTGGTTTGAGGGGGAAACCGTCTCGAGCGGAAAACGCGTGCGACTCGGACATATATTTGTTTCTTCGCAGGACTCAGCTTTTCCACGACCCCTTTGTGAGCTTCGGGGACTACCACACCTGGCGTCCCGGGGCTGGCACAAGAGAGTGGGATCGCATCCGGAATGGACCGGCCTACACGCAGAAGTTGGAGTTTGAATGAGCTCCAAAGGCGGCGTGGCTAGTGCTGGCAATCGGATTCCCGCTGATTCATGAGCGGGAACTCTCCCACGAACCGCGTGCGAATTGGTGCAGGTTTTGATTTGGATGAGCCAGGAGCGCTACTCTAGGAGGACACTTGGATCGCGGCCTTTGTTCCAGGGGTACCTTCTTCATTCTTTCCAGGGATCCTTCATTCTGGAAAACCTCCGGAAACCCAGGGAAAACGGCAGGTTTTTGGAAAGATTTGTCAGTTTTTTCAATTCTTCGACGCCCCTGGCGCCTCATCCGTCCGTTCGCGGGCCCGCCAAGCGGGCCAGCAATCCAAGCGGGCAGCGCGCCAAAGCCGCTTCGCCCCGACCAACGAGGGGAACGGGACACAACGTCCATCACTGAAGTGAGGCTAACGGTCCAACTGCGTGCGCGCTGAGAGCCAAAGAAATCATCCTTGAAGCGCCTGGTGCAACTGCCGGCTTTTGGGGTTCAGGCTTGAAAGTTGTTTTCTGTAGTCTGGAAGTTATAGTCTCTCTGCAGCCCTTCTAGTCTTCCGGCTTCCTGTAGTCTTCCCATATCTTCCTGCGGGTGGAGTACATCATCTAGGAGTGTGGATATTTTTCTTTTTGGGGAAAGGGAGGACCCACGTTGTGGGGCCTCTCGTGAGCTCCGCCTGCATCAACCGGCGGGTCACTTCGCTCGCTTGGCTCCAGCGATATTTGGTTTTCCAGGTTTCCCATGAGAAAGTTGGCTCCATGCAGCCTGCGGTTTCGGAGGTGCACGCCATTGAGTCCAGAAACCTGAGGTGCCATGGCAAGAACCCCTACAAGCCGATGGGTAAGGTGAACAATGTAAGAAAAGCCACGCCCAAGGCGAGAAAGACACGGAAAAACCACCCCCAAGGCGAGAAAGACCCGGGTCATGCGCCCAAAAAGTTTACCAGCAGACTTCGCCCCTTGCGGCGTGTGCCTTTTGTTTTTGTTTTTTTTCTCGAACCGGCGGAACGTGGCCCAGCCGCCGGCGCGGGCCTCAGACTTGCCGGGAAATCGGCCCGGGGAAGCGGCCCAGGAAATCGGCCGTGTGCCGCATGTCGCGGCGCCAAGGTGTTGGTTGGGGACTTACGTGTTGGAAGCCAAAGAGAAACCGCCCATTTTGGAAGACCCCACATGTGCAGACTTTTGGCCAACTCAGCAAGTGAGAATCGAGTGTGTCGCTTCGGGCCAGCGACTCCAGCGACCCTGGACAGATTCCAACCATTTGGGGCTAGCATACTGCACGCACACATGCACCGCACACAACACAAACCCAAACATAAATACAAACACACGTACGCACGCACGCACGCACACGTTTTTGTTACGTCATGCAAGCTCTTCCAACTGTGTGTTAGAAGCGACTGAACAAGAGAGCTGCCAGAAGCATGTGTTGTGGTCCTTGCGAGAGAGCTTGCTGACTGGGAAGTCGGATTGCACTAAGAACATCGGCGCGGTCAGTTTAGCTGGCACGACCCGATCGGCAAGGTTCCCGCTGGCTTGATTAATCTGACAGTGCGCTCGGTGCAAGCAGTTGCTTCATAACTTCAAGCTGATGCTTGATCTCTGGGTGCTAAATAGTCCATAAGTCATAAGTCTATTAATTTATCCAAAGGGAAGCCAAAGGGGATGGGTATCGTTCTTTCCCAGCTTGTTTTCCTTTAAAACAAGATAACAATAAAGATAGTAATGAAGTGGGTTGGGCGTTTATGAAAACCCTTTGCATTTGTTTCAATAGCCTGTTCCTTGCTGGGTTCTTGGATGGTAATCTCTGGATTTCGGGGTTGGAATCTCAGCCCAGTATCGGATGTTTGGTTTGTTGAAATCTCCGGATTCCAGACCCCAACGTTGCATCGCCTGTGGCGCAGCAGCGCAGCTGGTTTCGGCGAAGCGCCAGGCATGGCCATCAATGCCGTGCGCTCCGAGCGGAGGACCGTTTCCGTTTGCGAGCGAGAGGGTCCAGCGCTTGTCGGAATGATAAACCAACCAAACAACCAACCAGGCTGACAGGTTGACAGGTAGGTTGGTTGGTTGGTTGGTTGGTTGGCTGGCTGGCTGGTTGGTTTGTCAGTTGGTTGGCTGGCTGGCTGGCTGGCTGGCTGGCTGGTTGGTTGGTTGGTTGGTTGGTTGGTTTGATTCATAAACCCTGGTGGATTTTGATTGGAGATGTCCGATGTGGGAATCTGTGGCTTGTGGGCCCCTAACAGTAGGACGGGCTTATTAGACCCTTGGTTCCCATTAGCTTCACAAGCAATGTGCCAATGCACGTTGATGGTGACCCTGTTAGGGTTTGCCTTTCAGCACCCTCTGGAAAACGAAAAGGCCCCCCTGTTTTCCCCAAAGTTGTGTCAGCAGATAAACCCTTCGGAAACAAGAGCCCCCTGTTTCCTTTTTTCCCACAGGCTCGGCAGACGAGCAACGGACCACAAACCTGGTTGATATCATATTCCATGGTTCCCTATCGGCCATATGGGTTTTGCAGTTTAGAGGGTGTTCGTTTCTAACGCAAATACTGTACCCATCGGTCTCTCGTTCTACTGTTGTGCATTCAAGCAAGATGGGCCAGTACCAGGGGTCTCCAATATACCATTGATGTGATTGCCCTCACTGAGCTGGCTGGTCAAAACCCATTGCTTGCGGGCTTTCTTTGATGACTTCCACTACTGTTGACCGCATATTCGGTGTCCCTGGGTGAGAGATGTGGGCAATCGGACCACTTTTTCGAGGGGGGCCCACCCCCCGATGGTCATAAACTGGCTGGCGCTTTTAACTAGGGTCAACATAAAACCACCCGTTTTCATGGGGACCTGCCCGAGGGAATTTGCGGCAGGACAGATGAGTACCTGAAGCTATTGCAGAGCACCACTGATGTGGTGGCTCCTGGGCGCCTCGGCGGGTTTTCGGGTTGCCCAATTTGGGGCCGTGGCGTCGGTGGGCCCCTCTTCTTTGTGGCCCAGGAAAGCCCAAATGTCCATGGGTCAAAATCCCGTACCCTCAGCGAACATCCCAATCCCCACGAACATAGACTAAAATGGGTGGCGCACCTACCCCAACATGGTACCATTAGTTTTGACTCACAGAAACCCAAATGAGCCACTTGCTCCAACTCGGGTAGATCATCGATCTTTGTCCAAAAGGTGTCATGCTTAAGTGTCAAAAATGCGGCGAACCTGATTCCTAGCCGCGAAAGGGAGGGGCAAAGAAACCGGCTGGTTCGCGGGGAATCAGGCGATGGTTTTCCTGAAACCATTGGTTTGCGGGGGTGAAAGCCTCTTCCGGGCTGCAAAAGTTCGTTTTGAAGGGGACACTCAAAAGGGTTCGAGCCTTTGTCGTGCCCTTCCTCAAAGGGAATGGATGACAGGTGGGTTCTTTGGTGCCAGCGAAGTGAACCAAACAACGCCTCGCCTTTTGGAGGCCCTGGTCGACGAAATCCATTTCGCACCGTTCAGGAACCCAACGGAATGAAGAACATTCCCCAGCACCAACAAGCATTGTGGTTTTACACCATGGTTTCAAACTTTCTGGTTCTCCGCAGGGAATTTGAAACCTTTCACTACAGGAATCCCCAAAACCGCTTCATTGCCAACACCCGGACTCAGAAACTCATTCCCCTATCGCAGAAGCAAAGTGGCCAAGCTTAGGACCTACGAGCCTGGAAAGGGCAGGGCCGGAGCCCGAGGTACGAGAGAAGGGGCCATGGTGAAGTATGGATTCTGGATGGCAGCCCTGCAATTGGACACAACTTACCGGGACGTTTTGGACAGATGTGGTCGGTTCGCTTGCAATCAGGGAAGCGCGCGCCCTACATATGAACCCCGGACAAAAAGGGAGTGCGTTTACCCTGGAAGACCCGGATTTCAAAAGAATTCCCTCAAAAAAGCGGCTTTTGTGGAATAGAGAGTAGCTGAGCAGTTGAGTTGGGACTCCGGCTAAGGGCAAAGCTCCCCATCTGCGCAAGCCAGATTGAAATGGGGCTGGTGAGCCCTGTATCTTGCATTTTGGTGCAAAGCGTTGAACATATGATCATAGGTGTCTTCTTAAGATTAGTTAAAGATAGCTGGCACTCGTTTAGATGGGCTTTTTTCCATTTACCAGGGCAATTGTTTTTTCCAAAGGGCCACCTATGCATATGACAGCTCCCCGAGCATTTTGGGATTGCAAATATGTTGAGCCCTAAGCTTTGCGGCCCGAGCCAGCCGTGGATTCCGGGGATTTTGATTTGATTTTTGCCACCGATCTCCGGGTCTAGCCCATACCATGCATGGATATTCAGATTATCGAGTGTCACTGTATGGTTTGTTCTTCGTTTTTATCTACTATTGTTCATTGACATGAAAGCATCCGATATTGATGTATTATGACCGATGCTCATTTATTCTTATGAATGACTTGCATTGCTGATTGGTTTGTTTACTGATTCATTTCTGATTTATTTATTTATTTATTTATTTGCTTATTACGGAAATTCATATTATGTTTATCCGCCAGTTTTGTTTTGTCACTATATGATTTATCTAATTACTTAGGTTCCGAGTTGTTCTTTCCCATTTCTTGCTTTCTTCATATCCTGCATTGTTGGGAGTTGTTTGTGGTCGCCTTCAGCTATCATGGCTATCTATCAGCTTTGTTTGGTTGGGGAGCTGGTGGTTTGGAGGTGTTGTTTTACTCAACCATTTCTTTCAAATCTCCGAGCCAATGAGCGGCTACGTTTTCACCGGCTTGGGATCTTTGGGATCTAGGCCTCGGGAGATGCAATGGCACCCTTCATGAGCATCCAGGCCGGGTGTGCCGCCATGGCGGCTGGCTGGCTGATAAATGAAGGGGGTGCTATATCATGTAGGGCAAGCATACTGTGGATGGTTGCGAAATCCGTTCGCACCAAAGAAGCCATGGAAACCATTTGTTGGTATTTACAGGGGCATGATCTATCCCGGGTTTCTTAGGTGGTGCAGGAATTCGTCCATCCACAGCATGTTTGCCCTCGCCGCATTGGGCTTTTGTTTTCCAGTTTTGTGGAAAGCTGTTTGGGGACTTTGATTCTGAGTGGGTGCACCCCAAACCCAGCATGTTGTGATTCCATGGCAGGTTCTGTTAGCCTGCGTAACCAGGTTAGGCACTTCTCGATTTCAGGTCCAGCAAAGAGAAGCGCACTTGGGGTTGGGCCCATGCTGGTTGCCTCAACATGGTCCCAAACAAGCCGAAAGCGCACAGTCATATCTGCTTTTTTGCGCATGAATCTAGATTGGCTAAATTTAGTCTGCAACAGGTTGGTATTTCAGGTTATTTCAGGTTCAATTTCAGTGTCTAAGACACAACACCTGAATTGAGCAGCACCCACACCCCCGTTCCATTGACTCAAGCAACTCGTCCAATCAGTCTTTTCAAGCATAGCCCTCCCTGTTTTGTGTCCCTGTTGTTTTCAGCTTTCTGGAAATTTCCAGAAGGTTTTCTGGGTTCAGGATCTCAGGACATGGGTTGAAGTTTCCCTACCACTCACTTTTGGCCGTCGGGACACAGATCCGCAGGACAGGGATCTCAACCCTTTGCCCTGGTCGAAGTGCACCCCGGGGCCGGTGCCTTGGTGTCCGGGCGTCTCAGGTAAGGGGAAATAATTGGTTGCTTCTCAAAATTGGTTTCCTTTTGGTAGGACCCCAATTTTGGGTTCCTAGAGGTTTCCTTTTGGTTGACCCCTAGAGGTAGGCGGTTTCCTTTTGGTTTCCACTTTAAACCAACCGAAAGGGGGGCCTAAGCCCTCAGTTGGTGGCTTGGATTGACAAGAGTGAATGGGAAACCACCCCTTCCTTAACCACACCAATCCAACCAATCACTGGACAGCTGATATGCCAACTCTTTTTGGTTGATTTAGAGATAACCCAAAAGGAAACGGTCAAGTAATGAGAATCAACGATTCTGTGTGCATGACCAGCCCAGGACTTTGCGCTGCCTTGGGCTTTTCTTCCAATTCCCTGGGTTTTTTGGGACTTCATGATTTGTCCCAGGCATAGTGGTACGGGGGCAATAATGGCCATATTGTTTCAACATTGGACACCCTTTGGTATCAAAAAACAAATCGTTTTTTGGGTTCACGGTGGTTCCGACTCTCACCCTAATTCATGGCCAACAGGGAAGGTTTTTGGGTAAGGTGAGCTTCACGCTGAGGCCAGGCGCATATGTTGGCCAAGACATGCCGGGGACGCCAGACTGGATCGCTTGGAGCCCGTGAAATGGCCCCGGGAATGTCCGAAAATTCCAGATGGGACAATTCTAATTTTCAGAGAACACCTGAAAAATTGGTTTTCTGAGGTCCACCAAAGGATGGGGCTAGTATATTAATTTTCCGGATGGGTATATACCTGAAAAAATGGTTTTTCTGAGGTCCACCAATGGGTTTTCCCAATTAAAACTCGAATACATAATATGTTGTATTGGTGCTCCTTGTTCATTCTCCTTGTTCATGTTCGTTTAAACCATCCTTTCTGGACCCTTTGACACCCAGCCCTTGGCGACATGGATTGGCATGCTCTTCAGGTGATGGGGTGTTGCCGAAAGAGCATTTATCCTTGGCTTACATTCAAGTGAGCATCTCTGTTCTCACAATGACCATCTGGGTGGATTTCTCATTTTTGCGCTTTTGGGCAGCCCATGAGTGTCGCCATAGACCGATTGGTAGAAGGGCCCCTTTCCTACAGTTTTCGGAGTCGTCACTTCTAGAAAGCATTGAAGCGCTGAGCGGGGTGTGTGAGTTGCTTCCCTCAGGTTTCAAGTTGCATCGGTTTGCCAGTGGAAGAACTCAACTCGGAATGGTTGGCCATGGATTTCCCGTTGAAGGCAAGAGCTCGTGCAGGGTAATTAAGTTCGCAGGCCGCCGACCCTCACCAGGACCCTCAAACTACCAACACAAAATCGGGGCGGGGTGGGGGGGAGTTCAGTTCAACTCTCATTTTGGGTCGCACTTCCCATGTTTAAGATATGATGTTGATTGAAGGGAGCATATTATTTAGTATACATTTTTTAGGGCGCAGGTGTTGGAAGGTTTCCTTGGGCCAACTGCTTCGGCTCTAGGCCGTCCAGCCCCAGCACTGGCCTCAGGGGGTTCTCTCCTGGGATGTTAGGTTCAGGTGAAAGGCCACGTCATGAGCTGGGGGGAATGTTTCGGCTTTACCTTGGGGTTGCGGTTGCATGTGTTTCCATTTTTCCTGAATTTCTACCAGTTGAAGGGTCCATCTCTGGACATGATGACATTATGTGCACATGGGATCGGGAACGGAACCGCTTCGCTGGTTCTCGCTTTTTGGAGGGAGCAGCTTGCGCGGAGGTTTGGATATATATATATATACATATATAATTATTTTTGGCTGTTGCTTTTTGGGACGTGCAACAACTTGTTGCCGCTTGTTGAATGGCAAGACTTGGAATTTGGGTCTCAGGGGTGGATGTTCATTCCGAAACCGTGCAAATGGTAATTTTGAGAGCAGTTGTTTCCAAAGCGGCCCCTAAGGCCCTCCATCTTGGACCTCAGAATGGGCAGGGGAAGCATCAAACATCGTCCAAAGATTGGATTTCGGAAAGGGTCCAGACGTCCCTTTATTCGGCCGAGTCAAGTCGCGCGGCCCAAATGGAATGGGGTTCTCCATTATGGGAGACACGGAAAGCCGAAAAATTGGATGGGGTGCTCAGTTGTATGCCAACCACACAAACACACGACCACCCAACCACCCAACCACAGAACCACACAACCACTGAGCCAGCCACACACAAACGCAAGAAGTAGACGCTCATCTCTTCACCGCTCCGAGCCACGAGCTTCCAAAGGCGGATGAATTCGGGCGCGGGGCGAAGCCATCCGCGCTCCGCCATGGATGTTCGACTTCGAATCCCTGGAAGCGTGCGATCCTTAGCATCGCGCGTACCATTTGGGGCCGGGGGGGCAGAGACTGAGTGAGACTCAGTTGTCAGCGCTCGGGATGGGCGTTTTTTGTCGTTCTTTTTCGTTTTGGTTGGTCTTGGTCTTCTAAAGTTTCTAAAGCAAAGCTACAGTACACGAAGAGTTGTCTTCACACTCATGTTTGGTTTCGCTTCTTTATTGGGAAGATTTGGGGATCCCCACACTCGGGGCATGGTCTGCAGCCATGGCAATTGAAGCTGATTGTTCCACTGAACATGGTGCAAGGTTTGATGACCATCCACAGACACGAAAATCAACAAAATGGTTGAACCGTGGCGGTTTTTGCGTAAGTACGAGTGTGAACATAGAGCCAACACATTGGCTGGTATTTGTTTGGCCCCCTTCCCATCCAGAAGGGCTTCCCCTTTTTTGGGGACCATATGGTCACAGCTACTTAGCAAGAACCTAAAAGGAGTCTTCAATTGGATTACATGAGCCACTGGGCTTGAATTTGCTCAAGGGAATACAACCTTGAGCACTCCTTTCCTGGTACAGAACAAGTTCCCCTAATCCCTAAAAAATCCAGCAACCATTGGTGCCCTGCTGTTGCTTAGAGCCCTCCTGCCCGAACAATGCGGGTGGCCTGTGGTTAGGTTGGCTTCGCCGGTAGGGCGCCTCCAAAAACTGCGCCCGGCGAGGGAGCCGGACATTCCAGCACCGAGCCTTGAGGACGGGGTGGGGGCGAAGGAGGGAGACGGGTGATCGCAAAATAAATGAAGCCGAGGTGTGAAACAACGTGTTTTTTCCAGCTCGGTGCGAAAATATCATATCCTCTATCCTCCAATTCATAGCCTCCCGTGATATCCTTTTTGTGCTCGGTTCCAACATCATATCTTTGTTCCGAGCCCCCTTTTGGGGCCCCCGAAGCCTAATGGGGGCTAGTAGCGACGAACAGCGACGAATGGCGACTGCCCTATATACATGTGAAAGAGAGCGACAACATAGTACGCGGCCTTGGCAGTCAGGTGCAAACACAATAGCTCCCTCACTCGCAGCTATTCAGGAGTGAGGTTGAAACCCGAGATGACATGTAGCCGTGGGAAGCAACACAAAAGCGAAACTATCACAAGCCCACACACAACCAGCACGGCCGGAACGAGCTGTGACACCGACACAGGTGGGAATTACCCCGCATCAGCATTGGCTCCCCCGGAAGCAACGAGCATGTACGCAGCCCCCGACAGGACCGTAAAAAACCATGTCTGCTTGGCCTGGCCCGACGGGAAGCGCAGTCGGCCTGGCTGCAGGCAGCATCCCCGCACCAAGCTGTCGCGGCGCCGCACCTGTCAAGTGGAGGACAGTTGCGGCCAAGCTCCTTTCATGTCCAAGAACGTCAGAGGCCGGGAAGGCAGCGTTGCCGACACACCCAGTTTCCCTGAACGCAAGCACGCGGGACGTATATAGCCGGCTCGAGGCTGTCTTGATCGTTTTGCCCCAGGCACCGTTCCAGCGCACGGCGTGACCAGCTTTCATAAAGCGCCAAGCGCCCGCAAACTGTTCAAAAGCAAATCGGAACTCAAGGGACGTTAGTGACCCGGGAGGATGCGACGCAAAGGATCACTCTGTCTTTCAACTCTGCAATTCTTGGCCAGGCACCAATCAACACTGCGAAGCTCTCTCAGGGTGGGAAGGCGACAACCCCAACCAAAAGCAGCATTGTTAACGCCGACCTCAACGCATTCATCCGCACAAGGTGATACTCAACTACGATCGTCGACCTGCAGAGCTCTGCCGGAGCAGTGAGAGCCACTGCCATAGCCTGCAGACTCAACAGGTCTCCTTAGGAAGCAAGAACCGAGCAGTTTCTGGAGCCAGCGGGGCTGGCCAGTCCAATTGCTTCTGAGCGTACCAGGAACGCCGACCGAAATGCCCAAGTGGGCAAAGAGGTCACAAGCCAAGGCCGGATCAACACGGTGGAGAACCAAGCTGTAGTCGTACGTCCCGAGATACCCACGATGTTAGCGCGTGGCGCTTTGTGTACCTCACTCCCCGTGTTCATGGACTCAAACTGTTTGAGAAGACCAACTTCGTGGCAAACAAGCAATTTGGGCAGTTTTGGGCCAGCCCACTCAGGAAGAGAGGCACTTGTTCAAAGCCTGTGGGCATGAAGATCACTGCAAGTTCCTTGGCCCAACGCGACAGCTAACCGCAGCGTGCGGGCCACGCACCCACCCCAGCAGGCAGACTCCAGCGATCAGTTGCTTGACAGCCGCCAGGAGTAACCTCCGGCGCCGTCCAACCACTGGGCCCTGTTGACTGTTTTTAGGGGCCATCGAGGTCAGACAATGGTGTTGCTTCCCTTCAACCCATTTTGAAGGTCACCAAGTTTGCGACACGCGATCGGGGCTTGCCCGCCAGAGAGTTGAGCAGACAGAACGCAGCAGCACACCAGCCGGGGCACCTTTGGACCTTGTGGTGTCCGAATTTTGGCAACCATTTCTAGTCGCCTCTTTTTGGGTCCCCAAGGAACAACTGAGTCTTCGTGCTTTCCGAAAAGAAAGAAAAGCCAAAAGAGCACCTCGCGTCGGCTCGACTCGGGCGGGAGTGTCCGAGTGTCCGGCTCGAGGAGCGGTGGCGAGCCATGGGCCTGGAGCCGGAGCCCACGCCTCGGGTGCGAGAGGGCATGAAGCTTCCGAGTCCGGGGTCAGCCTTGAGAAAACCAACCAACACAAACTTTCTCCGAGGAAATCGACAGAGACAACAAGACCTGGAGAAAACCAACCGAAACCAGAGACAAAATGTTTCAAGGCCTCTACACAAGAGGTGAGACGTGGCCATTCTGCTTCTTCTCCGCCTACCGCCCCGCCTCCCGCGCGCATGCGCCGCACGGCGTCGCATGGCTTCGGCAGGCGCGGTGTTCCTCTGGAGTCCTTGGAGGCGCTGGGCGCCTGGAAGCCCAAGGAGCTGCGCAGGGAATGCGAGCGCCAAGGCGAGCATGGGGGGGGTGGCAGACTTGAGCCCCGGACTCCCCCCCCCCCCTGTTGGCCTGGAATTTTGACATAACATGATAGAGGTATTTATTTTTATATATTTTTTGGGGGGAGGGACCCAAACAAAACAACTAGAGGAAAGACGCACCCCATATTTCGGTTGCCCTTGACGCGAATGAAAAGAGAGTTCCCTCTAATAACTGACAGCCCCGTAGTTTGCAAGACTCGATTGGTTTGGCCTGTGTCTGCAATCTCCTGTTTTTGTTTCTTCTTCGGGCTGTTTGATCAATGTTTGGACTTCAACACTTGTGGGGGCCGGCCTCGCTCTATGCGAAACGAGCCAGGCTTGTTGGACTGAGCCCGCAAACACACCCTCACTTTGTTCCGAGCCCTCCGGTGCCAGAAAGGTGTTTAGCGGGTTTTCGTTGGTTTAGTGGTTGGGTTTCCGAGTTTCAACCAAAAGGCCAAAAGGTCAAACTTTTTGCAGGCGGTCGGTTTGGACAGTGACTTGAACTTGCGAGGGGTGCAACTACAAAGGCGGTGGGTGGATTGGCATGTGTCGCCATTGCCACAAGCTTGGTTGCTTTCTGCAGCTCCGAAAGTACAAAAGACCTGGTTGTTGCGGCTGGTCACACAACCTCAACATTTGCTCCTACACGGTGCTTTCAATGGACCAACCCCGGAAAAGTAACTTGAGAGGCCCTAAAAATGCATCCAACGGGCCCAGCCGCGTATAACACAAAGGGGAGGGTTGAGGACGCAGTTCAGCAAAAAAACTCCCCAAACACTACACCACCGTTATGTTTGGGGACCCAACAAGTTGAGGTAATTCCCCCCCCCCCAAACATGACACAGCTGCTATTTTTGAGGACTTAAAAAGTTGAGGACTTAAGAGACAACCCCAAAGGGCTTTGTCTCAAAATAGAACCCCCCCAAAAAAAGAGTTGAGGACTTAAACACATGCCACGAGGACTTTAGAAGTTGCGGCCGGCCTTTGTCCGGCGGAGCTTTTGGGGGCGAGGCCTCCCGGTGCCCCCGGGCGCGGAGAAGGGCGAGCTGCTGGCCTCGCTGCGGAAGGCGTTGACATGGCGGGGGGGGGAGGGTGGGGAGGGTGGGGAGGGAGGAAGAACGAAGGTCTGGAGGTTGAAGTTTTTTGATTTTTCGCACCTGGTCCTTCTCTCCCAAAAAACGAAGACCTCAGGGTTTTTGTTTTTTAACGCCTGGGTTGCCCCTTTTTCCCACGTGGCCATGGCACCAGATAGGGGAAACCTCAGGTGTTTTTTTACAGCTGGATTGCAGTAAGGCCGTTTCGGCTTCCTTTTTGGTGGAATGTGACGCAAGGGGGGCAATGAAGGAGCGCCCTGTTTTCTCCCAGATCGAATAGGTCCTCTTTTTTTGGGACCCTCCCCCCTCACAAGACCTTTGTCCCGCTTTTTTTAAATATATATTTGGGTTCTGTTTTTGGGGGACCCCCCTGCCCTTTGTCCAACCCCGGCGGCTCGCGCGTCGCCTTCTCGCGCCGGTCCGCGAGGTGCTGCTGTGGCAGCAGCTGCCGGCCTCTCGGCTGCGGGAGCTGCTGGGCTCCGAGGGCGGAGCGGCCGAGGCGCGGATCCGCGGCGCGGCGAGCGCATCCGAGGATCCGGCGCCTGGAATCGGAAGCCCGAAGTATAGAAGTCACCCGGGCTTGAATTTTAGTTGGGGACCCTTTCATGGACACCATTTAGGTGGGGATTCATGTCCACCAACCCCTTTTTCAGGTTCTCCATTGAAATTCATAGCCACCTGTGGCATTCGGAACCACGAACCAGCGACTTGCCGGGTTTTCTCAGACATTTCGTCCACGGGCTCCAAACACCACACCTTTTGGACCCTCTGGAAAGGCCGACTCTGATTCTTGGGGATGGTGTTTCAAGGTGCAACACGTGGAACTGACTGGAAACCAATGGTCGTAAATCAGGGAACCCAGCATCTACCAGTAGCCACGCAGCAGCCATAGGAGTTGTTTTCTAGTGGGTTTGGGCGACCACGTGGCGCTTCTGTATGATAAATATTTCACAGCGCCAGCAAGGGATCGAGAATATTTTGACGACGGTCATACCGTGGATGGACAAAATTCACTCTGCACCCATCTAGGGCAGTGTATTGCATAGAGTTTCGTCCATTTTTTTGAGGTAAACAGGGGATTTCAGGGAAGTATTGCGAAGCTAGGGAAATGGTTTGCTACCGCATCACGAAAAAGTGTGCCTATTTTTGTGTGTATGTGTATGTGTATGTGTATGTGTATGTGTATGTGTATGTGTATGTGTGTGTGTGTGTGTGTCTTTCTTTGCGACCCTTTCTTGGGCTTGGTTTACGCGAGGTATTGGAGGGCAGCCTTTTTGTGCTTGGAAAACGCGGCCGCGTGTTTTTTCGAGGGTACCCTTTCATGGGCCGGGCAGACGCCGCGCGCGATCCAAGCAACGCCAAACTGGTCGGCAGCGAGTTGACGAGGATTTGGTGGGACGCCTCATCTCCCAGACCTTCCAAACGCCGGCGCCGGCGCGGCGCTTCGGCCCTTTGGTTTGCTGAATGCGAAGGGAACATGGGAGTGGGACGTTTTGGCCCAGTTGTTTTTCCCCCCCGGGAACCCCTAACATGGCTTTGGTCCTTGGTTTTCCTTTTGGTTTCCCTTTGACATCACCCAAAAAAAAGACGAGCTACCCTTTTGGGGCGCCAAGGACATCCACTTGAGTCATGGATCCGGTTTGAGGGTTGCGGGACGCCCGAGCGCCAAACTCCCTCGAGGCTTTGGAGTCAATACTAAGACTAGGATTCCACCGCTGCAGGGGTTGTTAGAATGAACCGGTTTTGAGGATTCTCTGGGAAACCAAATCGGTTGGATGGTTTATCTTGGGGCAGTTCCAGTTCTCATTCCCTGCCTATCAAACCAGCAAGTCAAAGATCCACGGATGAAACCGAGAAAAAGGCTCGCGATCGGAGGGCGGCAACGCATTTGGTAACTGGAATGAAGGCATGTGCTTGCCCGAAACCGGATGGAAATGGCCCAATTTGGAGGGGAAAGCTAGATTCCGAAATTGCGACAAGCCCAAAATCTGCCAAGAATGCCAACCATCCCTATGCTCTGGCCCTACTCTGTGTGGTTGAATCTATGTTGGCCCGTTTTGCATGTGCTTGGCTGCTTTGAAAATAACACCAACAGGAAACCGTTGCCATTTTTGGGCGGGCCCCCTGAAAGAAGACGCACCCACCAGTGTATCCCGAATCAGAACTCACAAAAGGGCAAATCCTTGCGCAACCCGGTTGCTCAAGGATTGGCTTGGTATTCAGGATTCCCTTTGAACAGCCCAGTTGAAATACCTTTGTTTGGAATCCAAAGGGATGAACAGCATGATTGAATTGCCAATCAATCTTGAAAACAATGGTTTCAAACATAACCTTGGTTGGTTTGAACCACAAAGGGATGGTTTGTTGGTTGGTGGAAACAATGGTTGCTTGGATTGAACTACCCCTACTCAAAATACCCGCTTTTTTTCTGGGTATTTTTGGGAAAACCCGGCTTTCCGTGGTAAAAATATCCTTTTGTAGTAGAGGGTCGACATGATACCCTGGAAAAAAGGCCGGTATTTGGCGTAGGGGCTAAGGAAACGACATTGAGACAACTCCACCTCGGGCAGCCGAAGCTCTTCCTTCGGCTTCTTCCTGGGCTCAACTCCGAAAAAGGCTGGCCTAAAGCATCACAACCGAAAGGGGGGTGCCGCCAGATCATCTGCTACAAGTTCTCATCTATGGTTGACCAAACACAACCGGGGGGGGGGGGGGAAAAAAAACGAAAAAAGAAAAAAAGAAAATAAAAAAAAAAACAACAAAACAAAAACAAAACGGATTTTCCCTCCGGCCATCGAGCCCTGCGGCGCCTGGGCGCCGCCAAGGCGACATCTTCGCCCCCGAGCGCGCCGCGGCCTGGGCGAAGCCGGAGCCGCCAGAGCCGCAGGCGCCGGGAGGCCGCGGCCCGGGCGCGGGGGGGGGACGTGCCGCGCGTTTTTTTTCGGCGTTCTGCGGTTTCTCCCCCCCCCCCCCCGCCATTTTTTTGTTTTTTTTGGGTGGGTGTCCTTTGGAAGGGGATTTAAGGACCTTGATGGACGGGGGTGACCTGCCGGTTTTAGGGCGTCCGATTTTTCTGAAGCAAGATGGGGGCCAGGGAAACGGAGTTGACTTCAAGTGCCAGCGGACCCAACTCTTTCGCTTCCTCTCGTGGCCAGTGGCCTTGGCCGGCCCTGCGGCCGATCCCACCTACCTGGTCCGAGATCTCTTCGAACTGTTTGGGCCCGTTGGGCCAAAAGACTTACGACGGAGGATCCGGGGGTGGGGGCCTTTGGGTTTCTCTTGGGTGCTCGGCCCCCCGCATTGTCCCGCATCTTGTGCAAGGGGAAGTTTTTTTAGATCAACTATACACCCAGTATGCAAAGGGTACATGATGGCAAAGCGAAATGACGACTGGCCGACGTGATTTTGTCGTGGCAAAGCGTTCAACCATTGTTCATAGTGTCCTCAAGGCAAGACAGTGCTATCCCCCGGACAGAGAGCATTCCCATTTCGGCTTGAGGCAAGCTGAATGGTGATCTAGCGCGGGTCCTTTCATGGGGCAAGCCGGAGATCCGTACCGGTTGGGGCTTTATATGCCCGGCTCTGGTTACGCTGCAGATCTCCACGAAAAGTTTATATTCATTTGATCGGCAGGCAGTCATTTCCACCGGAAAATAGGCGGCTTCTAAAGAGAGAGCCATGGTGAGGGTGGAGGAATCCAACCTTAGAAGGTTGGTTGCATGAGAAACACTGTAACATACAGTGTGCTTGATCAGTGTTCCATCACAAATCACATCCGACACCAACGCTGCCATGTTTGATCTGTAAAGAGATTCGTTCGGGCCCCTGTCGCTTTCCGCGAGCATGGAAGCTGACAAGAAGGTTTTGGAACACGCCCCAGGGCACTTTCATGCTTCTTGGAAGGAGAGTACTACACCTATAGCTGAAGAGAATGGGGAGGGTGCTGGGAAAAGGCTTCGGCGATGGCCAGGTGCTGGCACGGGCTCACAGGACTCCGAATCCGCATCGTTGAGGATGTACTGTTGAGGTGCCCGGGGCGAATTCAAGCTTGATGAACTTGTAGAGACTTTGTGTTGCAGTAGTTGTTTTCAACCATAGAACTTGTGGTTGCAGATCTGGCGGCACAGGTGCCCCTTTCGGTTGTGGTTTGGTCATGGAAGGCCAGCCCTCGGAGCTGAGCCCAGCAACTAGCCGAAGGGCTTCGGCTGCCCGAGGTGGAGTTGTCTTAACATCGTTTCCTTAGCCCCTACTCCAAATACCAACTTGTTTCAGGGTATCATGTCGACCCTCTACTGATAAAGGAGGTTAATACCATGGAAAACCAGGTTTTCCCCCAAAAATACCCTGAAAAAAACGGGTATTTTGAGTAGGGGGTAGTTTCAAGGAGCCAAGCGGAAGCCTAGGGTCCCCAATTTAGAAAGTTAAACCCATGTCTCTCGGTGCCATGCAGGGGGGTGCGCGAGAAAGAAAAAAAAACGCTTTCGTCTTCGTCCCTATTGTTCGGTTATTCTGGTTTTCCTTCCCATCTTCAAGTGGTCCCAAGCCTTCCGGCCGTTGGAACCTGTCAGCAAGTTTAGCAACTGCTGATTTGGGGAATGCTTGACTCCTGTAGTAGCCTGGTTGGTAAAGCTAATTACTGAGGGCCGGTTTGCACCTTTGAAAAACACAATTGCAGGGGAATTTGTCTGCGGCTCAGTCCTCACAGTGTTACGCCGTCATAGTAAAGCTGCTGTTACCACGGGCTCTGCACGTCTGCTCATATTGCTCTTGCTTGCCATTGCCACGAATGTACAGATGTTCTAGATTGGAACCACAGGTCATTCGATTCTTTGCAGCGCAGGGTATTGTGCCGTCATCCATCCTAGGTGTCCATTTTCCGCTCCCGCTTTGGCCTTTTTGAAGGGATACGACCCTTCACTCCCGATAGACGCGTCGTTTAACCAAAGTGGTGGCACCGGGGAGGCTCCGGGGTCACTGAGTTAACTGCTACCTGTTCCTACGCGGGAAAGGAACCCGTCTTTGGGCTCCCTCTCAGTATTTTCAGAGCAGACTTCTGGCCCTTTGTCCCTTTCGGAGGTTTCGCATCAAGCGACAGAAAGGCGCCCAAGCACCCAACCATTGGGAAGCTCCTTGGTCAAAAAGCCGAAAGCCCGTTTTTTCCCCCCTTGTGGGTGTCTTCTTTTCTGCGGGGAGCCGCCCCCACAATGGTTGTCCTTCTGGTTTTCCTTTCAAACAACCTTATGGTCTTCCTTTAGTCTTCCTTTCAGTTTCCCTCTCAAAAAAAGCCAAGCATTTTGCTTCCCCCCCAAAAAACGGGGCTTCAACCCATCGGAGCGTGCTCCCACGGAGCGAGCGATCCCCATGGCTCCGCTCCAGGCCTTCAAAGCCAACCTGGCAGCCCAGGGGATCTCGCAGGGCCCGAAGCCCCGCCGGGGCCCTGGGATCCCAAGGGCGGCGCGTCCCACCGATGGGCATGGCACCAGGAGCTTTTGGTCAACCCCCCATATGGGGTGTGTGTGGGTGTGCGTTTCTTTTTGTTTGTTGGTGTTTTGGAGGGTGGTCTTAAAGGGAAGGCACAAGGAAAACCGTGAAGCCAGTTTAGGGGTCCCCTAGTTTAAAACGCACCCACGTCCATGTGTGCTTTTAAAGACTAGAAATTGTCGGTGCTTGGCTGCTGGATCGTAGGGACGTTTTTGGTTGACGATGTGCGTGTCCCCGGCCGAAGCTCATGCGGTTCAAACATAAGGTACCCCAAAATGGGTTGAGCTGGTAAATGGAAGCGAGGACCAAAGCCTGCGGTCTCCAGGTGGTGTAGTTTTGATGCCCCCTCCAACCAACAAAACGATAAACACTAGCTTAGGAATGTGGCAATAGCCATGCATAGGGAATTGTTTGAACCGAAACCCCTAGCTACGCTCAGTGAGGGTTTTTGACAAATCCCGAATCGAAGCGGCAAAAGGTTGTGAGTGGATTCCGAGCCTTTCTGAATGGCTTCCAGAGACCCAAAAGAAAATTGAGGAGCCGAAATCAGAAGGACCCATACCTTCCCACCAACTAACATGGAAGTGCAAAAAGCCCCCTCTCCAAGAGGAGTCTGTAGTCTTTCTACAGGAGTCTATGCACTTCCATGTTAGTTGGTGGTAGGGTAGCTTGTTTCCGGCGCACCCGGCAAAAACAGCCATCAACTTGGTGGAGAGATCCGTTTCAGCAACCGCCCCGCTCGAGGCCCGAGCTTTCCGACGGGCGGGTACAAGGTTCCAGGAGGCGCGGCCTATTGGCTCGAAGGGAATCGGTCGACCAAGTTTGCTCCTCACGCGGTGAAGCCATTGGTCTCTTCAAGTGGGATCCCTTGAGGTGGTCTTCTTTTTTTTTTTTTTGTGTGTAAGGGCAATTGCCACGCGTTACCAGATCCACCAACTAACATGGGTTCGTGCATGGACTCCTGTAGAAAGACGACAGACTCCTCTTGGAGAGAGGCTTTTGGCACTTCCATGTGAGTTGGTGGGAAGGAATGGGCTCATAGGATCCTGCTACCAAGTGACCACTGGATGTAACCCAAAAAGAAATCTAAGGAATATGGGGCAGAATCAACACCAGGCAGTAAAATGCTGATTTCAGAATCAAAACCAGGTAGTGCCCATGTTTTCGGGCTGAATTTGAGCCGAAGAGGTTTCCTAGCCGCGCAGGTGCAGGAGGAAGTCCGCCGACCGCAAAGCCGCGGCCGACTGCAAAGGTGCCGACTGCAAAGGTGACGCCAGAGGCGGGTGCGCGGTGTTCGGATGAATCCGGTGGCCACAAGTAGGCTTGATGGACAAACATTCCGCACCGTGAATGAAATGAACCCCATGACTGGCACACATGGCCATGGGTCAAAATTTCGTACCCCCAGCATCCCAATCCCCACTAAAATGGACTAAAATGGGTGGTGCACCTACCCCAAAATGGTACCGTTGCCACAGCCACATCACCTGCCAACAGGTCGCTTAAAGGATATGTTTGGGCCAGCTAAAATATGACTTTGACCAGCTGATTTCGCGGATTTTCCATGTGGAGCAGGTGGTGTTTTTCGGATGCATCCTTTATGGAAACCTTTGCAACACAGGTGGCCTTTGGACCCTTGGCCTCGTCTTAGGGGAACTGGCAGTTTGTTCTCACCGCGTGGTTCCGAAACTTCTAGTGCCACCTTCCCCATTCTTTCCAGGGATCTTCAGGGAAACGGATCCGGTTTTCGAAAAGAACGATGGCTGGAAAGAATGGACCAGGAATCAACCCTTAGAAGTTAAACTGGTTGACTCTCCATGGAAGGGAGTCAGAGCAACCATGTTTTTCTGCGTAGCCCAGATGCGGCCCAGATCTTTTTCCTATTGACAAGGGCCACCAGAGCGAAAAAAGGGAAAAGGCAGCAGAGCCGACGCGGGTTCAGAGCGGAAGCCCCAAGACGGCGGCAAGGTTTGTCTTGAGTTCTGGCAACCCGCCCTGAAGTAAACGCAAGATCAATGAAGGCACCCTCTCTTCAGGGGCTTCTCCTCGTGTTTTGATCATGGGGGCTTGGGGGGGAGGGAGCCCAAATAAGCCCTTATTAAGCCCTCAATACTTCAGCAAGGCCTTATTTAGGGCTTATTTGGGCTCCCTCTCCCCCCTCCTCCCTCCCCAGCCCATGATTTGAAGGAGTCAACCGTTGTTTTTGCCGTTTCGGGTCTCTACAGGTGGCGCAGGCCCTTCGCACACTTGGCCTGGACCATGACAGCGATGAGGAGAAGGCCAAAGGGAAGGACTGAACCAAACTCTGGGAAGTTGTGTCCAAGTAAGTGGACCAAACCCTGCACCAGCTGGTAGGATTGTTTTTTTTCTTTCTTGTAATATCAGAACAGGTCACCCTGAGCGTGCGCATGTTTGTGGTTGAAATCAACAAACAAAAGGTTTCACACCCTCTTCTCAACAAAAAGGCTCAACACCGCCAGAACACCGCAAGACACAATAAGCAAACAAGAAAACGAGACTAGGTCCACAGACAAGACTTGGGGGCATAGTCTTGTTATTCGTTATCTTTCTCGAAGTCTTTTTCACACTGTTCCAAAAAAGAAGCACACAACCTCCAGAAATCAAAATGCGCAAACTACAAAAGCAGAACAAGACTATGTCCACAGACCAGACTTGGGGGCATAGTCATGTTTTGTTTTTGGTTTGCATTTCTTTGGACAAGTGTGAGACACCTGGAGACGGAGAACACCAACAAAATGCAACACAACAGAAGACTCTGTCAGCTGTCCTGACTCGTTCTAGGTAGAGCTTGATAGATATATTAAGTAGCATTCATAAGGAATGACATTAGCGATCCCGAAAATCTTGAATTTGCTTGAGTAGAATAATCATTATTCAAGTTCTACTTTAATATAGAAATTGTGTTTGGAGTCTGTCCTTAATAATTTCGATGTAATTTCAGTCAGAAACTGTGTAGAATTTGATAAAGATATTAAGTAGATTTCAGAAGGACAGAGTTCAGAGGTCCCGAAATCGTTTTGTTTTTTTGTTAAGCCCCAGCACTACCATGGTCAGAAAACACCGTAGAACAGTGCCTTGTAGCGTCGTTCGTACTTCACCACATCTCCACCAACGGCCGCTTTGTAAGAATCAGTTTGAATTTGAATAGGATTTAATTGGGACTCAACAAGGAAATACTTGGTCAGAATCCTACTGGAAATTGCATCTTACATTTAGACTTTAGACGGAGATCCTTTCCCAATAGAACTTTACAATTCAATTAGAGTTTGAATGAATCCATTCAAGGCTTCTATTTTATAGAATTTAGCTAGATTGATTCTATATATACAATTCAGCTAACATTTAAACATAAACATAGTTCATACGCTACCGCCATTTATTTTCCCAAACGACACCTATGATTGGATTATTGCTTTCAAGGTAAGGCCCAGGGACCGCCCGATGTTGGAGAGCCTGGAAAGATCAGTAGGGCGTTAGGAATCATTCCTCTCCGCACGTGAGACGTGCGCATTCCTCTCGCGGATTTGTTTGGCGACCGAGACCCGTTCCCGCGGGGCTTATCCAGGAATCCAAGGACGGGCTGTGTCCTTTTTCCGCGACTTCCTTCCATTTGCTTGAGAATATGTTGCTTGTTTTCCCCTAACGGTTTTAAAGGGTCTATCGCTGCTGGACACAATTGTAATTTTTCCAAGGGGCTTTAGCAAACGGAAGCTTCCGCTTTTGTCCCTGTGATTTTTTGTCCCTGCTGCTGTCGCCGCACATCGGCAGGTGAAGAAGTCCTACCGGAGGTGCGGTTGGGGAAGTCGGACAACCTCATGCCACTTTGGAGTGCCCTGAGTGGCTTTGACATATGGGAGTCGTTCTAAAGGTCCTTGTAGGGAGTTTAGATTTCGGCGACCACCGGTGTTGGTTGAGGTAGCTCCGCGAAAGATTCGCGATGGAGTTGCGAAAGTAACTTTTTTTCTCGCGAAAGTTTGCGTAACTGTATCATATAGTAAATCAATGATATATGAAACCATTTATCTTTGCTACTGAGCCTTCCTTCCAAGCTGATTAGAACACTTTGTTGACTTTGCACTGATAAAGTGATAAAGCCAGGTGAGGCTACAGTTTGATATCCTGCTTGGCTGGTTAGTGCTCCAAGCCTGTGTATGTGCGCCTGTGGGTGTTTAGTCGGTGGCTTTCCGCTCTGAAACGTGGGTGATTTTTCGCGAAAGTTCCGCGAGAGATCCGCGAAAGCCCGCGCGAAAGCGCAGTCAGTATACTGGCTTGGTACTGGAAACTTGCGACTTTAAGCTAGAGCTGCACGGCTTACGAGAAGCTGCGACTTTCCAGCCGGTTCATGTCACGTACTACCCCTGTGATGAAAAGTTGCGACTTTACAGCTGGAGTTGGGGAATCGCATGTCGCGCACTACGCTGGCACTTAAAAGCTGCGATTTTCTGACTTGAGCAATTAAAACGGCACGGCGATGAATCCGCGAAAGATTCGCGAAAGTAACTTTTTTATTCGCGAAGAATGGCCGTTTCGAGACAAAGGAATTTAGAACAACCACCATATATCCCAGATGGCTGGGTCAAAAATATGTGGTTGAATTTTGACCCATACCCATATGAGGAACCAACCAGCAGCATTGAAATGGCTGTGGATTTCGACATTGATGATGATTTTAGTGATGTTGGACATTTAACCCACAATTTTAACAGTCCCGGCAACAGTAGCAACATACTACCCCCAACAAACTCTTCGCCAGGATCGCCTCGACATATGGCAGCCCAATCATCATTGTTATTTCCTAGGGAATTATGCAAATCAGCTCATAGTATCCACTGCAATGAACATGGTATTCCAGCAACACAGTACGATTCACCAGCTTAAACTGTTACTCGCAATGATTAGACCATCTGAGTCGCGAATCGCCACAGATTCGAGTAAGTGGTCTCCCAAAAGGCAAAAGGCCGATGCGTAGCTTCAGCGCGAGGCTGGCGTTGCTGTACCATCCGGCCGGCGCCTTAAGGAAGGTTCTGGCCTGTGGCCGAAGGTCGAAAGGTGTTGGCTCTTTGGATGGCAGGCGCGGATCGGTTCAGACCTTGACCAACACACACACAAACACAAATACATATATGTATATATATATATACACACACACCCTCCCAAAAGGCCCTTTCCAAGAGGAAAGTAGTCTTTCTACAGGGTCTGTGCACTTCCATGTTAGCTGGTGTGAGGGTATACATATATATATATATATATATGTACATATATATATATATTAATAAAGAAGCAGCATTCTGAGCATTTGACAGAGACACAGCAATGCATTGGGCGCTAGCAGCTCTGGAGGTGACCGACCCTCCTTGGCCCGTCGCAGGAAGGGACACCCTTGATTTGTCCAGTCATGTTCGATGGGCGAAGCCCTGCCGGGTGATTGCTGGCTGAACCGGGCACGTGCATAGACATAGCTGTCTATGCATGTGCCCGGTTTTATTGACATAGAATGTCGTCTCAGTTTCAGACGGCGGCTCCTACATGCGGGTGAAGGGGCCTTCTTGAATCCAGCCAAAATAGATATGATGTTCAGAACTATTACTATTCTCTTGCAAGGATCACACATTGCAGTGCATTGAAACTCATGACCCAAGGATTTTCCCTCCAACAAAGACACATATGGGTGTCCTCCTCTTGCAGTTTTTAGAGGGAACCAAAAGGACAACCGAAGCCATTTTGCGGGTCCAACCTTAAAAAAGACACATCCATTGTGTTTTTGTCTTTTGCCAAGGACAAGAACGGCTCAGCAGATGCCGAGCTCTTCAAAAGTGTCACTCGCGCCTACGAGATTTGCTGCGGCCATTTCCAGGCGCGACCTCCGGACACCGGAAGAGGGACCCCAGAGGGTAGGTTCCGTGTGGAGAGGAGGTACTTCCCTACAAAATTCACATGAAAGACGAGGTTCCTCCACGCATGGAGTAAATCATGGTGCGAGTAAATCGATATAACGGATGTTTGACCCCCTTGTTTGGTGGTGGGCTGTTGAGATGGGTAGGTTGGGTTGCTGGGGTACGTTGAACCGTCATGACGAGACCATTATAATGGAGACCCCGGATCATGCACTTATACATCCTCGCAGATGGCAAGATCCCACGCCCAAGTGCCCGCACCACGTGAGATGTGCTTTTCTGATCTGTCCGAAACGCTTATGTCAACTTGGCACTTTGGCCCTCTTTTCTTCTTTGTTTTGCTGAGGTTTTCTCACTTCTGATCTTCGCAGGGGGTCGTTGGCGAACACTGCGAACCATGCTGGACTTAGAACTGATTGGCAGTCGCGGGCTAAATCTCCACTGGAATTTGTAGGGAAAAAAAGTGACCATGGGTCAAAACCCCGTACCCCCAGTGAACATCCCAATCCTCACTACAGTAGACTAAAATGGGTGGTGCACCTATCCCAAAATGGTACCATTGGTTTTGAACCATGGCCAAGTCAAGTGGGTACAAAGGTGACGTGGGAAAACGCAGTGGTTTTGCATTGTTTCCACTCCACTGCGGCAAGGGTGGGTCACGAAAAACGCTATCCGCCGGGTTGATTTTGATCAGGGGTGCCCCCGTCCAGGGGGGTTCATCGCTTTTGGAGGGACTTTCCCCCTTCATCAACATCAACAGAAAGGGTTCTACTTAGATCCGGGGCCACCTGAGCCCCTTGCGTTACTCTCCCGTGCAACTCGCGCGTCTCTTTATTTTGTGCCGCAGCCTTTCGGAGTTCCTTGGAAGGCAACACACGGGGAACTCATGATTTTGGGAGCCATTGGGGCTCCAAGCACTGGAATCTCCAAAGCCACGGCATTTTGAGGGTGTCTTTGAGGGACCCACATGTAAAAAAAAGGAACCCCATGGAGTACCATCACTTACTCTTGTGGACAGACAGGGAGCATGCAAAACGCTGGGCCATTGCTTCCTTGGCGAACCACAGTGGGTGTTCCTCATGGGATGAAAGGGCAGTCAGTTGAGTCCGCCGTGGCCATTTCCAGGCGCAATGACCTCCGGAGACGGAAGCCCACATTTTCCGAAAAAAAAGGGGGAATTCAGGGCCCCAGAGGGTAAGTTCAAAAGGGGACCCATCTTTTTCCACAAAGAGGGTAGGTTCCAATTGAAGCTCATGTCCATCCCTCGGAGCGTCGGCTCGTTTGCGTGACCGAGGCCCAAGCAGGCGGCGGACAAAAGAAGCGGAGCTTGCGCGGACCCGTTCAGTGCGAAGGGGGGGGATTCCAAAGATTGGAATTGTGTTCATGTTGGTTTCCCTGCATCCGCTTGAAGCCCTCAAGTTGTGTTCATCTTGGCCATTGTCTTCATGTTGGTTTCCCTGCATCCACTTGGATGTCTTCCTGTGGGTTTCCCTAAATTTTCAAAAACGGCCTCAGCTGTGCTCCAGAACTTCCAGAGCTGAGGCACAGCACAGATGTCCTTCAGGCCGGCCCTGGCGCGCTTGGGCCGTGCGATTTTCCGCCCGGCCGTTTCCGCCGAGTCCGAAGGACTCCGTGGGTAAGGCAAGGGGTCCATTGAAGCACTCTGAGTCCAGAGCAACTCATCAGCCAACTTCAGCCATCCAAGTGGCCTTGGGGAAAAGGGTCATTCTGCTCCCAGGCAAGCAGCTGACTCGGCGATTGCCAGAACCTACTGTGGATGGACGAGATCGTGAATCTTGCACCACCTAAGAAACCCTGGAATGATGATTGCCCTGTAAATACCAACAAACACTGGTTGCCCATAGTTTCAAACTGGAGCGAACGGATTCGCCCATCCACAGTAGTTCTCACAAAAGGAGACAGAAAGTGTCCCCTTGAGTTCTTGAAAGCACAATCAAAACCCTGGTGGTTCAATCAACCACCAGGGAAACCCATCTATTTTCAACCAAAAAGGACACCTATGATGACGACCCTTTTCCCCGCGTTTTTTTCTTCTTCTTTTTCGGCGTTTTCCCGCGCTCGAACAGGCGGGGCATGCTGGCCGCATTTCGCCAGGTCCAAGATGAAGCGCCTGGCTGCGACCACCCCGGGCTCGCAGGGGGGCCTTCGTCAGATCTGCTTGGCTGGAGGAACTTGGCAGGCGCTCTTGTTCTAGGGGTTGATTCCTGGCTGCAGAAGTTTGGGAGAGGTGCACCAACCCTGGGACACTATTTGCTGGTATTTATAGGAGAATCATCAGAGCCAGGGTTTCTTAGGTGCTGAATTTTGTCCATACGGGTGTGGTGGTCAAAACCGATTTATGATCCCATTTTGGTTGGTAGGTGAATTCACCACCGTTTTTTTTTAGAACCCATTTTAGTGGGGAATTGGGATGTTCACTGGGGGTACGATTCCTTGTCCATTCTTTTCAACCATGGTTCTTTCCAAAAACCGGATCCGTTTTCCATGGGTTTCCGGAGGTCTTCTAGAAAGAATCGGATCCCTGGAAAGAATGGGGAAGGTACCCTGGGGTTCTGGATACTTGGGTTTGTCTCAACCCCCACACTTGTTGGATGGTACGGAAAACAAAGGGAAACCTACCGTGTGCAGTGCCTACTTTTGAGAGACCGGATGCTTGCAGCAAGGCCTTAGTTTTCGGCTTTGAGATAGTTCCGAAGATCACAACTTGGTGTTCTGGAGAAACACACAGAAAATGAGAGAGGAATGACCATCAAATTATCTCAGGTCTTGAATCTCTTCGTCTTTTTCCTAGTCCAGGACTTTCTGCCGGAAAAGTCCTCAATCATATACTGGGGAGTGTCTGGTGTTCATGCTTCTCTGGCTATCTCTTCCTTCTTCTAGATCTAGTACTTTCCATTCCTTTCTCTTTATCTCCCCATCACCTTTCTATGAAGGTGGTTTCTTGGAAACCAAACAAGCACCCGCCATTTTGAGACAAGTCATTATTGGGATCCCCTATTCTAAGACACACCCACGTCCTCTTTTGGACACCTTCCTAATTCTCACCGCTCATGTGGCCCGTGTCCGGGCCATCGAGGTCAGTGTTCACGGAATCTACCATCGCGAAGAACCCAGGCTGCGGATCTCTGGGACCTCGGGATGGTGAATAGGAATGGTCAGCTTTGTGGGTTGTTCGGTCGGCGTTTCCAGGCGAACTAGTCGTGGCTTCAAGGGTTGCATGTGCCATCAAAAGACCTGCTCTTCATTGAGGTTAGGGATGGTCACCCAGCAGGATATGTTCAACAGCCATTTTTCATGGTTCCCTCAGTAAGTCAGGTAACCCTTAGTTGATAGTTTGGATTGGTGGTTTGGGATTGGTTGTCGCGCAGGGCAAATGCGAAGCCATCCCAAACCACAAAACCCCCAATCCAAATCCAATTAAAACATGTTCGTTGTTGGGAAACATGTTACATTTTGCTTATTGTGGTTTAGTGGGAATTCCCCACTTGAGTGCTGAAATGAAGATATTTGCTCCCCTTCCAACGTCAACCAAGAAAAGTACACGGGCATGGCATGACCCAGGAGATGTTGACCACACCTGGGGAAAGTTTGGACGTGAAGCCCAGTGGATTGAAGGCAGGGCTCGCCTTCTTTGGGAGACCAACACCTCTCTTTTCTCAGAAGGCTTTTTGGATCCGGGAGAAGCTGAGCCCCCGATTTTTTAAACGGCGAAGGTTGGGTGACGCGTCGCCTTCGTCAGGCCCCGGCAGCTACCAGAACAAGGGCTGCCTTGAAGCTGAGCAGACGCCGGGCGTCCCCAGGATTCTGAACCGGGGAAGTCGCCCGAACCGGGGGCGCGAGAGTCGCAGGCGCAGGGAGGCCGCCTTTGGATCGGCTCGAAGTAGGTGGGTTTTCACTGGTTTGGATCGGTTTTTATGCCATGCATCCCAAAAAAAGGGGAGAGTTCCCTCCGATGTTTTTCCAGTTTCGGTCGCACGCAGTCGCATGAGACCGGACAGGTTTCGATCAGCCGACCGGGGCACCGGGGCACCTCCCCCCCGTCGCGAAAGTCGTGGAGTCAGGCTGGACTTGCAGCCTGCCGTGAAGCCCGTGCTCAAGGACGCCTCTTGTGGCTTTTTTTTTTTTTCCGGTTCGCATCAGTGTCCTCCTGTGGTTGCGAACTCCTTTTAGGCGCCACCAGTCTTTGAAACCCAACAGAAGGATTCGATTCCCCTGTAAAGGAGCACAACAAAAAAACGGCAAACACTGGTTGCTCATGGTTTCAAAGTGGTGCTTGCGTCCATCCACAGGGCCTCTTTGACGGGCATTTTCAAGAACCCGGGGGTATGGGGGGGGGTCCAGCGAAGCTCCGGGAACGAAGGCCATCGGCATTCGCTGGGGGCCGGGGTGGCACCGGCTGGGACGAATCCCCTACCACACCTGCCAGGAAGCCTCAGGGCGTTTGGCCTTGATTTTCCTTCCATGAAATCGCCGCCGAAATCGGTTGAAGCAGGTTGTCACACTTATGGCACCTTGAAGCAGTGGTGGTGGATGATAGCAAGGCCGGAACCTTTGGAGGATGTCGGGTAATTTCCGGGTGTCCCAGGATGTAGAAGAACCCTTTTGCTTGTTGTTGGGCACTGCACTGAGGACGTAGAGAAGACTACGCCTTCGGTGCCACCCACAAGGCGATTCGAATCGCGCGGTGGCATTGGTTTCCATGGTTGCCTAAGTAAGGCCTGCGGGGGAGAGGAGAGGTCATTGAAACCATTTTGGTTTGTCTGCTGAGAAGGATCGGAGGCTCCCGCAAAGCTGGGGCCAACCATGACCCATTGCCATCTGATGACTTCGCTGAGCATCGATCGAGCTACCTTCTAGGTCCCAGCCCCTGTCCAATGATGACCTTGCGAAACCCATGTAGATGGACACATTGATACACATCCTGCAGGGATGGATGCGAATCATGAACTGGACAAGCCATCTATCAGTTACGCAGGATTGTCTCAAAATAGGAATCGGAGCCACCCCAAAATGGGCGGCTTCCACGTGTTTTTCGCCTCCCAAAACCGAAGGGGACGGGCGCGCGCCGCCCGTTTGCCACTCCTGCCAGGTACTTGCCGGGCCAGGTGCCACAGACGGAAGCGGCGGCGGCGGACATGGCCAGGCTGCCCGTGGCCCCAGTTTTCAGTCTTTGGGGGGTGCTGGAGATATCACCTGGGTCCCTCCAACCAGCTAACATGGGTTTGTGCACTGACCCCTGTAGAAAGACTACGGACTCCTCTTGGAAGGGCCTTGTTGTACTTCCATGTTGGTGGGAGGGTACGCGTTTTGGCTTGTTTTTAGGGAAAGCAACAGGAAGACCACAAGCTGTTTTCTTTTGCCCTAGTCACATGCCCAAGTAGGAGCTGGGACATCGTTGAGCTTCAAGACCAAGAAACTGGGTTTAGACCTCCAGGCTTTGGAGGGAATGATTTGTTTTTCAGCGCATCCTGGTTTCAGGCAACCCTCATTGGTGGTTTGGAGCCCGGTGGTTTGGCTTTGGACTTGAACTCCTGGTTGTAGGTGGTAAATGGCAACCACTCGCTTTACCACCCAACCACCGAGGGTTGCTCCCAATCTGCCGATTGGCGACCAAAACAAGGCGTGAGGAACATGGCAATGGCGCAGCAGAGATGGCCCGAAGGTGAAAGTAGAGGAGAAGGGAGCTTTTAAACTTTGTTGCATTTTGCTTGGATGTTAGGACTTTAACCTTTCTTGCCAACTAATGGGTTTTCCATTAAACCACTAAAAGTTAAACTTCTAGCAGGGGAGCAGAAAGCAACCGAGTAAAGATTTGATATTCTCAAAGCAAAACATAGCGATGTTCAGTGGAAGAGGATGGGTGGGAGGTGAGAAAGGACGAAGGGATGTGAATGTGTTTTTGGTTTTGTGCCTTGGAATGCATTTAGCAAAAGGAAATTGTGGACCAGTGTGTGCCCAAGCCATTTTTTAGAGAGGCTCGGAGAGTGTCCCTGTCCCGTTTCGGCTGACCCCTGGTGGCTTTGAGCTTGGAATTCGAACTCCCAACGCCACCCCAAAAAAAAACACGTCCCCCTAGCCCGAGGTTTGGATGCCAAGCCCCCCCCAAAAAAAAATGTCAGTGATGTTTCCCCTGAAGAGGAAGTTGATCTCTCTCAGGGCATCGGCGGTTCCATGGCCACCTGGTGTTGAGGGCACTACTGGTATTCCCATAAGACATCAAGCACGCCTAAAAGATGTGAACTTCGTTCCACTCAACACCAATCCAGATGAAACGTCCCCATAGCCCGAGGTGTGGACCCCCCCCCCTCCGGCCCAAAAAAGCATCATGTGATGTTTCCCCTCAACACCCGTGCCTTTTTGCGGGGTTCCGTCCCTGCCGACGACTTCCGAGCTCCGAGCCTCGGCGGATTCGTGTCGTGAGGTCAAGCCGACACACCGGGGAGCCAAGAGATATGGCCGCAGCCCCGTTTGATGGGCGTCAGTTCCCGAAAGGGTTCCGAGGTTGCTGTGAGGAGTCCCCTTGTTTGATGTTTTTTTTTTTTTGTGGCGCTGGGTGGTGTGAGTGGGGGTGCGGGGGGAGGGTGATGTGATGTGCTCAAAGGTTCTTTTTTGAGGGTGGAGAGCGGGGGGACACTTTGGTGGGCGTTATTTGCATGGAAACATACACAAGACGTGCAGTTCAGCCTGTTTGGGTGTTTGGGGCTCCCTTCGTGGACCTGCAGGAGAGTAGTTTAGCTGTTCCCAGAGGAGTGTGTTCGCCCGTTTGTTTGTTTGCCTGCCTGCCTGCCTGCCTGTCTGTCTGTCTGTCTGTTTGTCTGTCTGCCTGTCTGCCTGTCTGCTTGTCTGTCTGTCTGTCTGTTCGTCTGTCTGCCTGCCTGCCTGCCTGTCTCTCTGTCTGTCTGTCTGTCTGTTTGTCTGTCTGTCTGCCTGCCTGCCTGCCTGCCTGCCTGCCGCCTGTCTGCCTGCCTGTCTGTCTCTGTCTGTCTGTCTGTTTGTCTGCTTGTCTGTCTGCCTGCCTGTCTGTCTCTGTCTGTCTGTCTGTCTGTCTGTTTGTCTGCCTGCCTGCCTGCCTGCCTGTCTGTCTCTGTCTGTCTCTTTGCCTGCCTGCCTGTCTGTCTGTCTGTCTGTTCGCCTGTTTGTCTGTTTGTCTGCTTGTCTGCTTGTCTGTCTGGTCTGTCTGTTTGTTTGTCAGTCTGGTCTGTCTGCTTGCTCGCTGGCTCGCTGGCTGGCTGGCTGGCGTGTTTGTTTCCTTCCCTCCCCTCCCCTCCCCAACTGGGCGGTGCCTTCCGTTGGAGTTACTTTGCACTGCGAATCCACTCCAAGGTTGAGGGGGGCGCTCCTCCATTCAATGTGGCACACCTAGAAATGAGGCTCCTTCACTTTTACATCCCGCCACATGTTGCTTTGGTCTTCCCATGGAGCCCAAACTCTCTTCCTTTGGGCAAGGATGAAAACCCCCCATGTTGAACCGCAAAACCCTACACTAGGAGCACGAAAAGCCCAGCGGTTTTGCTCAGGCGGGTCCGGGGGAATACGACGTAGAGACGCAGCTGCGCGAGCCTCAAGCTGGAAGCTTCTGGAAGGTCGATGTGTAGTAACATGAGCTACAGGAAAAGAAGCGCCCTCTGGGTTGTGGTTGCTCACCAAGTTCCCACGTCAGTTGAGGAATGAGATTTGGTGAATCACTCCCCCATGTCTTGATGGTGATTTGGCGAGGGTGATGTCAAATAACATACCGCAAAGAGTCGCATCTGCGAAATCCAAGGATCAAGAACAGCCAAGTCACTACCTTCCACAAGCCGTGGGGCCGGCGTGGCTTGCAGAAACGGCACAGTGGCTCAGGGCGGTTTCCCCTTCGTGATGCGACTGGAGCTGGACATCTTTTGTTCCAGCGACTTCGCGAAGCAGTTTCCGCAGTTGCCAGCAGTGCTTCCATCGCTTTTTCACTCACTCTCACACTTCACCTCTGACAGCAAAATGCTGCTGCCCTTTCCCCCACAAAAAAGACAGCATCAAGATCCTACTGTGGATGGACGAAATCCTGCACCACCTAAGAAACCCTGGATGATTACCCTGCTGGTTTCCATGGCTTCTTTGGTGGTGCAGGCTTTTGTCTATCCACAGTATGGATCAGCACATCCCCCGCTACTCCAACGCCTCACATCTTTTGTATTGATTTGGGAAATCCAGTCATTGAGCTCAAAGCCAAAGCACTTGAGGGTTGGGGAATGAGGGTTTGGTTCTCATTGTGATTCCAAGGGAACCTCACCTGAGCCACTTGCTCAACACCCAGTCAGATGAAGGTTAGTAAGGGACAACCACCCTGCCATAAATAGCTGCGGATATCCGCCTTCTTAATTCTTTACATGGTTCTAGGGCGACCATTTAAATACCGGGTTTTGATTGTGGCTCACCTTTTGGAGAATCGTCGCTCAGGCTGAGAAACCAATTGATACCACAGAAGTCGAAGGCAGTCAATTCCGTCAACTTGCAAGGACTCTTGGGCGCGTGTCCGATTTGCCCGCTACTCCAAACGTCTCACATTGTATGAGCCAACTTGGGAAATGCAGTCATTGAGGGACTCGGGTCAAGACTCCAACACAAACAGACCACTACTTGACCAAAAAGCAATGGCCAAAGATCCAGACAACCAACCAAAACAAATTGGCCAAACACCAAAAGCCAAAGACGGAAAACACAACCAAACACGAAAAAACCAAAGGCAAGAACGCCAACAATACAGGCCACACACCATTAGGGCACCCCCTTTGATGGTTTTAAAGGGGTTCCACCACGCGCCATTTTGGATTTGGGGTCCTCCCCGAAAGAACGGACGAGGCACCCATTTGTCTAGGGGCTGATTCCCCATGCTTTTCAACCATCGTTCTTTCCCAAAAACCGGAGCCGTTTTCCCTGGGTTTCCGGAGAAATTCTAGAAAGATTCGGATCCCTGGAAAGAATGGACATGGAATGTACCCCTAGACACATGGGGAAGGTACCCCCAAAACCCCCGAGAAAACGGATCCGGTTTTTAAAAAACCAAGATGGTTGAAAGGAATGGACAAGGAGCAACCCCTAGAATTTGACCCGTTAAACGAGTAGGACCCAAACCTCGGCCGGAACAAGCTCGGAGCGACGGAGCTGCCAGGAAAGGCCCTTCGTTCCGAAGACTTTGGGAGGCCTCTGCCGTGACCCCAAGTTTCGCCGGGCTACGGACGCAGCCGGGGAGACGGCGTTCGAAGTCGAAAGGCTTCCATTTGCTGAAATGAATATGTTTTGTATTTTCTTCTTTTGGTTTTAAAGGGAATAGATTCTACTGGATATATATATATATATTTTTTTTTTCCAGGGGGCTTGAGCAAATGGAGGAAGGGGTTAAGGTTGAGATGGACGTCCCGAGAGATCCGATATGGAACAACAAAAACTGATTTTGTAAGGGAACCATTTGTTGGCCATGTCAGGTCTCAGGTTGGACAAGCTCATCTTTGGCAGGTTACGTTCAAGGCTCCAAACTGAGTACACTTGTCTTGGGACGTGGAGCCCGACAGCAAAAAACAAAAACACCAAGGCGGCCTGAGCATGTTGCAATGTCCCGCAGTGCAACCAGAAAAAAAAACCAGCGAAGGGAACTTCAGAGCTCCAAATGTTGACGCCAGCTGCGAACGGCGACTCCCCGGAGTCCTAAACAAACGTCTCATGGTTCAAAACCTGGCCGTGCCAAGGCGTGTGCTGAGCCCGCTGATGAGGGCGATGACAGGTTTTCGAGGTGGCAAGGCTGTTGGAAACTGAGAAGTTCAACCAACCAACCAACCAACCAACCAACCAACCAACCAACCAACCAACCAACCAACCAACCAACCAACCAACCAACCAACCAACCAACCAACTAGCCAGCCAGCCAGCCAGCCAGCCAGCCAGCCAGCCAGCCAGCCAGCCAACCAGCCCACCAACCATCCAACCAACCAGGCAACCAACCAAGCAGCCAAGCAACCAACCGGAAGAAGATTCAGAGCGATGTGGGAAGGCAATGCCAAAACCTCGCAGGACAGACTTCCCTTGCAGCAAACTGGGTGGGCTTTCCAAATCTCTAAACAGATCCCGAATGTGACACCCTTCCTTTTTCGCGCATGTACTGAATTCCCTAAATGTCCTCGCGGCTGGAAACTTTGTGTGATTGGTTGACTTACATCTAACTGTAGCTTCTTTTGTTTACTGTTCTCTTGCTGAAGCATGCGGGAAGCGCGCGTGCTTAAATGAGTCTCGCTTCCAAGTGATGCAACGGGGATCTGAATAAACCAATTTGGTATGGGTTATTTCCCACGTGAGCGCGCTCAATATTGCCAGGGTGTTGATCTGCTGGTTTTGTTATTTCAGCTTCGGTCCTTTTTCTATCGGTTTATTGTGGTGTCAGGCACTGGTTTCTGCGTACCCTTATTGGAGACGGGACATGGATATATGTTATATGTCAGGGATCTGGACCCCCAAACATAGATTTACGGTGGTTTTGATTTCCCTTCAAAGCCGAGAACACTTGCAGGTGCTCAGCCGGGAATGTGGGACTCAACTCAGGGGTCCCTTAAAGGAAGGGGTCATTCCCTCATTCCCTGCCTATCGCACCAGCAGGAAGAAGGGGTTGAACTCAACCCAAAAAGACGACCCGCGTCCCCAAGAATGGGGTAACCTCTCCCACCCCCCCCCCAAAAAAAAAAAAACATCCTCTCCCCCCCAACCCCAAAAAAACAACGAAGCACAAAAAAGCAAAAACACAAAACTCGTCTCTGCCCTCCCCCCCCTCAACAAAACACAGAAAGAAAAACAACTCCCCTCCCCCCCAACGCCCACCCAAAAAGAAAACACAAAACACAAAAGGACGGCCCAAAACACACACACACAAAACCCAAAGAAAAGAAAACCAAAAGAAAACAAAATACAAAAATAAACGACCCACGACCCACGCCCACCCCCAAACAATACGCGGTCATTTTTTCCTCAGGTGGCCATCGACTCCAAGATGCCGGTCCCCGAGCTGCCGGGGCCTGGGGCCTATGAGACCTTAGCCTGGGGCCCAGCTGCTTCTTTACAGATTCCGAAGCTTCCACTGGCTCAAGTGAATACACCTGCGTTATATATATATATATATGCATATATATATATATGTGTGGGTGTGGGTCAAAAAAAACAGATACCCGTTTTTTGGGGTAACTTCCCCTTTTGTTTGGTTCACTTTGCAGATTCAGAAGCTGAAGTTATTTACCTGTGTATACTAGGTCGCCCAGTAGTGCCCTTCTCATCCTTTTTTGGGGGCTGGTTCCCTACTAAAATGGACTACAGAAAAAAGGGTGCCCTTATTCTAGGCTCTCTACTGGAGGACCTAGTATATATATATATATATACATAAAAGAAATGGATTTATTTTGTTTTCCCTTGTTGGTTTTGAAGGACATCTATCTGAGATATTATGATATTTCTCATTTTGTTCGGGGGACGAGGCTGCAGTTCCTTCATGGGCCAACTGTTTTTTTTTTCTCCATATTTCCGAGGTTCAGAGGCATTGGCTGGATTTGGAGAGGTTGGCAAGATTTGGAGACTCAACTCTGCCTGTCTTGTGTCTTTCAGGTTTCGAATCTTGTTTCCAGTGCACACCAAACGTATGGGTGGGGAATAGTTGAATTTCTACTTTCAGCTTGTTTGTGGTCATGTGAAAAGCAGTCTTTGTCGCATTCAGATCCCCTTTGGGCCCGCTGAAGAGCCAAGGCATTTTGGATTTTGGATTTGGGGCCCCCTTTCGGTTTTGAAGCACATTGTGGTGCAGAAGACCTGGTTGCTGCAACTTCCGTTTGCCCTTCGGGGTGTGTTTATTTCTACTTCTCCCAGTTCGGGAAACAAACACCTGACGTTTTTTGTTTTTTTTTTGTTTGACAGCTTATGCCAATGGGAGGCAAAAGTGAAGGATGGCTATTGCCATGAGTCACTCGAGCTGATGCGCCTCGAGCCCGTCCTGGTCAAACCCTGGGATGGTGACACACCCAGGGTATGTTGGTGTTTTAAATCTTCAGGGTACCAACGAACCTGACACATTGGTAATGTTAAGCCCGGATTCATAAAACCCTGGTGGATCAATAGCGGGGGGGAGGGTCCATTTTTAGTGGGGATTCAGACTTTTGGAGGGGAATTAGTAGGATGGGCATCTTAATCCGGGGTCATCAGGTTTCTTTGAGGTTTCCCCTGAAAAACGATCAGGGTGTGGTTGCCTGTTGGTGTTGGGGTTTTGCACCAACATACCCTGTCCACCAAGCATCCCAGGCTCTGACCATTTGGGTTCGTTGGTGCTTCATAGCACGTAATGCTCGATTTTTCCCCAGGACAGTTTGGTGTTTCCCCTTTCTCCCGCCTCCGATTTCGCACCCGTCAGGGTTTTACCACATTTGACATTGCATTTTCTTGCTGGTGCTCAGTAGGGAATGCGGGAATGAACCTGGGGATTCCCAAAAGGATGCCCGCAGTGGTTAATGGTTTCTGTCGGGGTCATGTGCCATGTCTCATTGCCTATCGAACCAGCAAACAAACAAAACAAACACAAACACACAAACACACACACACACAAACAATTATATAAATACACAAAGAAGCTAAACCTCTAATTAGGGGTTGGTTCCTTGTCCATTTCTTTTCAACCATGGTTCTTTCCCCCCCAAAAAAAAATGGATCCTTTTTTTTTTGTTTGGTTTTCGGAGGTCTTCTAGAAGGATTCGGATCCCTGAATGGGCGAGGCGGAGGTATCCCTCCAAAGCCGACCAAACAACAAGTTGTCTCGTTGTTGCCATGTAGAACGAAACAAAATGAAACCACCAGGGGGCCCGAGGCTTTAGTCTACTCTTCCAGTTCCTGGAGTTCATTTCGGGGATTCCGATTTTTGACCCATTTGGCCATGGGTTGCAGAACCTATGGCTCCATTTTGGGGTGGATGAACATCCATTTGCCACCTATTTTCATGCTTAGGGGGCCATTGGTTTTGACAGCGTTTTGGTCCTGGACGGCTTTGAGAGGCAAGCTTGGTCTTTGAAAGGAACCGACCCGTTTTGTTTTCTCTCTCTCTTTTTCCGGGGTCATAAGCCATTTCTCATGGTCTATCGAGCCAGCAAGTCGTTTGTTGCCCTAAGCCGTCCTTGACTCATGGCTTTGGGTGCAAAAAAAAAACTCAGCTGCTAAAGCTCTTGGACTCAAACTGAAAAAAACTGACTCAACTGCAAAAAAAACAACTGAACTGCAAAAAATGTGTTGCTCCCTTTCCAACGGTCCACCGAGATTGGGTCCGAGGACCTTGGAGAGATGCAACTCGATCGTGTCACCAAGGTGGGCGCTCCGGAGCCCAAGGGCGCTGCCAGTCAGCAGGGCCCCCAAAGCAAGCATGGAAGCGCATGAGCCGGCCATGGGTCTCAGAAAAGTGTTTGGTGGTTTTTTGGATGGTTTTAGCTGGTTTTAGTTGGTGTAGAATGAGTTGGTTTAGAATGAGCTGGGTTAGAATTAGTTGGTTTGGAATTAGTTGGTTTCTAGTTGGCTGCTTTCTGTTTTTAGTTGGGTTGCTGAATTTGACCCTCCAGTTTTTTCAACTTTCAGCGGGGGGATCAGTGTGGACAGCTGGAACTTAGACATATTATTGGTACCAGCCCCGTCGGCCCCTTCACAGGGCTCCCTATATTTCCCTTTTTGGGCGGTTTCAAGCATCACCAATTAGTGGCCCATGAAAGGCGAGTATCCCTTGGGGGCGATGTTGAGACTTCAAGACTTCAGGGTTTGTCCCGTGCCCCTCCCCGGGACCGTCTGCCTCGTTTCCCGAGGTTCAACTCCAAAGTGCCGAAGGCGCACGAGCGCGAGGCCAAGGAGCACCTGAAGACGCCGGGGCCAGGCCGGGGACGTGAGCGAGCGCGTTCTTTCCGCGCCTGGGACGGGCCAGGGGGACGGAGCCTTGAGGTCCGGTGGCTCAGGCCCGGAAGTCTCCAGATGCGAACAGAAGGAACGAAGGTGACAAAAAGGCATGCAGAAGATCGCCTCCCTCCCATTGACATGGAACCTGATTGGAATTTCCGACCATGTTCCTCTTAAAGGGAGATCTTGATGTGAGTGGGAGGGGGTGCATCATCAAGAGGCTGGCACACCGATTTGCCGAAATCTGGTCACTCGCTGGGGGGAATATGTATTTGTTTTTTCCAGACCTGTTTCAAGGGCGTGCTGTTACGATATTCATCCGTCTTTCCTTCAGACATATTTCAAGGGCGTGTTGTTGCAGGTGGCAGCATTTTGTTTTCCGAATTCCATCGGCTTGGCCTCCCTGTGAGGCGCCTACGATATGCCCGGGCACTTGGAGAAAGGGATCGCCGAGACTCAGGAGACATGTGGTGCAACCGGACAAGCGCAAGGTTTCCAGCCGGAAAATCTGAGGACAACCAGCCCTAGGGGGAAAAAAGAAACGGGCCCTAGGAAAAAAAAGCAGCCCTAGTAAATAAAGAAAAAGCACCGTGACCGACCCTCCCCATGGATCTCAAGTTGCGTTCCCCAGACCGGTCTCATGCGCTCCAGCGTCCAGGAGCGCCGCGACGCGGTGGCCATGAGCCGGGCCCCGCAGCGGGAGGTTCCGGTTGTTGGAGTACGCCACTAGGGTCCCAGTGTGTTTCCCCTTTCGGTGACCCAATTTGCGGTGAGTTTCCCTTCAACGCCTTGAACGGCCTCATGGCCCCAATTTGTTGTTGACCGTTTTTTTCTTCTCTTTGTTCAAACTGTTTTTTGTTTGTGGGTCCGCCTTTTGGTAGCTGAGAAAAGCACATGTAAGGAATTTTGTCCAAGGTAGACCCTAACCCCTTGATGGCCTATGTCACAAGCAAGAGAACAGTTAGATTTATCTCTGTACCTTGGAACAAACGAGAACGTGGAGCTCAGACTTTGTTAGCTCCGCTTGGGGTGGCGAGTCGGGCGAGCTCGACAGGCAAGCAGCAAATTCCGGGGGGGTTTCCCGTTTACCCGCAAGAAGCAGGGGTTCGAATCCCAATGCAAACCACCATTTCAAATAACCAGCTAAGGAGTACCTGATCTGGGGTACACCTCCACCCATCAAACCACCAATCCTTTCTTTGGACCTCCAACAGTGGCAATTTTTGTTGGCAGTAAACTACGACTTTTCATGGGGGGAAATCCTGGGACCCCATATGATCCCCCCTTCCCCCAGGAAAAGAGAAAACAAACAACCAACAAATTGGTGGTTTTCCTTTTGGGTTTCCTTCAAACCTCACCAGAACTTGGGGGGTGCACCCCAACAACCCCCTGACCAGGTCTCGGCTTCGGATCTCTGACAGAGCGCGTGGGCTGGCGGGGGTTCCCGGAGCGAGCGAGCCGAAGTCCAACGGCCAACCGAACCCGAAGCCAATGGGGCGCTTCTCCCGTCTTTTTTTTCTTCTTCTTTTCTTCTTCAGGTCAGGTGGTCAAGTTGCTCCCAATTGGTTTGGAGCCCGGTGTGTGTGTGTGTGTGTTTTGTTTTTCTTCTCGTAGATCACATATGGGTCAAAACTCGTGACCAGAAAGGGCCGCAGGTTTTAGCCCTTTCCCGTTACCAGGGCTTCTTCGGTCGTTTTTTTTGGTCTCGTAGATGGAACCTATTAAAGGAACAGGGTCTTCCAAGACCCCCATGTTGTCTTTGACGCCTTTTTCTCGTAGAGCACGGTACAGGTTACCCCCCAATTGGTTTCAAGTGGTGGTGGTTTAAGGCTACCCCCAATTGGTTATTGGTGGTTTTGGATTTCCATCCCTCCACACAAGCCAGGGTGTTTGTTCATCCCTGAAGTTCGTTCCAAAAGGAAGCGTGATCCAACGTGGTACATCCTTTTGAGCCACAGCCAAACGGGTCCTAAAGCTGATGTTTGACACCTTTTTTTTAGGGGGCCCAGGCTCAAAAGGAAACCCGCCAAGTCTTAAAGGTGACGTTTGAGCATTGAAGGGGACAGAGCTTTCGGGAGCCCTGGCTTTCGGCCGGTCGCTTCGAGCTTTTCCAGGACTGCCGTTTTGATCTGGCGGGAAGGCACCGCTTTTGGTTTTCGCCGGTGCTTTTGAGCTCTCTTTTGGCAGGGGTCCAGCTCTATTTCCCCTTTTCGGTGGTTTTAAACATCACCAATTATTGGTCCATGAAAGGTGAGTAGCCCTTGGGGGTGATGTTTTGAGAGGGGAAATCACTCGGGAGCCCTGTCTGGGCTGAAGGAAAGGTTCCATCGAGTCATCCCCTTGAAAGCCGCAGCACAAAGAAGCGCAGCTGTTGAGGTGGCCACTTTCTCAAAGAAGGGATGTGCAGCCGAGGAACTGCTTGTTGCGACTGGTTACATGGGCCACCCCATGTTTGGGATGTATTTGAAAGGGAACAGCTAACTGGAAGCCAGGTAGAAGCTTATGGGTTGTCCAACATAAGAGGTTAATTATTCTCGTTCATCCAGAAGGAACTTCCTAATTTGTTCTTGTTGGGCACACATCTCAGGTATCCTGGTTGAAAGAAACTCATGGGCGCTTTGCAGGGAGGGATTTGTCCTGAAAGCACGAAAGAACCGGACACATCAGCATGCTTCAGGTCCTACAGCAGCCGTGCACGTGAATCAAACCGTTGGATAAAACACAACGTTGATGTTGACACTGCAGGAACCTCTCTGGTGCTGGGTTGGGCCACAGTGGCACTTGCCAAGGCCCAAAACCCGCAACTGGCTGCCTTGAGGAGGAATCAAAAAAAGCAGCGCAGCTTTTGAACCGAGAGGACAGCGAATGCGAGTTCGCGCTTCATGTCAGATACCCCTCGCTGGCGAGCGTGCGATGTTCTCGACATGTGCCCTTGTGATCCGGATGCTGAGGTCCCGACAACTGGAGCAGCCGTACAAAGATCCGTACAATGCGGCCCGGCTGTCTCCCAGTTGCTGTCTCGTGGGGTTTGGTTGAAAAGGAAGTTGGCAGAAATGGCATTTTTTTTTCGTTGGAGTGCTTGCCGCTCTGGGGCACAAGCAGGGTTGCTGACTGTTGTGTTCGCGTTTATCTTCTTTTCTGCCTGCTTCCTTTTGGTGTTGTTTGTGTTGGATGCTGCTACATCCGATGAGTGATGCTGGATGCTTCCGCTGTTTGTCAACCTTACGTCGATGGTTGTGTGTTTCTTCTTCATGTTGCTTGCTCGCTGCTGTTGCTTGCTTTGGTTGCTGTTGTGTTTTGAGAGTAAATTATTTGGCTGGTCCACAACACCGAGCCGAGCAAATGGGAGTCATCCTTTGGTTCGCGAATGATTCTCCTAGGCCTGGTTGCAACAGTTTGAAGACCTGACCTTAAGGAATCCGTGAATTGATGTTTGCACGGTGCTTGGAACATCAAACGGGTAGTTTGGCCCCAGGTGTTGAATCAGTGTGGTTGGCACTTTGCCCGAGCCAATTGGAACCATGCTGTGCCTTTCTCAATTGCCAAGGGTTCATTTTGGTCCATTCACTAGCCTCGGCAAGCATCCCAGAGTCTCACGACGGCCCTGGCTCTTGAAATTTGAAGTGGGGTGTCTCGAAGGATCCCAAGACTACTCTCTGGGCTAATCTCTGGGGGCCCTGGAGGACCGTTTTCTGTTGATAGGTTCTATGTTTGTGGACCAGAGGCTATTGTGAGGTTCCTTTGGTACTGATCTCCAGGGAGCAACAAACACTTGAAGGATCCATATGAGCGTCTGGGCATGTGACTCACTCCGCGAGTTCCTGGACTTACATATTTTAACTTTGTTTCATGTTGCTTGGATGTTAGGACTTTAACTTTTTGCAAACTAATGGGTTTTCCATTGAACCACTAAAAGTTAAACTTTTAGCAGGGGAGCAGAAAGCAACCGAGTTAGGGTTGATCATTTTAGTGGTAAGCAAGAAGTTCAGACCTTTTTGTGGCCAATCCAAGCAGGAAGTGAGGTTACCTTTGGGTTTTGGTGCGACCTGGGGGGAAAGATAGACCGGTAGCGGCCGACTGCCGAGGTGAAGAACGTCCCGGGGCCAGGAGCGGAGCGGTGGGACAAAAATCCTCCGTGCTTTTTTTTTTCTCGTGTGAAGGACAGGACCATAGGTGTCCTTTTTGGTTGATTTGGTTGAACACTAGAGGGCGATTCCTGGTTTACCTGGTTCAATCGACTACCGGGGAAACCCATCTATTTTCAACCAAAAAGGCCATCTGTGCACAGGACACTACCCGGAGACTCAGGTGCTCTTCAAGGAGAATGCGATGCAAGAGCCAACATTTGGCCATGGGGCAAAACCCAAATCGTACCCCCAGTGAACATCGGGAATTCGAGTTCGGCGGTGGGAGTGTTTTGTTTTCCCCAGCTGAAAGATATGGGGTCGATGGGCCCAGATAAGAGCTCCTCTGTCGGGTGAAAGAGATTCGGCTCGCTCCCTTCGGGGAGTTCTGACGCGATTCCTGGTTTCCCCGGTGGTTCAATCGACTACCAGGGAAACCTATCTATTTTCAACCAAAAAGGACACCTATGAGCCTTTGGTTTGGCAAACTACGGGTGGATTGGATGTTGAGGGGAAACGGCTCCTTCGATTCCTTGCTTGCGGGGATGAAAAACAGAATCGAAGTCTTGAAAACCTCTATGCCTGCGACCTTTTCATGGTTGTTGTTGGGGACACATTTGAAACATTTTTGCTTCTTGTGGTTTAGTGGTTGAAATCCAAATCCACTTAACTGCTAAGATTTGAAGATTCTTGCTCCCCAAACCCAACGTCCACCAAGAAAATCTCCAGGGGTCAACCTGCAAAGATATTTCCCTACCCTCCAACCAAGCTAACCAAAGAAAAACCCACCTCATAATTTTGGGGGGTTATAACCCATGTTTAGGTGTTTTTTCCAACCTAGGCAAAGGGAATTCACCTCATCATTTTCGGGGCCATCGCCCGAGCGAGTCTTTCTCAGGAGGAGAAGGTTGGGAAGGCGCCCGAGAAGCGCAAGAAGCTCCACGGGGTGCCGCGCCCCAGCCTGGATTGCTTCGCCTCGGTGAAGATAAAGGGAATCCCCTGCGTGACCTGGGTGTTTTTTTTTTGTTTTGTTTTTTTTTGGTTTTGAGGGGCACTCATTTCTTTATGTTTTTGCAGGTTGGGGTAGGTTTATGTCTGTTTTGAGGGCACCCATTTGTTTAAACCATGAGAAGGAGCCCCAAGATGGGGGGGGGCCATGAAATGTCCCGGTTGGCCTCAAAGGCACACCCAAGGTTCACCATCCAGCGCTGCTTTTGGCCCTTCAAGAGACCGAGGCGCGGGAGTTGAGGAGTTGGGGTTGGGAATGAGCCTACAGATTCCCTTAAAGGAAACCGGATCGGTTGGATGGTTGTTTTTGGGGTGATTCCATTTCACATTCCCTGCATCTCTCGCACCACTTTTCGGTTGGTGTTGAAACTGGTGGCTTATAGTGACTATGGAGAATCCGATTCGCCAGCTCTGGTTTTTGTAAAGGAAACCAAAAGGAAGCCAATCATCTTATGCCTTGCAACACCTGCGTGCTTCACAGGGGTTCTCTCTGTCGCGCTCTCGTCGCAGGGGCCGCTGCAAGCCTTCAACACCTCCGATGACAGGCGAGCGGCGAGATCTCATAGACTGGGCGGGACGGGAGTTGCTTGGCTTCCGTTTGCTTGGGCACCCTTTCCGGGCTCAGTTGAAACCAAAGGGGAAGCCATATTCTTCTTTTTGCCGAAGTGAATATTTGTTTTTCTCGCCCCCTGTTGGTTTTAAAGAGAATCTATTGCACTGCACAAAACAACCCAGGAAACTTCTCAGCAACTGGAGGTTGGGGAACAAACGCCCTGTGGACGAAAGACATTGGAGACCCCGTAAAGCGTAAGGCCGGCGGTGGTTTGAGTTCTTTTGATGGTGCGTGCGTGAGCAAAAACCCATCCGTGTCCGGAAATTGGGGTTGGCTCCGAACCTTTTAGGCTATTTAAATACTCATTGGGCCATGGGTTAGGTACGGGGTTAGGCCATATTGTGCCCATCCGGAGTTTTGACCATTTGGATTCTGACTCAACAGCTTGGGCGACATACCAATGGATGAATCGAACTGGTGCCATCGAACTGGGTGTGTAGGGAACGGGGCCCCAGAAGCATCACAGAATTCATGCACCCGATGGTTCTTAAGTGCACCTGGATTCTTTGGGACGACTTCCTTCCACCTTGCAACTTTGCAACCGCGGCTAGTCTCCCACAAAGTATCAAACAACGTAGCTTGCAGCTGCATTCTGCATCTCCGGCTTCTTCTTTTTGTTGCTTGTGGTTTGCCCGTTTCAGCCCGGTCTCTCACGTGGGTTTTTTCCTCGGGTTCCGGCGCGAGGCCCTGCAACAAGGACTTCGATCAGCTGACCCCGGCTCCCTGGCAGTGAGCCACGCCCATCTCGGGATTTGGCTTCGCGGCCCTTGGGAAGCGAAACGACGCCACTTTTCGGGATCCCAAGGGGTTGGGGGGAATATCGGTTTTTAGCTCGATCATGGTTGGTTTTGAATATGATTATAATGGTTGGAATGCGGATTTATAGCTCCGGGGGGAGGGGGGGATTTTCTTGAGATTTTCTTGAGACTTTCAAGCACCGAGCATCATGTTTTCCCCTTGGACGTGGGATTTTCAAGTTGCACTTTCCTAAGCGCGAGACTCTCGCGGATGTCGACCATGGCGCTCGGACACGGCCCCCAGCGCTTGCCCCGAAAGCGCCGAAAGCGCTCGCAGGTACGCCCCGGAGACGGCGCGGGGGACGTCCATCACCTCCAACCTGAAAGAGCGGGCCAAGGCCGCGGATCTTTCCCCTCCCCCCGAAAAGGAGTCGGGCTCGAGCAGCTTTGATTTGCTGGTTCCATAGGGAATGAGAACTGAAATGACCGACCCCGAAAAAGAAGAAGAAAAATAACGATCCCACTGGTGGTTTCCTTTGAGGAAATCGGTTTTTTGGTTTGAAAGGGGAACCCACAGGAATTCCACCGTTCGTTGGCTCCTCCTGTTTGGACACAAACCCCAATTGGCGTTCTAAGGAGAAGCTGCGTTTTCAAGTGACTCCCTTCAGCGTCTTGGTGGCTCCGTTTATCACCTGGGCCGAGTCTGCTTCGTTTTCCTTTGCGCTGCTGCATCGAGTTCGAGAAATCAAACTGCTGTGCAGGGGGGGGGGGTTCCCCCAAAAGTGGAGATCCGGATTCCCTGGACGGGATGCCCCAATCCATCCATCCGTCCGTCCGTCCGTCCATCCATCCATCCATCAATCCATCAATCCATCAATCCATCAATCCATCAATCCATCCATCAATCCATCAATCCATCAATCCATCAAATCCATCAAGCCATCAATCCATCAATCCACCACTCCGTCACTTCGTCAATCTGTTAATACGTGAATCGGTCGATCCGTCGATCCGTCGATCCGTTGATCCGGCGACCGTCGATCCAGCAATCCATCAATCCATGATCCGTCAATGCGCGAATCTGCATCCATCACTCCATCAATCCACCAACCCATCACTCCATCACTCTATCCCTTCTTCAATCCATCACTCAATCACCGAGTCTCCCCTTAAGCCCGCTGATGCGACATCTAACCCAATCCAACCCAGTCCAGTCCAACCCATCAATCAATGAGTCAATGAGTCAATCAGTCAATCAGTCAGTCAGTCAGTCAGTCTGTCAGTCAGTCAATCAGTCAACCAATCAATCAATCAAGACAGCAAGCAAGCAAGTAAGCCACCATGCATGCATGCATGCATGCATGCAGTCAATCACTTATTTTCAATTCAATGGGTTCCCACACCATTGAGGAAAACAAGCATGCACCTTATTGCGGCAGCCCATGAAAGTACCTAAGGACCCAACCCGATCGTAGGGCTTTGATTGTGTTTTGAGGGTGCCCTCTTCTTTGATTTATCAAGCGGTTGTTGGTTTTGACTTAAACCTTGCAAAACAGGTCTGTGCAAACACCCCCGGCTCACAACATCCCTTTCTGAAACCAAAAAGGGCCCGTTTGATTTTAGGGCGCCAGGTCAGCTTTGGAGCTACAGAACTGGGGGGGGGGGGGGCGGGGGGGTAGCGCCAGGTGGGCCGCAGAGGCGTGTTCGGCACCTGTGCGCGCCTCGATCTTCTCGAGGCTTTCGGCCCGGCGAAAAAGGCCGAAGGTCCTTTGGGCGGCGAATCAGGCGACGCTTTTGGATGGGTTTGGATGGGTTTGGATGGGTTTGGATTTGGAATTGAAGGCCTTCCATTTGCTGAAATGAATAATTGTTATTTTCCCCTGTTGGGTTTAAAGGGAATCGATTTCACTACTGGACACATTTTTATTTTCCCAGGGGGCTTATGTAAATGGAGGCTCCTTTGAAGCCAAATCAAGAAGGTACCTAGGGTCCAAACCACCAAACCAAAAACCGAACCAACTAGGGGTAAGGTGAATGAAGGTGGATCTCTCGGTGTGTCACGACCATTTCATAGCGACCTCGCTGTTGGTCTGTTTGGCATTGCGCTCTCACCCACTTTTGGGGTGTCTGGATTTTGGTGTTTTGGTGAGTTCAGTCAGGGCACTGGTATCTAGACCGTTGGCGCAACCTGCGGCGAGAGTGATTTAGGGCACCTCAATTTATGGAGTCCAAGGACTACCCACCTTGGACTCCACAACTTGATGGTTCTGGGAGAAAAGCGAAGTGGTGAGTAACAGGTTACCACTCAGGTTACCACTCGAGTAGCGGCTCAGATTGGTTGGTTTCCTGGGTTTACCAGGGCTAAGGTCCGTTGAGCCAAGCGCCCGGAGCCGAGACGAGGCGCGGACCGCTTCTACGGCAGCCCCATGGGTGCCAAGGAAGGTCCGGATCCGATGCCGGGCCTCCCAGCCCCGGGTCTGTCTGGGGGAGCGAGAGCCCATGGCCAAAACCGGATCCCTCCGGTTTTGGCCGGGCAAGGGGAACCAGCTGAAAGGGTTTTTGTGTTATGTTTTTTTTGGCCTAGCCCTGGCACAGGGCGAACCCTGGCAGGTGGTTGGTTGCTTGGTTGGTTGGTTGGTTTGGTTGTTTGGTTGGTTGGTTGGTTGGTTGGTTGGTTGGTTGGTTGGTTTGGTTGGTTGGTTGGTTGGTTGGTTTGGTTGGTTGGTTGGTTGGTTGGTTGGTTGGTTGGTTGGTTGGTTGGTTGGTTGGTTGGTTGGTTGGTTGGTTTTGTCGGCCAAGGGGAACCACCCTTTATCGAAGGATGAGAGCTTGGTGGTCATGCAGAGTGGTCATGCAGACCCACACTGAACGTAAGTGCGAAGCTCCTGCGGGGGCAAAAACGTGGTGAAGGGCGAGCCCGGGCTCCTGCGTCCCTCATCACTTTGAACAGTTTGTCAGTGCCAGGGAGACGGCCCATGGGGGGTGACCCCGTTTGGGTGTGGTTTGTTAGCTGCGGACGGTCCACCCAGTGGGTCTGTTTGTGTTTTTGTTTCAGGTACCCCCCTTTTTTGCGTGGTTTTGGAGAGAAGCCAAGAGGACCACGGAAATCCGTTTAAGGGGGTCCGATTCCACCAACAAGGACGAGCCACCCCATGTTTTGAGTTGGCTTCCCGTGTGCACATTGGGCATTTCCGACCCTCGCCCCGGCGCTCAGTTGGGATGGCGGCACCACTGGCGTGGGCAAGGATCCGGGCTCCCCAGAAGCCAGGTGGGCGCACCGCACGCCACGTGGTGTCCGTTTTGGTTGGCGAAACGCACGTTTTGTTGTGTTGTAACAACTGAAAGCTATAGGGTCTCGCGATGAGGGGTGGTTTGGGGCAGCTTTCAGGGAGGGTTCTGGACGACTGTGGTGAAAAGAATCGGCTTGTGAACAAGGCTGGTCACATGCGAGGAATGAAGTGGCAATCAAAGGGAGCTGACCATGGAACAAGCGTATCAGACTGAAGACCCGACCAGATGAGGGGAGCATGGTTCCCAACTTACCTGTCGTGGTTCCTAGACTTCTTGTCGCGGTTCGCAAGGCACCATTCTTGTCGTGGTTCGTTTCCTTCCCTCTCAGATGTCGTGGTTCGTGCGAGCTCCCCCTTCATATTCCTGGCACTTGATGTGGCTGACGTTCATTTCTATGTCTTTTCGTTGGGTCAGTTAGAGTTGTCTTAAGTCCATTCTTGGGTGGTTTAAATTGGTGGTTTCGATTTGGAGTTGAACCTCCGGTGCATCTCCAAGCAACCAAGGCTTCCAAGAGCGCGCCAACAGCGGGGGAGGGATGCTCGCAGGTCCTCCTTCAAGTCAACCTCTCCGAGGATGCAGAAGGAACAGGCCCAAGAGGCCGGTTGCTGGATGTCAACTTGTTTCAAACACCGAAAGGAACAGGGCTTCGGTTCCACATGTTATAAGACGACCGCAACTGGAGCGGATTTGACTTGATTCTGAGGACCCTGTCACCCGCAAGAAGAGCAAAGTCTGCGACCAGCCTGTCCTTGCTTCTTCTTGCATGCACGGCCGCTTCATCTCCAGACAGTTCGCGCCCAGCTCTCCCCAGCGTGGATGTGGCGCAGAGGCTGGTGTGCCTATGCCGCCTGCCAGGCGGGGATTCTCCTGGCCACCCACTTGGCGGACCTTTGCCTCCTGGAGCCGTCAGGTGCCGTGCGCGCGCTGGCGGATAGCGCGTGCCACGCCACGCTGGCTGGGCTGGCGTGGGCCTGCGTGTTGATCGCCTCGGGGTCGAGGGCGAAGACTTCCAGCGTCGTGGAGGTAGGGGTGTCCATGCGACTTGGCGTTCGAAGGATCTCTCCAAAATTTGACCTGTTGGGGATATGTGTGTGTGTGTGTGTGTGTGTGTGTGTGTGTGTGTGTGTTTCGCACTCGACCAATCAAACATATGGTATGGGTCAAAATGAATCCGGGGACCGCGGAATTCAGTCCTCGATTTCCATTTACCAATGTTCCATTTCGGGGTTACCTTGCTTTTGACCCACACCTCTGTGCCTTTGACCGGTCAAGGTGTGTGGGGAGCCTGGTGGACCTCGACCACTTCCTGGCGGCGGGGTCTCTATCCCTCGCTTCCGCCACGCAGCTCCTGGCGCGGCCCTGGGGCCACGCGCTGCCCAGCTGCCTCCTCTGCGCGCTGGCGGTCTTCGCCGCCAGCGGAAGCCTCCGCTGGGCGCTGCTGGCGCTGGCGGCCTACGGGGCCCACCTGCTGCGGGACGCGGCCAGGAGAATTGGAGCATGGGCGTCCTTTGTAGGTGAGCTTTGGTCAAAAATAGATGGGTCCCACTGGTTTAGATAGGTTTTGTTCCATTTACCAGCGAAACCCATCTATTTTTCCAAAAGGCCACCTATGGCCAGGAGGGGCCTGATGCTGTGGCCGGGCTGCAGCACGCCGGCCTTGCCGCAGCCACTCGTCTTCGCCGTCTTCGGGCTGGCGCCCGTGCTGCTAGCACAGGTCTTGAGGCTCCCCAAGCGGGAGCCGGAAGCTGAGGCCGGGGAGCAGGTCTAGACCAAGCTGCCGAGACCGAAGCCGAGACGCCGACGGAACCTTTGCGAACTCTTGCAGATGGCCGAGGTCTTTGGTCGCCCAACCTTTCTGGGAAGAATGGCCAAAACTGATAACACAGGGTGTGATCAAGGGGTCGCACCAGCTCCGTTGGGTTCAACTTCAAGGACACTCGCACGCGGCAGGAGCGCGAGTCGGACAGCGAAGCCCCAAGCCCGACCCGACGCCATGCGGCAGATTCACCGGAGAAAGTCTCGCGCCGTGCGTGGGTTCTACCCTTTCTACTTGCTCGGGCACCCCTTCCAAACAGATGTGCACCCCTTCCAAACAGATGTGCACCCCTTCCAAACGGGGCAACTGAAAATGGCTGGTTTCCTGTTGGTGTCCCTGCAAACACCATCCAAGCATGGCATCCCTAATTTTTGGACCCCAAAAGTCGAAAAGAGCAGCAGGTCCTTTTGAGTTTTTGCGCAAAGGAGTGCCCTGGGGCCCTACGGAGAGGTCCCTGGGAATTTCTCCAAATTGTCCAAGCCCGAAGGTGCTGTCCGAAAATCAGCTGTTGTGGTGCTGGCCCAGCATCGCGACTTCTTCAAGGGGACCCCCAAAAAAATGGATGGTTTCCTGTTGGTGTCCCTTTAAAACCAACCTTCAAGGTCAAAGAAGGACACACCCCGGTAGACAGCTTGGATAGGTTTTCTTGCTGGTGCTCAGTAAGGTGAACCGGTTTAGGGGACTCCCGAAGAAAGGACACCACCAGTGGGATGGTTTTTCTCGGGGTCATTCCATTTCTCATTCCCTGCGTACCAAACCAGCAAGTCATATAATCGGCCTACTGGAATGAATTTGTTTTTTGCAGGGCGAAGAAGGCGAATGGAAGGCTTGGACCAGTCGAATGCTTCCGATTCGAATGCTTCTGATGCTCCTGCCTGCTTCTTCCTCCCAAGCAGGGTTCCGGAACCCCGAGCCGCGCGAGGTGCATGTGGTGGCGCTGGGCGATCTCCAAACTCCCGCCAGGGGCCCACGGCATTTGGATGTCGGCGGGAAGTTTATTTGTGTACTTATGGATATGTTTCTTTTTTAAATAGGATCAGAGAAAGAGAGAGAGAGAAAGAGAGAGAGAGACACAGAGAGAGAGAGAGAGAGAGAAAGAGAAAGGGAGAGAGGGAGAGACAGAGAGAGAGAGCTCCCTATATTTTCCATCCTTTGGGCGTTTCAATATCACCTTTGGGGCCAATTTTCAGTGCCCCCACTTCCACCACCTACTATTTCAGAGTGTGATGACTTGAGTAAAAACGGATTTCTTTTTTTTTTTCGCAAAAAGCCTAGTTTCAGGGAGGAGATTCCCATTCCGGAGGATTCACTTGGACAAGCACTGGATCATTCGGCCCTGGGTAACTTGCAGGGGATTTGCGGTTGAGTGAGTTGCAATATTTAGGGCGCCCCGAAAAACGGATTCGAGCGAGGGAAGGTTTGGTTTGTGCCCATTTTCGGCTTTCAGACCTCCATTGCATCACAAGGAGAGCGCCCGTGGAATGTCGTGACTATTGTCGCTGAATCGACGGGCTGACCCTTCAGCCGTATCCTTTCTGCCACATGTTCTTTTCGCGGGAGCAGACCTTGGGGATGGTCAACGCTTCGGAGGGGAATGGACCGCCGCGGAACCGGGCTCGTTTTCAGTTGAGCCTGAGGGCAACACCTCACTTCCTGAGCTCATGGACTTTTTATTCGCTTTTGGGGGAAGGACCATCTAAGTGGCAAGCAAAAAGTTTGGGCCTTTTGTTTTGGCCAGTCCACTCAGGAAGTGAGACCCAACCGCCTGGGCTCGGTTTCCTGTTCAGACGGTTTTTCCGGGGTATGTGTTTTATATGGATATGCCGGCGAGCCTCGAGGCTCCAGGCGAGTATGACATCAAGGCGCGGGGGTGGTGCTCATGGCTGATTCGCGGTGTGGAGTCAAGGCGAGCTCATTGAATGCTCGTACATCTTATATCTCAGATGATCACTTGGGGACCATAACAAAAAGAAGAGAAACAACTCTTGATGCCAATGCAAAGGGGACTAGGGGGGGGGTGTCCTGAGACCAAGTCATGGTGGCTCGGCTGTCTAGCGGCGTCTAGCGAGCGCGACTCCGGCCAGGAGCCCAACTACCGCTCGCCGTACCGCATACCCAGGCGTGGCGCTTGCTTTCAGGTAGCGGGGCGCCTGCGTATTGCTTGTGCCGCTGGCTGGATGAGTTGGTTCAAAGAAGCCGAAAGGGGCCCCGCCCTTTGGCGCAACATGGGGTTTTCATGTGGAGCCAGCAGGGGAACCCGTGGGTCAGACTCCAACGGGCAAGCGGGCGAGGGCCAGGCGTTTTTTTCCGTTCGGAGAGGTCAGAGCATTTGTCCTTCGGCTCGGGCACCACCCGTTTCACCGAGAAGCAGGACGCGGGAAGTTCCCTGTCCGAGAATAGTTGGGACATGCTGACTGCCTCATGGAGAGTCATGGCTTGGCGGTCAGCCATCAGGTTCTTGAGATGTTCAGGTTTGTAGTGATTTAACCTATAAGATCAACTTGGAGCAGTGGATCTGAAACCGGACAGCCCTTTTGCATGACGGTCACTTTGTGTTTTTGTTTCAGGGCGACAAGGTCGTTGTCTTTCCGCGATCGTGCTGGACATGAGTTGGACCCCCTTTTTGGTTGGCGGTGAAGGACGCCATAGAGGGACACAACCGGGTTCATACCTTGATCGCTCTTCGGTTTTGACTTTTAACCGTTCATCACTTTTTGGAAAAGAACTGTTCACTAGCAAAGAAAGATTTGAACTTGTGGCAACGACGGTCAACCTTTCGCAACGAGAGAGCGAGAGAGTTTCTTTTTGTAGGCAAGATGCAATGGCTTTTCTCGTTTTTGTTGTTTTAAGAAGAAAGGCTTCAGCCACTGGTGCAACGCAATCCAACCGGGAATTCTAATCCTGCGTTTTCCCATTCCCTTCGCTACCTGCGCGAAACACACGGACCACTGGAGGCTTTTTTGAGACGTTGCCATGTTTTTTCAAAAGCCAGCAACGTCAAGGACAAAAAGGACAACAAGAAGACACTTCAGGGCCTATCTTTGTTTTAAAAATACCTCTTTATTTGGTGGTTTTACAGGGAAACCTTAAAAGCACCACCAAGAACTCCATTTAAAATCCAACTCCCTTCCCACCCCCGAGCTTTTGCTACCATTGAACCAGCTCTAACTGGGGCGCCGGCCGAGCGGCAGGAAGTCTTTACAAAGTTTAAGCTTCCGGAGGGGCCTGCGCCTGGCGACTATCAGATGCCGGGCCCTCTCTATCTCTCTCACGAGTCACGGAAAACGGTCACGCCGGCCGGCGCTCGATTTCGAACAGCGGTGGGGGGCGAACGACACGGAAAGCGGCCGGGCGGTCTTTTTTTAAAATATATAACGAGGGGCGCGCAGCCACCGGTGAGTTCTTGCAGGTGTCGAAGTGGTTTCAGTTTGGCGGAAACAAACTGGAATTCACTGGCTCTAGTTTGGCTCTCGTCCCGTGTCATGGTTTTTTCATGAGCTTCCTTCTGCTGGGATGTGTTTTAAGTAAAGGGGGCCAAAGAACAAACCACTTTGGTTCCTGGAAGTGGAACTCAGAATTGCCCCCCCCTCCCTTTGCCTGCTCTTGAAAGCACAAGCCCTATAGGACTGGTTTGTTCAAGTGGGGGTCTTCTAGCCTTCGCGGCTTCATTGGATCCTGCACACCCCGTTCCCCTGAGAAAGAACGACAATGAGAGATGCAACATGTGCACCTGGGCCCTCAAAATACCAGTAAACATGGGTTATAACCCCCCCACATGTGGGGTGGATTCCCTTTTTTAAGGGTAGTTTGAGGGTTTAGATCAAGGCTGCCAAGGTTGTATCTAGGCTTGTGGGACTGAGGGGAGGGGACTTTTCCACTGCGAAGTCTTCCGAGAAGAGTTTGCCACCCTAGTCTTGCTCCAGCCTTTCACACTTCGGAACAAAAAGGAAGATCAACGGGCTCTGGAGACGCAAATTTAGAGACTCAGGAGTGACTTTTCATTGCTCCAAGCAGCTTTGCCCGCTTTGCTCCAAACAAAACCCACGGGGAGCGGCCAAACCTTTCGCGCGGTTTTTCTAGCCGCTCCGGCCCCGGAAGCCGGCGCCCGGCTTCGTGTTCCGAGGCCCTCGAAGAGCCATGTGCTGGGGGCGGCCAGGCTCAAGGCGCGATGTTCCCCGCAACCAATCACGTCAACCAGTCAACCAACCAACCACACAGATTTGAAGTTTTGGAGGTGAATTCGAGATTTGTTTTCCCATACTCTCATTCTTTCTGCAGTCAGTTGGACACAGTAGCAATTAACCAGCTTGCTCATTTGCTGATTTCAGTTTGGGAATGGAGTTGAGATGGGTTCCTTTGATGCCAAATGCAAAACCGCGCAGGATTATATCCCAACAATTGGTTGTCCGGGGCCAGCTCTCTTAGCGGGTCCAAACAGGATATTCTTGTGGGACAGAGCCCTGGTCGGACCTCTTGATCCCAGAGGTAGCCTCAAGACACCAAGTTGGTATGGCTTGGGTATGGAGAAGGCCGCCTGTGAAAGTCCGCGGCCATTTCCCTGACCCCTATCACTTCGTGTGTGTGTGTGTGTGTGTCTGTGTGTGTCTGTGTGTGTCTGTGTGTGTCTGTGTGTGTCTGTGTGTGTCTGTGTGTGTCTGTGTGTGTCTGTGTGTGTCTGTGTGTCTCTGTGTGTCTCTGTGTGTCTCTGTGTGTCTCTGTGTGTCTCTGTGTGTCTCTGTGTGTCTCTGTGTGTCTCTGTGTGTCTCTGTGTGTCTCTGTGTGTCTCTGTGTGTCTCTGTGTGTCTCTGTGTGTCTCTGTGTGTCTCTGTGTGTCTCTGTGTGTCTCTGTGTGTCTCTGTGTGTCTCTGTGTGTCTCTGTGTGTCTCTGTGTGTCTCTGTGTGTCTCTGTGTGTCTCTGTGTGTCTCTGTGTGTCTCTGTGTGTCTCTGTGTGTCTCTGTGTGTCTGTGTGTCTGTGTGTCTGTGTGTCTGTGTGTCTGTGTGTCTGTGTGTCTGTGTGTCTGTGTGTCTGTGTGTCTGTGTGTCTCTGTGTCTCTGTGTCTCTGTGTCTCTGTGTCTCTGTGTCTCTGTGTCTCTGTGTCTCTGTGTCTCTGTCTCTGTGTCTCTGTGTCTCTGTGTCTCTGTGTCTCTGTGTCTCTGTGTCTCTGTGTCTCTGTGTCTCTGTGTCTCTGTGTGTCTGTGTGTCTGTGTGTCTGTGTGTCTGTGTGTCTGTGTGTCTGTGTGTCTGTGTGTCTGTGTGTCTGTGTGTCTGTGTGTCTGTGTGTCTGTGTGTCTGTGTGTCTGTGTGTCTGTGTGTCTGTGTGTCTGTGTGTCTGTGTGTCTGTGTGTCTGTGTCTGTGTGTCTGTGTGTCTGTGTGTCTGTGTGTCTGTGTGTCTGTGTGTCTGTGTGTCTGTGTGTCTGTGTGTCTGTGTCTCTGTGTCTCTGTGTCTCTGTGTCTCTGTGTCTCTGTGTCTCTGTGTCTCTGTGTCTCTGTGTCTCTGTGTCTCTGTGTCTCTGTGTCTCTGTGTCTCTGTGTGTGTCTGTGTGTCTGTGTGTCTGTGTGTCTGTGTGTCTGTGTGTCTGTGTGTCTGTGTGTCTGTGTCTGTGTGTCTGTGTGTGTCTGTGTCTGTGTCTGTGTCTGTGTCTGTGTCTGTGTCTGTGTCTGTGTCTGTGTGTCTGTGTGTCTGTGTGTCTGTGTGTCTGTGTGTCTGTGTGTCTGTGTGTCTGTGTCTGGGTGTCTGTGTCTGTGTGTCTGTGTGTCTGTGTGTCTGTGTCTGTGTCTGTGTGTCTCTGTGTGTCTCTGTGTGTCTCTGTGTCTCTGTGTCTCTGTGTCTCTGTGTCTCTGTGTCTCTGTGTCTCTGTGTGTCTGTGTGTCTGTGTGTCTGTGTGTCTGTGTGTCTGTGTGTCTGTGTGTCTGTGTGTCTGTGTGTCTGTGTGTCTGTGTGTCTGTGTGTCTGTGTGTCTGTGTGTCTGTGTGTGTGTGTGGGTGTGTGTGTGTGTCTGTGTGTGTCTGTGTGTGTGTGTGTTTGTGTGTGCGTGTGTCTAACTCCTCCAACATGGGCAAGAACAGCCCCAAGATGCTCATTTCTTTCAAGGACGTTGAGCTGAGAAACATAAAGGGTACCAACCCAAATGACACCCATGAGGTATCCCGAAAAACTGTGTTGTGTAGGAACTCTCGAAGGAGTGAAACCTGACGGGTGAGACGAATCTTCGATCACGTCCGCACGATTTGAGACTCGACCGGGCAACGACTTGGCCGAGACAGTTTGCTTGCGTGCAGCTTGAAGGAGAAGCTGCCTGGGCCCTGAGAATGCCCGAGCAAATGGGTTATAGCCCCAAAGTTATCGGGTGAATCCATTTTTAAGTTTGAGGGTTTAGACACACACACACATATTATATATATATATATATAGGCGGACCATCCAGCTGTCCCCGCAACATGGGAAAACCTACCTGGGCCACGCTCTGCGGGACTAAGCTTTCCGGGCTTTGGAGATAAGCGGCTGGCTGTTTCCAGGGCACCGCCCGGAATTTGCTTCCCTCTTTCTTTCTTTCTTTCTTTCTTTCTTTCTTTCTTTCTTTTTTTCTTTCTTTCTTTCTTTCTTTTTTCTGTTTTGTTTTTGGTGTTGCTTTTGTGTTTTGTATTTTTATTTGTACTTTCCATTTTTTTTGCGGCCCCTTTGTTTTTCCACTATCCAGGCGAAAAGCATTTTTTTGGTCTGGGGTTCCATTTTCCAGCCAGTTGGTCCGGAGCTTGAACCAAGTCGGACGTCCGCGCCGAGTTTTTTTCGGATCGCAGCTCGGCGACGTCAGGACAAGAGGAAACCTCCCTTGGTGGGCTCTACGACGACAACCGCCGCGCCCAAGGGATGCGCCGAGAGGTTTTTTTTATTACTTTTTCGGACCCCGGCTTTTTGGTTTTAAGTGAAAAACCGCCAAAACAGGGGGTCCCCCAAAAAATAGGACAGACCCAAATGGGGCAGGTGTCCTGATTTCTACTCTTTCAGCCCTTCACTTTGCCATGCCACCATGTCTGCTAATCGGTTCTGCGAGTCGCATGCCTGACCCAATGTTCGCCAGGGCATCCGCTTGTTTGTCCCTTGTTCTCGCTGTGGATTTGGGTTCAGCGGACCAAGGTCGGCCCTGGCAGCTATGGCACGAGCACTGAGACATCTCTCTTGAAGAAGACCTTCAACGTCACCACTCAGGAGCGGATGCTTGGGGGATCTCTGCCTGTGAAGCCCTCCGTGAGCCTGGAGTGACTCCATACGGTGAGGGGCCCAGTTCATGTGACAAGGGCCATGTGGGTGAGGAAACTCGGCCACTATTGTGCGAGTTTAGGGAACCAACCAGAAGCCCAACCGGAAAAAAAGTCAGCAGCCTCTTTATGCAGCGTGTCCTCCATTTCCCTTTTTGGAACCTCCAAAAGCGGCAAGTGGGACCCACTGGTAAATCGATCTCAGCTTAAGGGACAAGCGAACCGTGTCTGTTAATGCAGCGTGTCCTCCGTAAAAGGGCTCCAAAAGTGAAAACCACGGGTAAATTGATCTCAGCTTTAGGGAAATTCCGGCGAATACCTGAAAACAGCACATTTCCAGGTTTTCCTCCTCTTAGCTGTTGCTTCCACCCTCCAAGCTTGGCTCTCGCGTGTTTTTTTGAGTGCGACAGGCTCGGAGCCTCATGCACGGTGCCCGGCGCTCGGGATGGCTTGAGAGACTGTTCACGTGGGTATGCGTCAAACTTGAAGGGGACCACAGGTTTTTCCCAAACCCGCAAGCCGCCCTTAAAGAACGGAATTTACCAACCATAATTTTGGGGCCAGAAACCCATTTTTTTTCGGGTATTTTGAGGGTCCAGGTGGTCGTTTGACCTGGGTATCTAGTTTTGACCCACACCCAAACTCCAGATCCCCACACAACAATATTTAGCATTTGGCAGAAGCTCAAGACAAGGTCGCAGCAACACGCGAATTTGGGGTCGATGTTGATACACAGGCAAGTCAAAGCTCTGCAAGTCAACAAGCGTTTCTTGATGCTTTTGGCTTGCTCCTTTTGTTTCCCCGGCGTGCCACTCCTTTTCGTGTGCTCCACAAAGAAAGAAATCCGGAGCTCACCTTGCTGTCGCGGCCGCCTAAGTCGGAGCTCGAGGCCTGAAACGGGCAACGCGTGCCTTGCCAACCCGCGCGCCAAGGGGGGGAAAAGGCGCGTGCGAGCCGATCCGTCCCTTGCGACGATTTTTTTGTTCGCCATGACCTTTTCTAGGAGGGCCGGACCTTGTCATGAAGATTCCGTCTCAGAAGTTCAAAATGAAAAGGGCGGCCGGAGATTTGCCCCCCGAAAGTTTGTATGTCGGAAATTCTTGAAGAAGTTGGAGCGTAAGACCGCAGGCTTTGGCCCACCTGGCAATACCTTAAAGGCACCCACATCCAATCTGTCGAACAGCAAAAGGTGTACTGGAGAGGGCTACGAACAAAAATGAGGTTGCATGGTCAAGCTGACTTTGAACTGCCTGCCCTTGGCTTGTCGAACTTTTGCCTGTTTGAAAGAAACTGTTTCGACATGTTTGCGAGGTTTATCCAAGGGCCACCTTTGGTAAAGGCAGTGCCAGCGACAGCTCTTGCAGAATGAGAGCTGTGTCCTGGACGAAGGGGGCGGCTTATCTGTTTTTTTTTTTCCTGGACACTTATTTTGTTCAGTGGTTTTAAAGGGTTTTGGGGGTCCCCCAAAAAAACAGAGACACCTAAATGGTATGGTTACCTGCTCATGTCACGGAATCACGAACCGCTTGTGCTTGTGTTGCTGGGCAGTGTGCCAATCGTTGTGTCGCTGCACGCGCTTGCTCTGCATTTGGGCTGAACCTCCCCAAGCCTATTTGGGGGATGATGTGTTCATCTCGGTGAATTCACCACCCATTTTGGAACCTGTTTTAGTGGGGATTGGGATGTTCACGGGGGGTACGATTCGGATTTTGACCCACGGCCAAATCACCTTTGACCATGGCTAAAGCCCCAAGTCCAGGCAGCTCTTTCGTATCAGTCCGCGAGACGGCATCTGCGAAGTCAGGCTCTCCCCGGCTGTCGGCTCAGATAGCTTTGACAGTTTTGAACGTCAAAAAGCCACCCGGCGCGGAAAAAAAAGAAAAAGCTGCCCACCCACAAACCCTCCAGCCTTTTTTGAGACTCCGAAACCCACGCCTTAAGCCACTCTTGGCCAAGTTTTCAGCCTCAACCCGCTTTTTAGCTTGTCCCTTCCGCGGAACCTGAGACGCTGCTTTGCTGCGCGAGCGCGCGGCCCGGCGCGCGCCTCGGTCGGTTGGGTCGCCATGTATAGCTTGGCAGTGCGTGCCGCGCTGCCGGAGAAGGCGAAGCGGCGCTTCGCGTGGCAGCGCCCGGGACCGACCCATGCAGGCGTCGAGCGAGAGAGTCGCGGGAAAAGTTACAAACCACTTTCTTCATCCACAAACCCGTGACGGATGTGTTCCTTTGAATCTGACTTTGTTTCACGAGGACTGGTCCCTTGGTGGCTTACCCTTGTCTTCCCATGTCGGGGTCTGTGGATTTGTTTTGATTTTCCTTTTGGTTTCCCGTTAAAACCAAGCAACAGGTATAGGTAAAGGGAATCCAAAAGGACACCTGTCGGTTCAGGGCACTTCTATTTTGAGAAATTACCCATACTGTGGATGGACGAAATCCGCATGACGTTGCGTTGCGGAATCGAATCATTCCAGGGTTTCTTTGATGTTTCAGGATTTTGTCCATCCACAGTATGGGTCTGTCTCTTTTGTTCAGGGTTCCCGGCTTCCCGCTAAAGCCCACCGAAAGAAATCCCCCACACCTTATTGGGAATCCAGCTTGGTTGTTGCAATGTTCAAAGCAGCGTTTGTTAACACACAAGTGCCAGCGAATGCTGCAAGGTCTGCTGCACCTAAAAGGAGAATCCGCCAATCTTTGCTTTGTTTCTTTTGTCGTGTGCGCGCGCCCTTCTGTGTGTGTGTGTGCAGAAAGATCAAACGCATGAGAAGTCAACAGACCCCACTGCCACAACGGCTTTCTTTTGTGTGTGCGCGTGATGGCGCCTTGGGCCCTTTCGACTCTGTGCTTTTGCTCCAGCGCATGGCAAGGCGCCTCTTGCCTATTGGGCCGCCAAAAAGCCTGAGACCTGCACAGCTGTTTTTGCTACACGGGCTTTGGAAGGGCACCTTGCGCAGGTTTGACCATACTGTTCGGGCGCTTGAGGGTCAGTTGCAAACAGGGGTGGGGCATTCCCTTGTTCACACACGCTTCAACCAATATTTGAGCAAATTATTTTCAGCGCAGGTCGGTTTAACTTAGTTCCGCTCGTGGCAAAGTGGAGGAGATGACGAGGAGGAGCCGGAAGTGCTGGAGGTGCCGGATCCGACCCCCGTCCTTGGCATCCCGGCGGCAGCGCTCCTCAAGTTTCCGTGGTGAGGTCCCGGAGGGGGTCGGCAAAGATTCTAGGGGTTGATTCCCCATTCTTTTCAACCATCTGTCTTTTCAAAACACAGCCGTTTTCCCTGGGTTTCCGGAGGGTTTCTAGAAGGATCCCTGGAAAGAATGGGGAAGGTAATCCTGAAATATGAGTGTTGCTCAAAATCGTGGAAGACTGCTACCGTTTTGGAAAGGAAATATATCAACCATGTTACGGCTTAACGCCACAAGCACAGATGCACATACGCGGACATGCGCAGGGTTTCATCGGCATGGTGCCCAGTAAACGGTTTCTTTTTTTGCATCGAAGAGTCGTACCTATAAGATCTCGGCCCCTTCATTTTTCCTTTCGGGGGGCGGCTGTATGATGGACATCAGGGGCCGAGTTTGCAACCACCATAGGTGTCCTTTTTGGTTGATTTGGTTGAAACATAGATGGCGATTCCTCGTTTACCTGGTGGTTCAATCGACTACCAGGGAAACCCCGACTACCAGGGAAACCCATCGATTTTCAACCGAACAGGACACCTATGGCAACCACCTTCTCTTTTTCTCTCCTTCTTTTGGGTTTGGCCGAAAACCCAACCCCCGCGGACTTGGCATTAAGTCCGCCGGAAGGGGCGCTTGGGCGCTTGGGCCTGAGGCGAGTGGCACAGCTACCGCCCGGTGAGGGACTTGGCGCAGCAGGCGGTGGCCGAGGTGAAGACCATGGCGCAGGAGGCGCGCGCTAAAGCCCAACTGAGGCCTTTTGAGGCTGCGGCCTTGGGGCCTTTTGGATCCCTTGCTTATTTGCGTCTGTGTGTGCTTTGTTTGCTTGATTTGTTTGTTTGTTTGCTTGTTTGTTTGTTTTTTCTCTTTTCTTTTCCCTCCAAGCGAAGTGGATCTGGTTGCAGGTTTGAGGATTTCCGGTTGGAGCCTTTAACATGTGAGGCGATATTGTGATTTGGTGGCCATAGTAATTCACCGATTGGGCATTTAAAAGTTTTAGACGAACGACGTCCAATTCTCTGTTCGCATCTTGATGTGTCCGATCAGCAACTAGTGTGTCCGACCACTGCAGGGATACACTGATGCAAGCAACACAGAGGAGAAGGAGAGAGAGAATAGAGGAAGAACAAGGCAATGCAGCCTCATTGTTTCTATGTTTTTTGTTCTTCTAATTTTCCTGTTGAAATAGAACAATAGCTGAAACATCAGTCATGTTTTCCAATTTTCCCCCATTGCAACACACGCGCCGATCAACCTGCGACGAGTGCTTGGGGCGCTCAGGCCTTGATCTTCGAGGAAGAGAAACTGGCCATGCCCCCTGGGCCGGCTGAATACCTTGTGGCAGCTCGGTAAGTGGTGAAGCTTCCTACTGTGGATGGACAAAATCCTGCACCACCTAAGAAACCCTGGAATGATGATTCCCCTGTAAATACCACCAAAAAATGGTTTCCCATGGTTTCCAAGTGGTGCAGGATTTCGTCCATCCACAGTATTGGGGGAAGGGGGGGGGGGGGGCAAGCGCTTTTCGCCGATCTGCCGCGTTCGAGATCTATTTGGAGTTTGTTCGTTGCTTTCCCGTGAGCTCTAAATGGATTCATTGACCGGACGCAGAACTCGTTTTTGGCTTTTGGGAACTGCAACAGGAGCCCTGGATTCATTCCTTCACCTTTCAGTCGGCAAAGCTCATGGATAGAGCTGTCACTTAAAAAGATGGAAGGGGGGAGCAGTTCATTGGTGGGATGGACGCAAGCTTAGTGGGATGACATCAAAAGGACAAGTCTAATTAATTGCTAGGCGTGAATTCCTAGTGACACGTCCCGCACAAGGAACAAGTCCTAAGTGGCCATAGGTCTCCCGTTCTGTTTAATATTGACCTTGAGCCCACTTGATGAATGAGTTTCCCTGCGGCTGAGGTTTTTTCTTTCTCGTTGGAACCCGGTAGACTCCCCTGGTAGGTGACTGGCTGAGTCACCAATCGCGGTTCAGAGCAGCATGTCTGGGTGTTTCCTGAAAAGTGGCGGGTGCCCGCATCTCTCTTCTTTTTTGTTGGGCCGTGTGCTTCCACGGTTTCCTGCCTGCAATCTCTGAGACTGTCACGAGTCAATCCAAGGAATTTGCACTCGCTCTTCCTTCGCTTATTTTAGTCCTTTTGGGGGGGGGGGGGGGGCATGCACAGGAGCTACGGGGTCGCCGCCCGGATAGGCTCGTTCGGGGTGGTTTGCGGCAGATTCGGCTCCGGAGGGTTCCGGGAGGCCGGGAGCTGTCAAAAATATCGCCCGCTGCAGACTTTCTCAAACCCACCCAGAGGTTGCAAGAGCTTCTCCACTCTACCCGCCGGAGGGGCGGCTTGGGGGGGGGGGGGGGAGCTGATGGGGGGGGCGAGCTGATGGGCGGTGGATGGCCGGAGCTGAGGACAACTCGGCGCTCCAAGCCCACGCCCCCGGCATCACCTTCCGGTTCAGTGCCTTGGCGCCTCCGTTTTTTTTCGGGGGGGGGGGGACGGGGGACGGAGAGAGAGACCACAACCCGTGAAGGCGGAAGGAGGACGGCACGGGTTGGCGTGCCCTTTGAGGTTGGACCAGGTGAGTTTTCAGGTGTGCCCTTTGGGGTTCCTCGACCAAAGAAGTTGTCCTCGCTGTTCTTTGCCAAAAACGGTTTTGCCCTCAAAAGAGACACGTCGAACACCAAAGGGTCCAGTTTGAGGGATATTTGAAGAGTTGCCATTCTGAAGTTTGATCCCCATGTCTTTTTGTTTTGCCACCCATCGTTCTCCACCCCCGCCTTTGTTGAGAAGGGAAGCCCAGTCGTCGCCATCCGGAGGCAAGCGCATGGAAGACCGGGATGACTTGGGTGAGCTGGCGGCCTTTGGCAGCATCGTCTTGGGCATCGATGAGGGTGACGGCCCTCTGGCAGACAGATGGCCATGGTTCAAAACCAATATGGTACCATTTTGAGGTAGGTGAATTCACAACCCATTTTAGTCTATTTTAGCGCGGATTAGGATGTTCACTGGGGTACGGGCTTTCCACCCATGGCCAGATGGGTCGTGCCATTTGGGTACGGGGGTGACTCATGAGACAAATGGAATGGTTTCGCAGATTCGGAGTTCGTGGATGTTATACTCTTGGGGGTTCGGACCAGGTTAGTGCTAAGCAAACAGTCAAACAGTTTGCACCTTTATTTGATCGATCCAGGAAGTCAGTTTCTGAATACCCTGGCTCAATGCTTTGGGGTCTGCATTCTGCAAAGCCAAGCCGACCTCCAATGCGTGGGGCCCCAAGCAAGATCCCTAAACCCGCAGCCTTAAGAGCCCCGAAGCCTGGGCAAACCCTATTGAATCCTGTCAACGTGTGAACTCTACGCCCACAAACCCTAAAACCAACTGAAACCATACCATCTGAGTGCTTTTACAGCCATCAAGCAAAGGTCATGTCTCCCGTTTCCCCCCAGGCATCACTGTAACCCCATTTAGTAGTGACCCATCCTCCTTCTTCCCAAACAGGCAGCTAAATGTTTGCCCTGTGCAACCACTCGCCCATGTTTTTGTTGTTGCGTTCTTCTTCTTCTTCCCTGACTTCCTGGACTTTAAGAGTCACTTTTCGGGTGTGGACTCCGGTAAAGAGACGAGCGCTCCGTTTGTTTTTGGGGGGGATGCCTTCGTGTTTGGCCGGTCGTTTGGACTCCATGTTTTAGAGTTTTGGGATCCATTCTTTGGCGAAAAACGAGCAGCCAGCTCTTGGATCCAACTGTTTTTGGGCAAAAAAAAGCGAGCAACCAGTTTTGGGTGACTCTTTTGGGCCCATTTTTTTTCGGAGAGACGTGAGGCAACTCCGACCTCCTGAGGCTGGCTGAGGGCGCAGAACCCCCAGGGCGAGATCCGGTTTCTGCCGATGGAGCTGCAGGGCGTGGCCGTGGTCTCCAAGAACGCGGCGGCCCAACACCGGGAGGTGCGAGGGAGAGGTTTGAGGAGTGAGAGGAAGGCTCCTGGTTTAGGGGCGGTGAACAAAAGGGGGGGGGAACAACTTGTTTCTAGTGCTCCCAGTTTTAAAGGGGGGTGAAAAGGGAGGGGTTAAAAAAAAAGAAAAACATGAAAACAAGTGAAAAGGACGAAGAAAGAAGGGAACGTTCAAGTTCACAAAACAACTCCAAACGGGGGGGGGGGGTTCAAGAAAAGAGGTGCCTCTCCCCCCCAAAACGCGGGGGGCGAGCTTCATGATTTCTCCAGCATCTTGGCGGTCCCGCCAGTTTTTGGCATGACTTCTGGGTCCCGTGGCATGGCACATGGGCGCCGCCTTTTTCCCCCCTGTGTGGCGTGGGGTAGCATTGTGCGGTTTGTTTGAAGGGAATCCAACAGGAGAACCACAATTCCTGGGGTCCCCGATTTTAAGACGAAGCCCATATGCTGGCACATGGGCTCTTTGACCTTTGAACCCATTTTAACGGCCACCATCTTGCCCTGAAAATGGGACACACTTTATATGTTTGCTTGTTGTGGTTTAGTGGGAAATCCCACCTAACTGCCAAAATCTGAATGTTTGCTCCCCTTTTAACGTCAACCAATCTTTGCTTCTGAGCCCAACAATTGCGGAAGGGAGCCATAGCTTCAGCACGAGGGTTTGTTGGAACTGGATGAAAGGCGCGCGGGAAGTGCGGGAGCCCTTGCTGCTTCAACCAAGTGCAGCCGCCAGTCCTTTACAACGGCTGACCCATGTTCCCGCCCCACACGCCCCGCTTTCGTGCAAGCTCCACCCAAGTGCCATCACAACCGGGGGGGGACACAAACCACTTGGCGTTCTGGCGGTTGGCGTCCGATGGTAAACAGTTTTGGATCGATCTGAGCAAAACGGGAAGGCTCCTGTTGCATAGGAGCCGTCGTTGGAAGCTGTTGATCAGGCCCCAAAGAAGGGTTCTCATCAACGGGTTCGCGCTTGCACCAGAAAGGACCCCCTTCAACAGGTCCCCCAACAAAAAGGACGCCACACCCCTGCCCTTCATTATGAAATATCGGGGTAGAGATCCTTGTAAAATGATCTTTCACGGGGTTCCGGGAGGGATCCCTTTTGTTGGGCGTTTTCTTTGGGGGAGCCTACCCTCTTTTTCCACCAGGAAACCGTGACCTGTGCGGCCTTTCAAACAACTCAGATCCCGACCAATATTCCTGGCCCGAAATGAGCATGGGTAACCTTTCCCATTTAGGGTGAAAGTCTTTTTTGTGTGGTTTCCCTAGTGGTCACCCATGTAAAGGACATTAATCAGGGTTGTGGGATTAAGGGGTTTATCCCCACTTCTGTGATACACGGGATTCTCCCCCTTTATTTGGCAGGTTTGCCTTTGAGAAGCCCTTTTGGTTGTATCACAGAAGTGGATTCCATTTCCCACAGCCCTTAGTTGATCAACCCCCACATGCCCCCCCCCACGTCCCCCCCAAAACCCGGTTAGTTCTTTACATGGTTCTGGGTGCACCATTGTACCGGGCTTTGATTATGACTCACTTGGCCCATGACCCAAGTTGCCCCGGTCACCCATGTAAAGGACCTTAATTCATCAACCCCCACATCCCCCCTTCCCCCCCCACATCTCGCCCCCCCAGAAAACCCCCCCCCCCCGAAGCGTCGAACATCCACCCAGCTGCCGCGGTTTTTCGGAGGCGCAGGCAGAACGGCTCCGGCGCAGGGAGGAGGCGGAGCGCCACCAGCGGGATCTGGAGGCGGAGACGTAGTCGGTCCTCGGGTCGGGTGAGGTCGAGTCGGGCAGAGGGTCGTTTTTCCAGTTGAGCCACTTGCTGAAAAGAATATTTGTTATTATTTTCCCCTTTTGGTCAAGGGATCGATTTCACTCCTGGAGAGATTCTTTATTTTTTCCACAGGGCTTAAGCAAATGGGGGTTGCTCAAAACCCGGGTAGATGAAAGTTAGGGAACATCCCCTTGCCATACACGGAATTCAGAGTGTGGTTTCCAGTTTGATCGTGGAACCCAAGAACCCATGGCAATTTCGTAGGAAGGGGGGTGGGGGTAAGATCAGATGGTTGGAGCGCGGAATCCTTTTTTGGATTTCCAGACTGCTTTTCCCGTTGGCTGCTGGGAGTTCCCTGTGGTGAACCTGCGCCTTTGTATACGCATGTATATGTGTATGTGTGGGTGTGCGGGAACCCCTTTTCACCTGAGTTTTGCAGGGGAACCAAACAGGACATGGTTTAGCTTCAGTTTTTTGTTCTCCAAATCCAAATTCCGAATGAGATACACTGAAATGGCTGGGGCTCAAGAAGGGCCCAATATGGAACCCAGCTAAATGGAAAGGTAGACCAAAAACCTGCAGGGGTTCCCACTTCGGGAAGATGGGAAACCGGACCCACTGGGAACGGCTTGGCTGCACACTATTGCAGCCCCAAATCGGTTGTTTTCCTTTGGGTTCTCTTTGAATACGAAAAGCACATCCAAATCAAATGGGTTGTCACGTTGCTTCAGCTTGTATAACCAAAAGGGACACACATTGACTTGACATACCCACAAGTATTGATGTCGATTTTTTTTTGGGGGGGGGTTGGGCCCCAAAATCAGGTTTTGGCCCCCTCCAAACAAGAGGTTTTACCCCCGTAGCCCCAAGTTGATGTTTTTTGGGGCAAGTTGAAATCGCAATTCTTTTTCAACCATCATTCTTGAATCATGTGTTATTCATGTTTTGTTGGTTTTTTCTATTTCAATAATGGTAGTTGAAATCCCCTTTTCTTTTTCTTTTTTTGGAATCAACCCTTTTATTTGATGAATGTATATATATATGCTACCCCCCCCCCATGGACCCTGGTTTTACTGCTGTTCGGGGATGGCACACCTATCCTAAACTTTCATGTTGGGAGGGGGGGTGCAACGGCCTGGCACCGAGTTCCAGGCCTGGCAGCGCCGCGCCGCGGAGGCGGAGCGCGCGGCCTCGCGGAAGGCGCGCGGCGTCGGGGAGGCCTTGGGACGGGAGGCGGTGGACCAAATTTCGCACCGTTCAGAAGCCCATGGGGCTCAAGGTGTGACTTGGTATTAGGGGGGAATCGAATCAGAAACCAGGGTTTCTTAGGTGGTGCGAAATGGATTTGGCTAATCCACAGTATGGGCTGTGGTGCTTGACATGGCCAGCTCCTCTCACTTTCACGTTCCTTCCAGCCTGCGACTTGAGCCACTTGCTCAAAAACTGATTCGGGGATTGATGAAGGTTTGGGAGACTCCCAACCATCGACTCTGGTGGTCAAAACCGTTTTGGGATCCCGATTTTGGTTGGTAGGTGAATTCACCACCCATTTTAGTACCTATATTAGTGGGGATTGGGATGTTCACTGGGGGTACGATTTGGCTTTTGACCCATGGCCATATCCATTTTGCGGGGTTCAGCACCCTCAATGACTCAAGAATGGGACGGACTCAACTCATGGAGATGATGTTCGAAGAGGGAGAAAGCAAGGCTTAGCAAAAGCGCAGGTGGGCTTTTGCCAGATTGGGTCAAGATTGATAGATATTTGTTCTAGGTGTTTCATTCATTTAAACCCTAGACCCTAAACCCTAAACCCAAAGGCAGTTTTGTTACCAACATGAAGCGTTTCATTTTTTCTTAAAAACCACCACTATCGCTAGTCAAGCATAGTTACGAGGCTTTGCATAGGCCCGACGGCTCGGAGTGCCGAAACGAAGAAAAACATCTCGGCCATTGTTCAGTCTTTTCTTAGGGGGCGGTTTTTGATGGACACCAAGGTTGCCTAGTCTGCAACCACCTTTTTGGTTGTGTTGGTGGAAAAATAGATGGATCTCGCTTCCTGGTGTACCTGGTGGTTGAATCATCTACCAGGGAAACCCATCTATTTGCCCTAAAAGGACACCTATGAGCCTTTGGCTTGGCAAACTACGGTGGATTAGATGTTGAGGGGAAACGGCTCCTTCGATTCCTGGCTTGCATGGTGGATGAGAAGCATAAACAAACTCTTGGGACTACTTGGGCTCTATTTAGAACCCGAATCTGGTGTGGCTCATCTTTTTTGGGAACCCCCCCCCCCAAGATGGTGGTCTCGTGTCCTTCTGATTTTTTCTGGGTCCAATCTTAGAGGTCCCATGGGCGTGGCTCATCTTTTTTAGGGAAACTCTCCCCCCAAAATGGCTTCGGTGTTCCTTTGGGTTTCCCGGCAAGCAAAAACACACCGACAGAAGAATAAGGAATCACACCCAGATGGATGCTTCTCAGAATGGTGACTTGGACTCACGGAATTTCCGAACACAAACCAGCTTACAAGAACCAGTAGTCTTACCCGTACGGACCCCCTTCTGGATCAACCCAAATTCATTTAAACTGGGGTGACGCTTATGATTTCTACTGGTAAATGGACACCCTTTTGGTAAAGGGAAACCAACAAAAAATCATGGGCTGTGAAGGGGGAGGAGAGCGGGGAGGGGAGCTCCCAGAAAGCCCTTCAGGAAAGCCCTCCTTTCCCCGGGCCCTGTGAAACGCGGGAGCCAACTTGCCTTTGTTCTGAGAAAAGAAAACCACATGAGAGACCCCGCACCTTCGGGTTGCCAGCCCTTTCAACTTTTGGTTTGTAGGGGGGACGCCCCAAACCTGATCGCCTATCTGGGCCTATGGCCCTCGAATAGCCTTCTGCTTGGAACTAATAAAACGAAACAAAGAAGCAAACGTAGGGCATCCCATTGTTCCCATGGCCGCTGGTCTTATCTTCTGGGTGCGCCCTGGGCAAGCATCACCTTTTTGGCACCGGGTCAGGTTTGTGCGGTGATGTTTCTCAAGGGACATATGGGTCTCGCCATGTGGGCGTGGGGTTTGGATTCTTAGGGTGCCCTGTTTGGAGTGCCTTTAACGGATGGGTTCCGCGTGAAACAAAGTTCGGTCGTCAGGGCTTGACCGGCTTGACATCATAATGTTAACCCCGGATTAATAAACCCCTGGTTGATTTTTTTTGGGGGGTGTCCCCTTGTGGGGATTCGGACCACTTTTGGGGGGTTTCCACCCCCCTAATGGGACGGGTTCTTCTTAGATCCTGGGTCAACATTACTCTCAAGTCTTAAGGGCTCAATTCGACTGTTCAGGCCCGAGGAATTGATCATTCGCTATGCCCCCCCTCGAAAGAGAAAGAAGAAGCTCCAAGCTTAGCCATGGAGCCGCCGCTGGGCCGAAAGCCAAGAATAGAGGAAGTCCCGGCAGGTTTTTCCATTGGACAACAATCATAAGGGCAACACCAAACAAATATTCCCAATTTCCCATGGAACCAAAGAGGATCCTCTCAGAGGATTTCCGTTAATGATCATGACTAAATATTGGTTTTGAACCAACAACCCCATTCTACTTATGTAGAAACCAATGAAACTGCAAGGAGGTAAAGCTGCGATTAACTGGCAAGTTGCAATCTGAGGTCGACCCCTGATGCACCGAGTGGCGGGCTGTTTTTGAAGTGCAAAACGCGATCCGTTTTTTTCTTCTTCTTTTTCTTGTTTCTTTTCCGAGACTGTCAGGTTGCAGCAACCACGGGCATTCCTAGTGTTCGGACCTGCTTGCAACCCACTTGGCGCTGCAAAATCTGGCTGGAAGTTAGGGTCGATTCTTTTGGACAGCCTACACCAGGACAATGTTAGTCCGATCTTCAACCTGTGCAATGAGTTGTGGACATGGGGAGACAGTCATAGGTGATCGCAATGGATGTCGGATTTTCGGCATGGCGCCTGCGCTGATCCGTGTGATGTATTGGGGGTAACGCGTTTCGTTGTAAGAGGCTCAGGTTTTTTTCTGGTTAGCGGTGTCCTCAAACCAAAAGGGCAACTTAAGAGAAGCTGTTTGCCAAAGCCCGCGTGGTACTAAAGGAACTCAATGCCTTGGGTTCACCACTGGTCAGAGGAAAGTTTAGGGGTGGCTTCGTCGATTCCTTGGGGGCTGGGCTCGACACCGAATTCGTGCAGGAGGAGCGGGAGAAAGCAGAACAGGCCGGTCTGATGGTCCGTTTGTGTCGAACCGGCATCTGACGTCGAAGTTTGGAACCACCCAATAGAGCACCTCCCCCATGTCTGCTGTTTTTGGGTTTACCATCAAAGAAGAACCCACACAGGGTTCCATCAAAATGGCGCACCCATTCAGGCATGTGGCACAGTGGACATGAAGAGTTACTTGGGGTGGGCTTTGGATGTTGGCTTGGATTGGCGTAGCGCAGCAACGACACTGTGGCCTACAAGGGAAGCCCACAGGAGCTCTCTGAAGGGGCGGCGCGATCCGCTTTTGGGTCCCGGCGTATGTTTGCAACTTCGGGAGTTGCGTTCAGACGCATTTTTGTCTTGGTGGCTCCCAGCCATCCCCTTAGCTTTGGAGCTTTTTAGTGTTTAGTGGTACTTTCCATTTAACCCACTAAAAGTTAGTCACTTTTAGCAGGGGATCAGAAAACGGGCAGCCCAGTTATGCTTTCCACGCCTGTCAACATGCGGCCTAGCCTGAAGGGTGTTCATGGGCAACCTGATGGGATCCCCAATCCGCGCCCACATGGACTCATGGCGATTTGGGGTTTTGAAGGAGAGCCTTCGATCGTGGCCGGGACAACCAAACCTAGCACAGAAAGGAGACCTCACCTGCTTGAACAGACATTTACTTGAAGCCCGGCGTTAATTTGTTGAGTCTTCTGCTGACAAATGCCGGGTTCCCTATATATTAAAAAACAAATCGCCGTTTGGTTTCTAGAAAAAGGTCACCTTGTGTGGGTCAGCGTGAAGTGAGCTGTTTGCCGTGATATCGACCTGGGCGCCCTCTATGCACCCGGTCTGGAGTAGGGGGATCGATCCGCAAGGCGCCGGAGCCGCGCGGCTTTGCAGGGCGCACAAAGCGCCTCGGCGGCACGTTTCAAGCCCCGGGGTTCCTCTTGAATCAGAGCTAGGTCCCCAGCCAGGTGCCCACTTTTACCGTTTCTTTTTTTGGGGGAGGGTTCCCCTACTAAAATAGACAGAGAAACGGGTACCCTTATTCTAACAAGTATACTGGACAACCTAGAGAGTGATCTGGGGGTAAAGTGTTCTCCGCACCTTCTATAGCCATGGCCTTGTTTCTTCGGACGAGTTGTTGGTGTTACCCCCAGTTCTTGAGTGGCACCAAATTGTCGCTTTGGGTGCCCACAAAGCTGGCCCCGAAACAATTTTAAGCCCGTTCTCTCTGTGGGGAACCGATGGGCAGCCGTTTGCAGAATTGGCTGTGGGTCAAAAGTAGGTACCCAAAATGGAACCCAGGTAAATGGACACATGGACCAAAACCTGCGGTCTCCTGGTGGCTTCATTTTGACCCATACCCAATTGACCTCAGCGCGTGCTTGCGTAGAGGACTGTGCTCGAGCGGCACTACGCTGGAGAAGACGAGGAGGCGGGCGTCCGATTTGGCTACGCCGAAAAGGACAAAAACAAACCCAGTGACCCTACAGGATCCTTTTTCTTGGGAGTTGCCAGAAACGTTGGGGGCTTTGGGTTGCCGGTCGGTCTTCTTTTGCTGAAGCTTTGGAGGCTTCCGTTTGTTTAGGATGTTGTGCTTTCCCATTTTGGTTTTAAAGGGAATCTGTCACTACTGAGTTTTTCCAAGAGAACAACCAAATCGAAGGAGGTTTCTTCTTTTGGCAAAATTCAGGCGCCGGACCACTACCAGGTGTCAGGAGCTAAGCTTCGGGTTGCGAGTTGCTGAGACCGGATGGACATCGGGATTCGGACATCCATCTAGTTTCTTGGACACAGCCGCAAACCTGGAAATTTGGGTTAGGTTCTCTTTTTTGGGAGCAACCATATGGGTGTGTCTTTTTTAGGGGACGACACATCCATGTTGTCTTGGATTCTCAGTTTACGTAGCATGTATTGCACATAAGGTCCACTGAAGCTCTATTCAAGGCAGCGCAACATGTATCGAAGCAATCCCCGGGTCTCTTAGAGATGCCAACATGGGGTTGTTTGAACAATAGAGTGTGTCTTTTATGAGGATACCCCTTTGGTTGGTGGGTTTAAAGGAACACCAACAGTAAAACCGCTTTGTGGGTTCCCCTACAAAAAGACAGACCCAATAGTGCTTGATGCAAGCAAGGCAGCCCAACTCTGACTCAATTCCCTCAATCGCCTGGTAGCAACAAAAACAGGTTAGATTGTCAATACGACTGGGGGTTGTGAAACCTTACCGTTTACCGGGTACGCAATTTCTTGGATGTCACTTTGGGAATTGATAGTCCTTGGGTTGAGCCTTTGGTTTAATTTGTCGACATAGTTACGCGGACCTGAGCGAGCTACACGCATAATTGGTGTGTTTGTTTGTTTGTTTGTGTGTGTGTGTGTGTTTGGTTGAGGCTATCCTCCGTGAAAACCACCAAAAACGAGGTAGCCCCAACAAAGAAAGACGCAGCCAGTTACACAATAGAAGGGAAGACCACAATATCCTTTGCGGCTTCATTTGGTGCCCCAGAACTCCAGGAACTCATTCTGAATAGCCAAGGGCTCTGATTGTTGGACCTGCAATCTTTACCTTTTTGGTTGACACACGACCCCGCAAACCCGCAAACCAGCAAAACATGTGAGCCAGGGTCAATATTCACCATAAAATCTACTGTAGTATGTGGGACACACTCACCGAATTACCATTAGGACATGTGGTCCACTCTCCGAATTTTTCTACGTCTGGGGGCACAATGAATGTTGTTTGTGGCTCGCAAAGCACTTCTTCTTGCATTTGCTGAAAAGACTATTTTGATTTCCCCCCTTGGTTTCAAAGGGAATCGATTTCACATGTTTTCTCTCCTTTTTTCAAGGGGCCGAAGAAGCCAATGGAGGTTTGGAACAGGGTAGACTTTCCGCTTCGAGCGCCGAAGCACGAGGCTGGGTGTGCCACGCCACGCTTCCCAAGAAGAGATCAGCCAGGCGGACCCGACTGGATGCGTCGCTTGCCGGACGTGCCGATTGGGCAGACGCAAAAACACTGGGCCCTTTCGTCGCAAATCGCAAGTCGTTTCGGTTGGTTCGCAGCCATTCCGGGGACCCCTGTTGGCCCCTTGTTGCAGGGGCCAACAGGGCACCGAGCCAACTGACTTTGGACCAGTTTCTGGCTACGTGCCAGGCCTACCGGGCTTTGTCCAAGCCGGTCTCCCAGAATGGGGCGGAGAGCTTTCTGAGCACCAAGCCATTGGTACCCCGCTTCGGGCTCTGGTACCTGGAGCTGGGGTAGGGTAGTATGCAGTTCTATGGGTGTGTCTTTGTTGGGGGGGGAGCCCCCCAAAATGAGGTTTTTTTGGCATCTTTTAGATACCCCCAAAAGGAGACGCGCCCATGTATTGGGAGCAGACGTCAATGGGGCTTGGCGCTTCAATGATTTTGGTCCTGACGATGGGTGTCTCCGCCAAAGCAAACCGCTCGAGGACGTTTATGTATGTTGTTCCGCAAGAAAGAATCCTGGGTAAACCCTTTTCGCCAACGGATTCGCGTCGAGTCACAAATCCACAGTCAGATTCTTGCGTTGGGACCCTGGTCCACCATTAAAGCAAAAAGCCCAACGAGTCAAATGTCAACCACTTTTTTGGGCCCCGTTTCAAGGCTCAGTGGAGTGTCGAAATATGGGACGCCCCCCCGCCCAAGGCTTTCTGTCAGCCATGGCAATGTGGGGAGAGCACCCACCGAGGGGAAAGACTTCACTCCACTTCTCTTTGAATTGGTCGAAGTCCAGCGAACCGCAGACACTGGGAGACCCCTTTCACTCTTGGTATGGCTCCCGGCCATCCCCATTAGCTGATCAGCCTTTTCAGTTGGCGTCGTGTTTTTTTGTTTTTCCCATTTACCCCGGGGGTGGTGGTGGTGGTGGTGGGGTGGTGGTGGGGTGGTGGTGGGGTGGTGGTGGGGTGGTGGGGTGGGGTGGGGCGGGGATCTGAAGACAGACAGCGTGGCACGCATGGCACGAGGCTCTACCATCCCGACCGGCTCCAGTCCACCGGGGGCATGCTGAGCCAGGCCGGGCCTCTGCGACGCTGAGACGCTAAGAGTTCAAAGCCCAGCTTTGGACCTTTGGACCTTTGGACGTTGTTTTCATTTTGGGAACCAAAAAGAAGTTCCCATTTTGGGAGCCAAATATTTACTTTGACCTATGTTGGTCCATATTTCCTTTTGGACCTTTTGGACTTTTGCCATTTTGGGCCCAAAGCCGACCTTTTCACCTTTTGGTTCACCCATTTTGACCTTTTGACGTTTTCCCATTTTGGGGACCGTATGTAGCCATGGTCCCAGAAGGTAAACCTTTCAGTTCCGGGTCCTTTAAGCAACTGAGGAGAGGCTGAGAGAGGCCTAGAACCACCTGCGTGGTGGAACCACCTTGATGTTCTTTCTGTTGAACCTTTTAAGGGGGCTCCTCTCGGAAGGTTTTTGCAGTGTGGTTCAGGTTCCTTTGAGGGTCCCTAAGTGGGTGTCCCCTTTGGGAGGAAAACCTTGGATTCTCTCCACTCAAATCGTCCGAGTATCAAACGCTTGTAATCCGGTTCTGGGTTATGTCCATGGTTCCTTTTTTATGTCCATGGTTCCTTTCTTCCAAGGCAATCGGGCAATCCCGGTCGTCGATCCGGGGTCAATATGTTTGCTAGTTGCGGCCTCCCTACGACCAAAGATCTGGGTGGGTTTGTGGATTGAATTCGAAGTATCCCACAGACAAAGGACTTTGGAAGGCATGGAGGGAATGGTTTGGCAGTAGCTAGGAATACTTGGGGACTTGTCAGCCAGAGCAATACCCCTACTCACAACACCCACCTGTTCAGTGTGTATTTTTGCCCAAGCTTTCCATTGTAAACTCTAGACACTTGCCTTTTTGTTTCAAGGGTCGACATCATACCCTCATGGGTATTTGGCGGGAGCTGTTCTGGGGGCAATCTGTCCCCCATAAAAATTGACTAGGATGTGTTTGTTCTTCATATGTGGGACGTGAACAAAGTCCAAGCAAATATCCTGAAATCCACTTGACTCCCGGACAAAGTGATCACAGATCTTGACAGATACACAACAATCAAATGGCGCGCATAAGACAACATACTTGTGCATTAACTTTAATTTTCATACTTCCCGTGATTGAAGGTTCCTTGTTGGAGAATAATTCGTCCGCGATCACTCCCCTTCTTCCCACAGACAGCGCTCAAGGCAACGATCTTCCCACCAGAGCTCCGGGGAGTTCTTGTGAGAATTGGGAGCATCACCAGCCCCTCTCCCCCAAGACCCCCAGACTCCCAGACGAGGCGGCGGTTCAGAGAAGCCACGAGCAGCGCATGGCGGCGTTGAACGCTGCACGGCGGGTGCTCTCAGACACGAGGCGGGCGAGAGATCGAGAGATCGAGATGAATTTCCGGGTCTCCGTGTTTATCTTCCATTTGCTTACGAATACTTCATATGTTGCGTTGGTTTTAAAAGGAATCTGCTTTTTCACAGCGGGCTTAAAATCGGCCAAATGGCTGGTTTCCCAACTGGGGTCTCCAGATGTGGGACAGTTATTGCCTAGATATGGAACAGAGTCAGGAACCCCAGATGCGGCCAAATGGGAACCACGAACCCCCTCTTTTGTAGATTCCAGCACAAGCCTTGCTTGAGAACATGGGTTTTCGGCATCCAAAGCACAGCAACGAGAACCCCCTACTTCGAGCAGCATCCTACTGAAAGTACTCCCCGTTTCCGGGGATGTACTGTCAACACCTGACTCAAACAACTATAGTACTACGGCAAAACTGTTTTGTCCAAATCTGCAGCTTGCCGAGCAGCAGCTGTTGAAACGGAAGGATCCTCAAAGTCAATCACGGTGCTTGCATATTGAGTTCTTGGTTTGAAGGCACTGCAGTCTACCCTTCGAAAAGCTGAAGAGATCCCGCTCGCCTCACTTTCTGTCTTGGTTCACCAAAGTTTTCCGTTTGCCTCCCCCCCCCCCCTCATTTTTGCCATGGTGGAGTACCTCCTGTTCGAGTCAGGGTTCCGGACACGTGCGTTCTCAACCAAAGCCGCCGACGCGGCTTTCGGCTCACTGGGCCCGAGCTGGGCACCGATGGCCCTGAGCGCCTCAAGGGATCTCGAGGTGAAAAGCGCTCATGCAGGGGGTCCCTTGGAGAAAATCGTTGCCTGAGTTCCTGAGTTCAACATGCCTGGATCGCCAGTTGCCTTTTTTTTCCCACGCACTTTACCCCAACCACCAGCAACAGTGGCTGAAGAAAGCAGCAACTTGGCAAGCTAGGTGTGTGACATTGGCAGATGTGCTGTTTAACGTCAGTTTGGTTGAGAATGGATTTGATGGGTTTCAGCTTGGCTCGAGACTTGGTGGAATCCATCTATTCTTTGGGGTTCCCAATGTGGACCCGCGAAGCTCGCCGGACGGTAAGAAGAAAATCGCCCGCGACGCAGGCTGCGCCACGCCTACGACAAGACCTTGCCGGAAGAGGATGCCAGCATTCCAAGTGGGGGTTGGAAGGGTCCGGATTTGCGCGCCATGGTCAAAGGTTCCCTTTCTCGGGTTGGGTTTAATTAAGGTTGGGAGGGGCATCCACATGGATTCACATGTGGCTATGGGTCAAAATCCCGGTTATTCCCCAGTGAACCTCATACTAAAATAGGTAACCTAAAATGGGTGGTGCATTCGCCGAACCCCAAAATGGGATCCCAAAACGGTTTTGACCACCACAGCCATGTGCAGGGATCGCTCCAGGCTGGTGTGACACAATTTTCCTAGAAGGTGCAGCTGCACACACCTCCGGCCGGCAAGGGTTCCAGCTGGACCCAAGGTTTCAGCTGGCCATGGATTTGTCTACTTGGAGTCAGCTAAGAGTTGGTTCCTTGGTTGGTTCGAAGGGATTCCCTTTTCAGCTTCGCCAAGTCTGCCAGGTGGCCATGGATTTTTCAACTTTTCAACTTCCCTGACCCAAGGTTTGGTCAGGCGGCAAGGTGGCCATGGACTTGGAGTCAGCGAAAAGCGGTGGATCGATCCTGGTTGGTTCGGGCTCCAAGTCTGCTGCGTCTCTGCGCCCAGGAAGAGGCCGAGCCGGTCCTTCAGGCCAGGCTGTTGGGAACCCCATGTAAGGCCCCCGTCCGGCCGGCCGGAACGTGGCCGGCCCAAAACCCATGGAGCGCTTTTGAGCTGAGAGCAGCGAGTTTCCTGGGCGAAGCTGGCTCAAAACGCCGGTGCGTTCCCCGGTGGTTTGCTGTTTGGAGGTATAAAGACCCGTGAAACCTTCGTTGCCCTTCAAGCAGCGGGGAAGGGATTCCTTCGAGAAGATGGAGTTTCCCAGCCTGTTCTCTTCCCCGAATCAGCGGCTCGGAGAGCCAAGTTCATTAGCACCCCAGAGAATCCATCGAGTGGAGGATTTTCTGCCCTTGTCGGCGAGCTCGCCGATTCGGGGGGAGCATGAGTTGATGTAGGCCCTGTACTTGGGAATCCAATTCTTATGTCAGGTTTGGTAATCATCAAAACACGCTTGTCACCAGTTTTTTCCTGGCAATGACACCTTTGCCGGGCGTCTGCTCAGGTTTGCACAATGGCATCAAAGGTTTTGCAGATTCATTCGGGTTGGACAGGGAAGCTTTTGATCTCTCAGCTTGGCCAGGCGCCACGCGAGAAGTCCGAGGACTGGGCCTCAAGTGGTTCTCTTCGCGGCTGAACGGATGCCAGTCAGTGTGCCCTTTTCTTCCGGTGTCCCTTCAAAGTCAACTATGTAATGTAACAAAAGGGTGCCCTGTTTTACCCATGGCCGCTGGTCTGGGATTGGGCGTCGGTCTCCAAGGGAACCTTGTATTCACTATCGCGAACGTTGAGAAACGCCACACCTGCCAAAGGTTTGGTATTCTAAGGGTTGATTCCCAATGCTCTTTATTACCCATGCTTCTCTTTGGAAGCTTGACATTTCGCCGTTGGCTCATTCTTCGAAGAGATCCTCGGAAGAGAATGGGGAAGGTACAGCGAGAGGTAAATGCTTTGCTTCCCAGTGTTTCATGCTCAAAGGCAGTTTCGGTGCTCCACTAGTGAGAGAAATCCCACTGTGCGAAGGCTTCAGATCTTTGGTGACCAAATCCTCCAAATCCTCATGGGCGCGCGCTTCCCTGTGAAGTACCAAAGGGGGTAAGTTTGAGAAGGAACCAACCGCTGCAAGGAATTGTACTTGCTTCTATTTTGGAACCCTTGCAAGTGCGGCTCCTTTCTGTGACAAATTGCGCCGCGTTGGGTTCCATTCACTGAATTGTCCGTGTCTTTGTTATTCTACTCTCGACATCTTCCGACCCAGCAACGCACTTGGCGGAAGTGGAATCTCTGAGAAAATCTTGGATGTCCTCCCAGAAAAATCCCGCAACCTTGGGGTGTCCCTTGGGTCAGCGAGTTCTTGGGCCGCAGCTCGAGCAAGAAAACATCGCAGGAGCAGTACGACTTCGATTTCATGGGCCCGGACAGGCGGATGGGCCAAGCCTTCGGGTGCTTCGAAATCTTCGCGTCGATGACCTCGGACAAGCCGGCCCCCAGACTTCCCAGGTTTTTTTTTCGGGATTTTAAGCATGGGCCCTTTTTGGGCCCATGATCTTGGGGGTGATCCGTCGGACAAAAGCTGGGTCCCTGGGCCTGTGCTTTTTAGTAAAGCCAGCGGAGCATTGGCAGGTGCACTTGGTGGGCGCTTGGGTCATTCTTGTTTTTTTGTTTTTGTGGCGCTTTGCGGGCATGTGGTGCTGATGTGCGGGCGTTTTCTGGGTCATGTGCGCGCGGTTTGCGCCTGCTGCGGCATTTGCGTCTTTTTGGCCATTGTTTGCGCCAGTACTTTCCAGTCGTTGGAGAACTTGTCCGGAGTTTCTCGGAGCCAACTTCATCACCACGCAAGGTGTGGGAATCAGGTGGGAAACATGCGTGTGCCAGTGGCTCGAAAGGGCAGCCTTCTGTTTTTGTCAGTAAGATGAGCTTTTTTGACTTTCTATGCAGATGAGAGAGGAGGGTTACCCATGCACTTTTGCGGAATCATGAAGACGGTTGGTGCCTTTAGAGCCCTTTCGGCTGTCCTGAAGCAGCTCCATTCAACAGGCATGTGTTGTGAAAGTTGCTTCTCCCATGCTACCGGTGTTTAGGCGTTTTAGGCTTCAGGGCCTTTTTGGCCTTCCCAAGATACCATGGCTTCCCCCTGGCTTTTTGAAGCTTCCTCAACAAATCCGAGGTGCCACTCCCGGGGAAAGAGTCAGCCATGCCCAATAAAAGAACAAAGCTGTGCTTCTTCTGTCCAGTTGTTTTTTCTTACGCAACACGTGCGTGCCGACGTGCCCTACAAGTCACTCGGCGTCTTTTGGCTTTTTCCGTGTTTCCGACCCGTGGGGTGCTGCCCCGCGCAGTCGCGCGAAGTCGAGAAGTCGAGTCGGGGGAGTGGAGTCAGGCCCCTGCGCAGCGCCCGCGGCCGTGCGGCCCGGGCGGCCAAAGCCTGTGGCAGCCGCTCGCTTAGCGCCGGCTGGGAGAACCGAAGAGTTGGATCGGTGTCCTTTTTTTTGGGGTCGTTTTGGGTGGTAGTGGTGTCCTTTGTTGCGTTGTTTTTGTTGAGAAGGTGTCCTTTTTGGTGTCCTTTGTTGGGTTGTTTTGGGTAGAGAAGGTGCACTTGTCCTTTTTGGGTGGTTGGTGTCCTTGTTTGGTTGTTTTGGTGTCCTTTTGGTTGTTTTGGTAGAACATACCCTCCCTTCCACGTTGCCAGCGGACTCTTGAACAGACCAAGCAGGGCGTGACCTTGCACCCACTGACTTTGACCTAATGATGGTTCAACCCCAAGACAGACAGGTTTCCTGAACCGGACCCAAATAGACCAAAGGGAAATCTCAAAACTTGGTGGCTCCCAGCCATCCGGTTCCTTAGCTTTTTAGCCTTTTAGTGTTTAGTGGAAGTTTCCGTATAAACCACCAAAAGTAAGTCACTTTTGTCGGGGGATCAGAAAACGGGCAGCCCAGAAACCAAAGGGGAAAAGCCAAGCGGCTGCCAATCAATTCGGAGGCCAAGGGATCGGATTTTTCCCCAAAATGGCCAGGGCAGCTGGGGTGCTCATGGTGATCCCCGTTTGGATTTCCGGTGTCATACAAAGCAAACACACAAACGCAGGGAAGTCAGCATGGCATGAATAACTGCCGGATTTTTGCCGGGCACGGTGGGCTTGGTGCTAGCCATAGAGTGGACTGAAAGAGACGTTCTTCTTTGCTTTGACTTTAGAAAAGTTGGGGCCATCACAAGCGACCAAAAAAACCGCCCAGCGCCATCACCACCTACCGCCTGGGTGTGGGAAACGCTGCCCTCGAGGAGTGCAGGCCTTGAATGTCGGACCTTTGTGCCAAAGCGTCCCATTCTGGGTTGCATTAAACACTCATTTGCCTCAGAATATGTGTTTATTTTGCCCTGTTGGTTTTTAAGGGAATCTATCACTACTGGAAATATGTTGTTGTTGTTTTTTTTCCAGGGGGTCTTAACCAAATGGAGGTTAAGGAGCACTGGGTGCATGTTTCCTTTCTTTATTCTTTGCAGCCATTATTCTTCATCTGATGGAACCCTTCCTCGGATTCCGAGTTGCAACCCTGGGAAGTCGTGTCTTAGGTCCTTTGAGGAGTTTGCGTTTTTTGGGGAAAGATGGGCATAGTCGGCATGGCTTAGGATGAACCCCCGCAAACTTAAACCCGATTGTCTGGGAAAGAGGCGAGCTTGTGGTTCCCCTCAGCGAAACGTCGTTTGCTGTGGTGATTCTCCAAGTCCCCCCGCCCCCCGCCCCCCCCCCTCCCCCGGAAAAAACAAAAACAACAAAATAAAACAAACAGCACACAAACCCTCAGTAAGGCCATAGAAAGGGGCTGTTCCCCGAACCTTGGCCTTGGCCTTGGGCCTCTTTGGGCAAGCTGACCAGGATTTGTGCCTGAAAAGCAACCCGCAAGTTTTGCCTCAAGAGAGTGTTTTGGAATTCCCATCTTCATGTGCAAGGGAGTGCTTGTGGTTTCCCTTGAAACCAATCCCAAAGACTTGGAGAGATTCAGAAATGAAGATCAGCTCCAAAAAAAGAACATATCGCAGCACTCAAAGGAGTGGGATCGAAAGGAGCTCAGGATGCATGTGGTTCCAGGGAGAACACAGAGAAGGATCGCAGCACTGGGGGGCGTCTAGTCAGAAACGAGCTCAGGAGGCAGGATGCTGAGGGATCTCGCTGAGGATCTTGGGAGACCCCAGCAACGAACCTTTCGCGCCGAAACCCTGCCAAAACCTTCCCACCAAACCTCCATCAAACCACCGAAACCCAGCCGAAACCCGGCCGAACATTTCCGGCCAAAACCTCCGTCAAACCAACGAAACCATCAAACCCCAGCAGCAAAACCTCCGCAGCACCCCCGGCTGACACCAAACCCCGCCGACATTTTCGCCCGAGGTCGGGACCAGGTGCGCTTAGCCATGGACCAGCTGCGCGGCAAGGAGCGGGCAACGGGTGAACCGCGCGCCCGCAGCCGACAAATGAGCCCCGAAACCACCGCCCTCGAATTTTCGGGTGGCCTGGGAGCGCGGCCCGGGAGCGCGGCGGTGTTTGCTTGGGTCTTCGCCGGGTTCAACTTGGCGTTCTTTTTTGGTGGATGTTCGGGTTGGCTCAGTGGTTGGGTGTCCGAGTTTAAGCCAAGAGTGGTCGACCTTTGAGCGGATCTGAAAATGTTCTGCCCAGATGGGCGAGGAGGTTGCCGGTTTGGGCCAGCTTTCGGGGTTCCGGACAGTTGGGGATATCTGGGATGGTTCGCATGGTTCATTAGTTTTTTTTTTTTTGGGGGGGGGGTGGGGGTTGGGACCATTTTGTGGGACACCAAGGGAAACACAAGTTGCTCCCCCCTTTGTTCTGCATTGAGCCCAAAGGTGACCTTTCCTCAGAAGGCGATCTCTCTAAAGCCCGATCGGCGTTTTGGGGGTTGCTTCAATT